CCTGCCGCGCCTTGCGCCACCAACCCGTCGCCCTGCCGCCCTGCCGCTGCCGCGCAGCCATGAGGCAACGCCACGCCGTTGCCCCGAACTCCTGGAAAACGCTGAAAACGAGCATTCCTAATGTCGCTCCCAATGTCGTTGCAGACAGCAGCGGCGAGTACGAGGCCTTCGAGGACTACGCCGACGCGCTGTCCCGCCGCCTCGGCGCCGTGGACCTGGACCGCCTGGAGCCGCCCCCCGTGCCCGCGCCGTCGCGCGTCAAGAGGCACTCCGTCGCCGGCAAGCTGCCGCCCTCGCACCAGGTACGCGACGAGCCATGCTTCACTTTGTTGTTTTTAGCCGTTGGCATCGGATTGCATAAAACGGCTGCTCCGGTTACTCACTCATTTGTTTTGGCCGTTCCAGATGGCGCGCAGCCGCGCCTCGATCGCGGGCCCCGCCCCCTCCATGGCCCCCCTGATGGCGTCGCGGCTCGCGGCCCAGCCCGTGCGCCGCCGCCACTCTCACTGCGTGGGCTGGCCCGCCCCCAGCCCCGCCCCCGCGCCCGCCCCCGCGCACATCTACAGCACGCGGAGGGCGTCGTTCAGCCGGGGGCAGCTGCTGGCCGGGCTGCACGCCGTGCACGCGGGGTAAGCAACCACCACGACGAAGAGGGGTCGGTCTCTACCGCCGAGCGCCCGCGAAAGCAAGGGCGGGCCTCCCTGCAGCGCAGCGGTGCGCGGCGGGCAGGCATCTGCGGCCCGCAGGCGCTTCCATCAAGGACTGGCTCTCTCGGACCTCACGAGGCGTCGCGAAGGAGTGCGAGGGAGCCAGAGCGACGGCGCACTGTTTTTGTAATCAGCCGGGCGGCACGCGGCCGCGCAGAATGCAGGCGGGGTGGGTGGCTGCCGCTTGACGGCGGGCTGTGCTTCTATTTCGGGGGGGAGATCGGGCCAGCCGGCCGGCCGTTCCAGGCGGCCCGGCCCACGGCCCGGCCCACCCACTCCCCGGGGAGCGGCGGCGGGCCGAGCGGGCCGACGGGCCGGAGAACGCTATTCTGGGAATTGGCGGCGCGGGGTGCAGGCCGACGAGGAGGTGGCCCGCCATGGCCCCGCCATGGCCCCGCGGACGGCAGCGCGGGGCACGACGCGCCCCCGCCACCCCGCCACCCCGCCACCCCCCGTCAGGCCGTCGGCCGTCACGCGTCACGCTCCGATCTGGCGCCAAAACGGGAACTAGCTAAAACGGGTGCGTTGCACGTAATCCGAGAAAGCGCCCCGAAATAGAAATAACCACGAAAACGCAAAACGGGCGGCGGGTCGGCGCGTCACCGTCACGCGGCGCGGCGCTGCGTTTGAAGTCCTCCCTCCGCGATGCGCGATGCGCGATGCGCGATGCGCCTGCACTGCGACTCAGAGGCTGGCGCGGTCGGCCGTGTTTAATATTTAGCGCACGCGAGCCTCTCTCCATAATGACGCCCTGCGCGGCCCCGCGTGGCAGGCGGACTCCGGACGGAGCTTTCGCTGCTCTGTCTCTCTCGCACTCGCGGGGCGTTCCGTCGGGGTGCGAGAGAGACAGAGCGGCGCAGCGCCGTTCGGATTCAGCCTGCTGCACGCACCAAGGCGTTGCGGGGGCGGGGCGCGCGCGGCCCCACCCTTCCCCCACCCCACCCCCGCCACGCTATTTCGCTCAAAGAACCAGAACACAGGAGTTGTAAAAAAAAACACAAACCTAATAACTGCGCGCGCAATAACCCCCAACTTGTGGCGTAACTGGGAAATGAAGGCGGCCGAGTCCTTTATTTTCTTTACAGTGTCGCAGTGATAAAAGTGGCAGTAGTTTTGGGGCCGCGTGCGAACGAGGCGGCTAAGCGCATTGCACAACTACAGCCCGGCGGACTGGTACGCGTACGCGCGTACGTCGACTCGCAACAATGCATCCGCGCGAACGCGGCGAACGCGAACGCTCGACGCCCCCCTTTGACTTTCAAATTGAGCTGTCCAGGACCAGGAACAGGGGGCACTTGAAGGCACTCCGCCTCGAGCATGCGGCATGCCCGCGCAATTGACGCCCGAGCGACGAGGCTGGGGTCTTTATGTTGCGTGCGAGAATCGACACCTCATCGTCCTGAACGCCGGCTGTGCGGCCTGTGGGCCTGTGCGGCCTGTGGGCCTGTGCGTGCCCCGGGCGTTGCGCGCCGGCCGTCTGGACTCCAGCACGGCTCCAGCACGGCTCCAGCACGGCTCCAGCACGGCTCCAGCTTGGCTCCAGTGGGCGGCAGCCTCAGATGGCCGCGAAGATAGCGCGATGAAGGGGTTGCGCCAACCTCCCCTTCCCCTCGCCTCTCGTCTCTCTCCCTCATTTTCGCCAGTTTCCGACCCTTTGTTCTTCAGGTGCACTTTGTACCTTTTTGGCGTTTCCCTCCTTTTGCGGCATTTCGGCGGTCGACACTGTGGAACGGTCCGGGACTCCGAGGAGCTCCTGGTGATTCGCGAAGGCGCGGCGGCGCGGCGGCGATGCAGTCCCTCGCAAAAGAGCGATGAGGTCCCCGACCCGTGACGCTGTGCCGAGCTAGCACTGCGCGTGCTGCGGCCCTGCCGGGCCCTGCGGACTGCGGGGGCGTGCAGTGTAGCGACGCGCCCTACGTCGGAGTTCCGCACCGAGTCTCTGCGTCGCTCCGCGTCTCTGAGTCAGACCGCGTGGGCTGGACGGCACGGCGGCACGGCGGACACGTCGCATCTCTCGACGAGCCGAGTCATGTCCGCGACCGAGCGCGGGGCCGGGCCGGGCCGGGCCAGGGTCTGTCTGCAGCGTCTGCAGGCTGATTCCGAACGGTCTTCTTGTCGTTCTGTCTTTCGCGCACTCGCATGGGGGTGCGGGAGAGACAGAGCATTGAAGAACTGTTCGGAATCAGCCTGCCGAGCCGAGCCGCCTGCTTCCCATTGTTGAGGTGGCCTGCAGTGGTGGTCTGGAGGCGGGGGCCGCGGCCAGCCGTACGCCGTGCTTCGCCTCAGTCTCGCTGGAGTAAGTCGGGTCGAGGTGTGGTGGGCGTCGTACCGCGGCGAGGCCGGGCCGGGCGGGGCGGGGCGGGGCGGCCTTCTCTCCCACCGCGCGGTACGCCACACTCCGCCACTGCTTCCCCCATTTCTCACGGGGCTGCTCGCCGCTCTACATGATGGGCCGCGGCTTCCCGTCGTCCGCGCTTCGCGCTCCGCGTACGCATGTGTCGGAAGGCCGGCCGGCCCGCCCGCCTTGGGGGGGCCCTGCCCCAATGGCCGGCGCAGCCCGGCGCAGCCCGGCCGGCCCCAATGCTGATTCCCCAGAACAATGACGACGCCCTGGGACCGGGCCAGGCCGCCAGGCTGACCGGGCGGAGCGCGAAGCCGCCCGCAGGAATCTGGACACCGCCCGTAAAACTTGACATTGAGAACAACGAAAACGAAATGGTGCTCGTGTGTTTGAACCGACCTTGTGTGTTCGCAGGCGACACGCGACGGAGCTCGCCTACGGCCCCGCGTACGGCGCGCCATACGGCACCGGCGGCAGCAGTGACGACTGCTACGTGAGCGACGCCAGCGAGGACCTGGTGTACGGCGAGGGCCCCGAGGCCGCCAACGGCAGCGTCGCCGGCCAGCAGGCGGGCCGCAGGGACGCCGTCGTGGACGGCTTCACGGACGCCGACATGGTGTACGCGCAGCTGGCGTCCTCGCTGTACGCCGACTCGGCCTACGGCTACGGCTACTGCGGCTACGGCCCCGCGAGCAGCGACTGCAGCCGCTTCCAGCTCACCAACTACGGCCACCTCAAGATCGACTACAGCTGCAGCTGGCGCTCCCTGGACCACTACATCGCTCACAGCTGAGCCGCCGCGGCACGCTCACCCTCCCGGCGACCGCGCGGCGCGACCGCAGCCAGGCGCCGTCAGTCACGCAGCGCGGCGCAGCGCGGCGCAGCGGACGCCCGTCGATCATCAAAATACAATACCGCGTACCGCGGACCGCGGCGAGGCGCAACGGGACGGGGCGGCCCGACGGCAGGACGTCGTCGCGGTGGCCGCGGCCGCGGTGGCGCCAGACGGCCTCAGCCCGCTGGGCGGCCTGCCCCCGCACTGCCCCCGCACTGCCCAGCCCGGCACGGTTTGGCGAGTGTCGCGGCCGCCGAACTCTACCTGGCGTGGACCAGGCGGGGGTCGTGCCGCTAGGCAGGGTCGGGAGGGAGACATCGTTCATCTAAGATCAATCTCACGATGCCTCGCCCCGCGCGGCCCGCCGGACCGTGACGGCACACCACGCCACGCCACGCGGCGGGAAAGCTGCTGCCCCCTCCACGGCCACGACACTGCGATGGACTAATTAACACGCGTGCCGGTCCGTTCGTGACAGTCGCGGGGTGGGGGGCGTCGCAGCCTGTCGCAGCGGGCCGCCGCGCCGGTCGGGGCGGGCAGCACGGGGAACACAACTCTGGACAGAGCTGCGTATTCCACAAGCAGCCTCGAACCGAACACATGACGGTAGCAATCAAAGCAATCGATTCATCGTTTGATGGCTTATCGCTGCCCTCACGTGTTTGATTCAGATTCTCTGGAGCTCAAAACGTGTTCACTGTTGTGTCCGCTACAGTCAATCCTTTGTCCAATTTTGTAAGAGACCCTACCGTTTTTTAAGTATGGGAAATGTTTCGTACAATTGTGAAACTGTGCAAATGTGAAACTTCAAATTTTGCGTACGATTTTGTACGAATTCCCCCTGTACTTTAGAGACTGTGAGGTCTCGCTCAAATATTGTCCAAATGTATTTTAGGTGTGGTTCACTTGACCAATATGAGCGTGTCTTTGTGAACTGCATCGCTTAAGTCGGTTAAGTATCTTTGCTGGAGTATACGACTATACGAGTGAGTCTCTCGTGGTGCAGGAGTGAAGACGGATTCCTACTCCGGTGTTCGGTGTGAATGATCGTCACTGCCTTTGTATATTAATGTGAATGAATAAAGTATAATGAGAGCGGAAAAATAAATACACACTGTTATTGCTTTGGTTTTCTTTTACAAATATTCCCATGGCTTTATTGTTGCATTTGAAGCGGTGATGCCACCAAAGTTCCTCCAGCGTTATAACACTTAAAGTACAGTAAACAGTCACATTTGTTTATCACCAGTTTAATATTATTGCTGCCGCGGAAAATGAGATTCAAATCACATACACAAACAAAAACAAGGTGGATCAAAAATAAAATTTACTCGATAAAACTCTTCCTAGAGAGTGTCACTTGCATCTAGCTCTACAGGAACAACGGCTGTAAGTAAATGGTCGTATCAAATTAATCCTCTCAATAAATATTAAACACAAATTATCAAAACTAAAATTCGAAATACATCAAAAACACTCCCGATCGTGTGCGAAAATGACACAGAAAAAGTGCATGGCACATTCCCAATGAGAGAATCCCATTAAATAGTTCAGGAGAGTGAGGCACAAAAACCCCGCGAGGTTTCTCAGTTGGGATCGTCCCGGTACTCGGAACTGTCTCCGAACCAAATGTCGCAGGGGTTTCGTTTCCCCGTCCCCCGGAGGTCTCACCACCCCTTAGGCCTTCAAAGCAGACTCGTGCAAAACCCCCTAAAATAATTCAAACGCTTTATCGTTCACATCAAAAGCTTCGATGACTAATACTTAGACTACATGTAAATTGATGAGTGAGCAAACACTGCCCACCACGTCCTCGAATCGACGAATTGACTAGCTAACAAGAATTAAAACTACACTGCAGAATCGACAGGTCCCCTTACATATATTACAGCCAAAAGCTTCACCCAACCCACACAGAAAAGAAAGGCGAAAACAATGTTTGAAAAAATATTCTTGTGCCTTGCAAGGCACATGGAATGAAAAAAAAAAACGAGAATTTGACTCGAACTCGTGAGGCGGGGCGGGTGTCGATGGTCTGTGGGACGGATTCGCATTACCTCCGTGGTCATTGCAACGGATTAATGCTGACAAACTGGAGAAAACCCTATTTCATCACAATAATTTCTAAACATACACAAGCACGCACACACACACACTCACGGACATGCAGACACATTGAATTCCACACACACGCACACACACAGTCGCACAAAAGCCTAACAAGACAGAATTACCCTAGTGAGTGGCCTTGGCGGCCGAGCCGATTCCACTATCACAAAAACCATTGACGCCGGGCCTTCGCTCGCAAAGCTAGCAGTTTCCGCAAGCTCCTTTTCAGTCGCGAATTGTAATTATTTCCCCCTCTAAATAACTTACAACAATAAATTCTTAAAACGTTCGTAAATCATAAAGTAATTGAACTTGAAAAAAAGAAAAAAAAACTCTAGTCGTCTTAAGCTTTGCCGTCGGTCCCTCTCGCAGGCTGACGCAGGCTGACGTCACTCCGGTCCCCGTCCGCGGCTAGAGGCTCGCGAGGGCGGCCACGACGGCCACCCCCAGGGCGGCGAGCAGGGCCGTCCGCGAGGGCGCGACGGCGGTGGCGGCGTTGGCGTTGCAGAACTTGAGGCTGCAGACCTGCGCCTTCCGTAGGCGCGTGCGCAGGTGCGACCAGGAGCACAGCCCCACCTGGCAGCCCTCCATGTCCACGATGCGCTCGCGGAGGTAGAACATAACGCGGTGCTTCTCGCCCTGGTCGCAGCTGCTCTCGGAGACGAAACGGCACATTAGAGAACGTCGCAAATAAAACTCGACGAGTTTGAAAGTTGTGACTCACTGGTAGAAGACGGCGGCCAGGTTGGCGGCGAAGCTGCCGATGTAGGATGTCCGGAACAGCCGCTTGGTCTGCTGGTCCATGTTGTTGGCCATGAGGGGGATGGCGTCGCGCTCCACGCCCAGGGCGGCCAGCATCATGTGCAGCACGGCGTCGTGCGTGAAGTAGAAGACGCCCACGGGCGGCGGGATGTTCTCGTAGGCCTCGTCGGTCGCCATCTCCATGCGGCTGCGGACGAGGAGAGAGAAGAACGTGAACGCGGATAGGATATCGACCCGGTCCGCGTTTAACGACCGCCAGGGCGAAGCAGGCGAAGTCACTCCGCACTCCACGGCGGCCCGGCCAGCCCGTCTCGCCGGCGCCACCGCGGCGTGGCGGGGTGGCAGGGTGCAGGCCGCGCCGGCCCGAGCAGCACGTCCGGGGCGGGGGACTCGGGGGCGCCGGCCTGCTCCGCCGCCCTCGCCCTCCGAGGGTGCACGCGGCACGCGGCCCGCGCCACGCCCCGCGGACGGCACGACACAAAAACTTACTCCGATCCTGTCGAGTGATTGCGCCCGATCGAACGGCTTCGTCTCCTCTCACCCCCGCCTTGACACCGAAAGGCACACGTTTCCGTCTGGTGCGCATCGAGGCCTAGATGTCGGCGCGGATCGACTCCGCCGCGATAATTCGCAAATTCGGTGGGAGCGGCGCGTTGCTTCGAGCTCCGCGGCCGTACCGTGCCGCCGTGCCGTGCCGCCGTGCTCGCGGTGGCATGCTGCCTGCCTGCTGCCTGCCTGCTGCACGCACGCGGCTGAGGCCGGCCGGCAAAAAGGAGCGCTTTATTTGCCATCCTCGTCGGCGGGGAATAAAAGCCGCCCTTAAAAACGCCGTTCGACATGCCGACGAGCGCTGCACGCCGTTTCACGGCATTTTGGCTCGCCGGCGACACGAAGCTACACGAACGAACCGCCACACTGCGCGACCCATGCGGCGACCCATGGGCGACCCATGGGCGACCCATCGGCGACCCATGCGGCGGCGGGAGGTTGGAGGGTTGGGTGGGCCGCCTCACCTGAAGTGATCCAGCATGTCCTTGACGGGCGGGCAGCCCAGGTCCACGTTGAGCTGGTCGCCGTACGAGTACCGGTAGTAGTACTGCAGGTCCGCTCGGTACTCCATCACCTACGATGGAACATACAAAGGGCGTTGATATTTTTACAAGGAAATCTTGGAGTGGTTTCACAGCCAGCTCTTCGATTTGGAACATCGCAGAGACATCGCAACGGCTGTCCACCCCAAAAGTTGGGAATCGATCCGGCAGCGCGACGCCGGCGACGCCCAATGGGATTAACCCGCGTCTTGACCCCTGCGACAGCGAGGCAGCGGCGCGACTGGGACGCCGAGTGACTCCCTGCGCCCAACCCCCAGGATGAAAACAGCTTCTTTCTCTCGTTTGGCTTTCTGTGCGTCATTTTACCACCTTTCTGTAGGCTGATTCAGACCACTCGTTTCATCACTTCCGTCTCTCTCGCACCCACGTGGCGATCCACTGGAGTGCGAGAGAGACAGAGCGGCTTGGCTGCAGTGAGCGCGCGCGTGCCGTGATGGCTGATGGCCGCGATGATCGTCGTGGTTTTCACCTCCCCTGCGCGCTGACGCGCTGCGCGGCAATGCGGCACGCGTACCTTGAGGTCATCCTCCGTGAAGGCGGCGCACCAGGGCGAGAGCGAGACGTACTTCCAGGCCTTGTCGTAGCGGCACATCTCCCACATCAGATCGATGTTGTCTGGAAACGAAAATAGAAAAAGGAAGACATTATCGATGCCGTTTTGCCAGGGGCGCTCGACATTCGCGAACGCTGGCACTCACCCATGCTAAGGTTGTAGTTGAAGCCCAGGCGGCGCGACACCCGGGTGATGGTCTGCTCCATCTCGGGGCCCTTCTCGAACAGCTCGGCCTCGGCCATGGCGCGCGCCCCGTTGGCCGTCCACGACGGGCACATCTCGTCGAACTGCAGCACGGGGTCGTTGTGCATGGGCGGCGAGATTTCCACCTCGTTGCGGTTGCGGTCGAAGAGCCCCGACGCGAACGCCTCGGCGCTCTCCTGGGTGCGCTGCGACGACGTGTGCCGGAACTGCAACGGCCAGACGGCCAGACGTCAGCGGGGGCTCTCTGTCTCTCTCGCACTCACGGAGGAGAGAGAAGTGACCAGCAGCTGATTCCACCCGCAAACATTGGTCTCGCCTCGCCTCCTTCACCGGGTGTCCCGGAAGGGAGCGAGGGAGGCAGAGCGACGAAGCAGCGTGTGGGATCGGGGTTGACCCACCTTGAAGCGGTTCGCGGGGTAGGTGTTGTTGAGCAGCTCCGGGAGCCGCCGCTTGAGCCTCCGCGCCAGGAAGGACAGGTCGGCCTGGCCCTGCCCCGTCAGCCACAGCGCCTTGTCCTCGGTGACGTTGAGGTGCCAGCGCGACAGCGCCGCCAGGTCCTCCGGGCACAGCCGGCCCCCTGCAGCAGGACGAGAAGGGTGTGTAGCGCGTCGTGCGCGAGCAGCGCGTCGCGGCGCAGCGCCTGCGGCAAGGCGGGCAGGCCGCCCAACGTGCGCAGGAAGGGTGGCCTGCCCGGCAGGCGCGCCGCGTACGCGGTACGCGTTGCGCCGCGGAGGCCGCGGACCTGCAGCCCCCAAGCCCGCAGCCCCGCAGCAGTGCCAGCTGATCTACCGAACTCTCCGGAGCTTCTTTTCGTCACTCTGTCTCTCTCGCACCCCTATAGGACGCCCCATGAGAGCGACAGAGACAGCGACGAAACGATTCTTGAGAATCAATATTCTGGGGCCCAAGCCCATGCGCGGCGTACTCACCGTGGCCCTCGTGGTTGCGCAGGATGCGGGCCTTGAGCCCCGTCAGGCTCTGCATCTTGCGGATGGTCTCCTGGTCGGGGGCGCGCGTCCCAGGCCGGCCCATGAACCATAGCGTGAGGGGGCGGCAGTCTGGTGGGGCATGCCACGCCATGCCGAGCGATGCCGAGACGCGGACATGCCAGGCAGAAGGCAGAGCGGCACACAGTTAGTACAGTCGCCCAAGGTGGCTGGAAGGGCTGACAAGCGAGACGGAGTCATGGCATGGTCATGGTCGAAGACAGTTCAACAGGGTAACAGAGTGTGCGACGGGCGGGGTTGGCGGTGCTGTCGTCCACGGGCAACGCATTCAGAGTGTGGAGTGTGGAAGTGGCCAGTTAGGACAGGCGTGCCAAGAGGGTAGAGGTCGGTGACGGATCTGCGAGCTTCAAAATGCGCATACATTCATCATCCCTGCTTCGGCACGGCAGCACGGCAGCACGGCACAGTGGTGTTTCATGCCGCGAGGCTGGTAGCTCGCTGCGTCAGTGCGTCCGTCACTCACGGATCGGCGCCCAAGGGTTGCCGCGCCTGCCCTTCTTATAGCTGTTCCTGTTCTCCCTCTCCTGGCTGTCCATCGCGTTCTGCAGGATGAGGTCCCTGAGCGCCGGCAGGGTCTCGTGCAGGCGCACCAGCGTGGGGTAGTCCGGGTAGCTGGTGCCGGCGCGGGCCAGCATCCACACGGTGCGCGGGTAGCACGCTGCAAGGTTGCCAACCCGTCAACGCGTGCCCGCCGCTAGAAATACCGAAATACCCGCGCCGACACGCAGACATGAAATGAAACGAACGCCGATCCTGGGCAAAACAGCCGAACTGGGCGGCCGGCCTGCGGAACGCGCAAACACCAAACATCCCGGCGCGCCGTGCGCCGTGCGTTCCACTGGCCCTGCGTCCGGCGCAGTGGGGCGCAGGCCGATTGCAGCGGCCGCCGTCATCGTCATCGTCATCGTCGTCGTCGCGGAGGTGACGGATCGCTGGCATCGCCGGCGGAAGTCCCCGCGGCCCGCGGCCTGAAACCCGACCGCGGCGGCGCAGCGTGGCGCAGCGCGGCGTGGCATGGCGCAGCCGTGGCGGCGGCAAACTGGCTCAAGTAGAGCTCCATCCCGCCGCGCCACGCCATCAAATGCCGGCCGGGCCGCGGGCCGCGGTCAGCCGCGGCGGCCATTTCCGTCTTTCCCCGAAAACGGCCGCCTGGCCGAGACCAGTCGAGACGCCCCGGGGCTCCATGCAGTACTGCAGTACTCACACGGCACGTTCTGCGGCGAGTCCTTGTGGTCGTACACGCGCTCGTACGCCGTCTTGGGGCCGAAGTACAGGTAGGGGTACTGGTCCCTCGCCAGGCAGTACTGGTCGTCCTGGCCGGCCACCAGCGCCCCCGCGCCCAGCAGCAGCAGCAGCGGCAGCATCTGGAACACCAAGCAGAGCGTCGTCCTTAATGCTGACCGACGGCGACCTTTCCTTCCCTCTCGCACGTGCGCGGTGCGCACCCGGCCGTCATGCACAACGCCATGAATAAGGCAGCCGCATCATTGATGGCCGATGAATCAGTCAGGAGGGCCGAGCGGGCCAGTTCGCGTGTCCGCGTCCCCGGCGGACTAACCCCCGGAGCACCGCCAAACCACCACACCGCCGAATCGAGGAGCACGGAGCACCCCGTGGATGGCCAAGGCAGGGCCGGGCAGGGCCGGGCAGGGCCAAGGTTGGCATTGGCGCGCCGATTGCCCCGGCCGTGGCCTTCCCCCTCCCCCTCCCCCTCCAGGGCCTTCCCCCAACGACAGCCCACAGCGTGACATTTCCGGCCCCCTGCAGGGCGCGGGGGCGCGGTAGGCAGCCCGTGCAACGCGCTGTGCAGTGGGTCAGGCCGTCGGGCCGGCCAGGCCGTGAGCCGTGAGGGCGGAGGCAGGCGGAGCGGAGGCCAGGGTCAGTGGGGCGTGGCGGTGGCGGGGCGGGCGTGGTCCGGCCACTGCGGCGTCCCGGCCGTCCCGGCCGTCCCGGCACAGGGCGGCAAGGGAAGGCAGCGATGTGACGGACTGTCAACCAGGCCATTAGGGAGGAAGCACCACTGGCGAAGCGGCCAAGGCGGCCAAGCAGCGAAGTGGCCATCCCGCAGTGCGATAAAACGGGACGTGAAACCACCGCGAGTGCCAGGGCGCCTAAGGATCAAGTGCGCCGCCTCTCTCGCACCCCTATGAGACGCGCCATGAGTGCGAGAGAGACAGAGCGAGGCCACGCGGCCACAGGGGGTGCCTTTCAGAGCCTGGCGCCGCTGGGGGCGCCACTCGGAGCACTGCACCGCGCCGCCCACCGGCAGGCCGTCAGCAAGTCGTCACCCGAGTCCACTTTGCCCATAAGTCCCCAAGCCCGCCGTCGTCCGTCGGCACCAGCGATCCAGTTTCATGCTGAGCCAGACCGCGGCCAGGCCGCCCGTCTAGACCTCCCTCCCCTCCTCGCGGTCACTCGCGCAGTACCACCATCTTCCCTCATGATGCTGCAAGTGCCGAGCCTTGCAGCGGCCATTACGCCGGTGAGCTCAGCGTGGCTCGTGGCCCAGCAAACCAAGCCTGCAGTAGGGGCGGTCGGGCACACTGTACTGTATGTGCACTGGGTCTCCGCGCAGCGCATAGCGGCCGCGCCGCATCCTTTCCTCAGTCGCGTCTTTGTCCGTTTGCTGGGCCTAGGAGCGGCCTGTCCAGGCCTGTCCGCGCGGGCGTGGGTGTGTGAGCCCCTCCCCTCCTGCTCCGCGGCCCCGCGGCCCCGCGGCCCCGCGCCACTTCGCGTCCATCAATCCAACCTAGAAACGAAAACCGCGTTGGCCGGCTGCACGGCCGCACAGCGCCGCGGAGCCCTTCCCCTGCCTATGAGTGTGACAGAGACAGAGCGACGAGAGGACTCGGCCGCGGGACACGCGCGGGGAGGTGATAACTGGGGCGTGCGCCGCCGCCACCCGCCGGCACGTGCGCGCCGTGCAGCGTGACGCGGACCGCGACCGCACTGCCACCGCCACTGCGCGCGCCAAAGCAGCCAAAGCCCAAGCCGGCGATCCAGCGATGTCGCGGCCGCGACCGCGGAGGGCGGCGTCCTCGCTGTCGTCGGTGACTCCATGCACGCCGGCAGGGCGGTGGCGGTGCAGCGCAGTGCTCGCAGCGCGCCGCCGCCAGCAGCATGAGTTCTTAACCAGCAGACGACGCGAAGGTCCTATCAGAGAGACTCCGAATCCGGTGGCATGGCACGGTGGCGCGGTTCGACGCTATCTAGAGACCCGAGTCTCTAGTTGGAGTCCCATACGCAGCCTTTTCCTCGAGGAAGTGACTGGCTGGCTGCGCAGTCCTAGAGACGTCGCTATTGATAAAGAGCGCGGCGTGGGAGTGTCCAGGGCGTGGGCGGCGCGGCGGCACGGCGCTCGGCTCCGCGCTTTGCTGGCTTTGCTCTTGGCGCCGTCATCCTCCACGCCCTGCGCCGCCACGCCAGGCCGCGATGAGGCACGTCGCTCTGAGTCACGGTGCCACTGCCTCCGCGCCGTCCGCGCCGTCCGCGCCCAGGCAGCCCGCCCGGGCGGCGTTCAATGGCGCTTAAAGGTTATCTCCTCTAGCGCGCGAGCCAGAAGCCAGACGAAAACAACAACCGACCAAAGCCAGCACCGCGTCGGCATGCGGAGAGAGTTAGGCATAAGGGCCTTCTGTGCTCTGAGGACTCTGTGGAGGACGAGGAAAGCCCAGCCGGACGCTGCCCGGCCCGGGGCGCCAAGGGCCGCCTAGCCTAGGGCCGCCCGCCCACGCCGGGCCGCTGCTGTAATTGTCGCTCTGTCCGCAGCGACCGTCCCGTCCAAAACCACAGAGAGAGTCCCAGGCCGCCTGGATCATCCTCGTTCAGCCTCGTCCTAGAGCGTCCTAGACCGTCCTGCGGCTAAGCTCGGCGGGAGTCCAATCCGCGAACCGGTTCAGCCGGGTTGCGCCGGCCAGTGGGCACGAGGCGACAGATAGCCCTGGCCGCCACGCCTGGCTAAAAGGCGTTCCGCTAGTCCTGCCTAGAAAGACGAAGAGAGGGAGAGAGAGCTAGATCGCCTTGCAGGCCTCCCTTTTCCCTTTTCCTTCGACTCCTCCTTTTCTTTCTTTCCGTGACTCGACGCCGTTCGTCGTCCTCCTCGGATTGCTTCGACGGCCGCTGGCAGGCTGACTCTCAACAGTGGTCTCGTCGCTCTGTCCCTCTCGCACTCGTGGGGCGTTCTGTGAGGGTGCGAGGGAGACACCGACAAAGCTCAGTGCAGAATCACTCTGCAGGACGGCCGCTGAACCCAGCGCGTACTCAGGACGACACAAGGATAGACAGATACGCCTCGGCCCCCTCGTCCTCTGCGTCGCGGGGTCACGTGACGTGTCACGCGCGGGCCGAGTCCCGAGTCTATCTCTCCCTCCCCTGCCGCTCAAATTCGGTCAACGGCCTCCGCCCCTTCCCCCTCCCCCCACGATCAGTGCATCTTGTTCCTTTTATTATTTTGATGCCGTGGCTCAGCGGGTACCTGCCGGGTACCTGCCGGGTACCTGCGGGGTAGCTGGCTGCGCGGTCTGGCCGGCTAGCCTGCCAGCTCGTCCGTGCCGCGGTGCCGCCCGCATTCCCCGACGCTGTTACGCCGTGCGCCTACACTGCCTGCTCGGGCCGGCCGCGCACCGACTACCTCAACGTGTTCGCCCTGACTGCGATGGGTGCTGCGGGCGCTCCGAGCCGCGGACCGATTCCGAGGAGTCGTTTCGCCGCTCTGTCTCTGTGGCGCTCGAGAAGCGTTGCGTAGGGGTGCGAGAGAGACACAAGCGACGGTTCTGAATCGACCGCACCCGAGAATTAATTCATCAGGATGCCCAACCATTGCCTTGTGGCTGCGGGGTGAGGTTGACGTCGGCGAGGCGCCGCCGTTGACAGCGCTGCCATGACGACGGTGGGAGCTCGGGCGCAGGGAGCACGCCGAGCACGCCGAGCACGCGGCGGGGAGGCGACGGAGACGGACACGCACAGCACGCAATGACTAGCAATGACTAGCAATGACAGGCCGTATGAATTGAACACGAGCGGTGCATGTTGTTGCTGTGTGCTTCCAGTCCTTCCACCCCGGGGCCGCGCCCCCAGCACCCCAGCACCCCCGGCCGGGCAGGGGATGCGTCCCGCCAGTGGCGTGGCGGCGTGGCGTAGCGTGTCCAGACGCCATAGCGCCGGCTGCACGCCAGGGACGCCGGGGTGGGCCACAGGGCTAGACGCGGCAGCCGTCACACATTTTAATAAGTTCCACCTGGCCGGGCCGTGGTTCGAAACTCAGCCAGTTTGTATTATAAGACCCTCTCCGCGCGCCGCGCCCCCGCGCCTCGAACTTTGCCACCTCCACGGCACTGGGCTAGCTGGGCCCGGCCTTTGCCCTAGCCCGCCCCGGGCCTGGGCCCTTTGTTGTCTGAATGTCAACGCCGCTGTAAGTCTGTGGGCGGAGAGCCCGCTCTGTCTCTGTCACATACATTGGGCGTCGCGTTGGGTTGCGAGAGATGGAGCGGACACATACATACCGACGGCCGGAACAGCGCGGGGGTTAGCGGGCCACGGCTGGAGCGAGCCCTGGTGGCCAGCCCGAAAACACTACATCCGCGGCACCGGCCGCGTCGTCCAGCTGGCCCTCTCCGGTGACGTCTGCCCTGTTTTCCCGCCATCGCCATCATGACCACCGTGACCTTGGCACTTGGCACACCATACGGCAGTGCGGCCGAGGGCGGCCACCTGCACGCCGGGCCCACCGGAACTGCACGCGCTGCACGCTGGCCGGCGTGGAGAAGCACCTCATCGCCATCCCCGTCACCTGTCGCGCTGTGCGACTTGGTACGACTTGGTACGACTTCCCCCGGCATCAGGCGCGCACTCCAGTGACTCCAGCGCCTTGGCGTGGCCAGCGCCGCGGTTCCTCCAGAACAGCGCTGCGAGGGGCAGCGATGGGCCCCACAACAACAACAACAACACCTGTCCGGCCGTCCGCCAACCAGCCAGACCGGCTCAGCAGATGAGCTCACAGCCTCAGGAGCGAGAGGAGCCCGTGGAAGGGGCGGGGCCGTAGGCCGGCGCGGTGCGGCTGCCCTGGGCATCCTCGCCGGACGCAGGACCCGCTTCGCGCCGTTCGCGCCAAGCCAAGACCGAACAGGACGCCCGAGCGAAAAGGACTCGTAACGCCACAGGGACGTTAACGCAGCCCCAGGACGCTTGGCTGGCTTGGAGGGCTTGGCTGGACCACGCCGGGCCGGTGCAGGCCGGTGCCAAAGCACGACCCAGGGCGGCTGGACAGGCGATGGCGGCGGTTGGTTCGGCGGCGGTTGGCGGTGCGCTCTTGCTCCCCAGTGTCCAGTGCACGCCGCACGGTGTGGCGAGTGCGGGGCGCAGAGCACCGTGCCAAGCGCGAAGCGCGGCCTACCTTACGACGATGTCTAGGTATCCTCCGAAACTCCAGCCGCCGGACTCCTCGGCGTCTTGCAACGACGCGCCGCGACGCTTGGCTCACTTCACTCGACGGCAAACGCCTGACGCCACACAACGCCACTCGGAACTGGACTGGCCGCTCACTCTCCACCAAGGCGGGGCAGTGACTGGTCTGGCGCGGACGCGGCGCGTCCTGGCCAGGCCGCCGGGCCTCCAGCACCGCGCCGCGCCGTGTCGCCCTCCCCCTGCCCGTCCCCGTTCCCCTGCACCACCAACCCCGCCACCAACCCCTCCCCGCGCGCCCGACCAGAACCCCCACCTCCTCACGATAGCCCCCCATGGCCTACGCTGCCTACGCGGGTGCCGCGAGTAGGTGGTGCAGGTACCTAGGACGGTACCGGCCAGGGTATCCAGCTCCAGCTGGTCAAGGCAGCGGGAAGTCTCGTCGGTCTGTCTCTCTCGCACCCATACGGCACGCCCCTAGAGTGAGTGTGAGAGAGCGCCTGCTCGGAACTAGGAGTCAGCCTGCAGCGCATGGCATCGGCTCGAGCCTCACGGCCGCCGGGTAGCACCGAGTACCTTCCTTGGATGACAAACCACTCCATAATCCCCCTCTCTCATTCCCGCTGTGGTTTCCGGGAAGCGAGACTCCAGCGACACGTACCTTATTTCCAGGTCCAGTCCAGGCGCGGCGCCGCGAGGCCGCAGCTAGCACCGCGTCATACCCCACGCCCACGCGGCCACTCCTGGAGGCGAGGGTGAATCACTCTACGATTTGGTGTACACATGGGTACAGCGGACTGATTCCGAGCACTGCTTTCGTCGCTCTGTCTCTGTCGCACTCACGAGCCATCCCGTTTGGTTACGAGCAGTGCTCGGAATCAGCCTCCAGGTGAAATACGCGCCTTACAATAATCGGGAATTATATTTAAATGTGGAGCGTTTGTATGCCTTTTCTTACAGCAAAAACAAATCAGAGTAAAGTGCCAAAATTTGGTGACTAGCGTCTTTCGTACGGGAAGGGTGTCTCTTCCATTCCTTCACAACACGACCAGTAGATTCGTCAGTGCGACAGCCGTTTGACAGCTCGACGCGTGACTCAAATCATCCGCCACGTTTGGCAGGCGCGCCAACTTCACAAACAACACTCACGCCCTTCATGAAAACCGCTCGCCGTTCGTCGGCATGACAATCAAAGACAGCTAACTCGATCATGTACCGTTTCTAGTTCTTTTTTCAATAACCGTTTCGAACGGAGGTTGTCATGATAACCAGGCGGGCATCCCAATGCGTTAATGTTGCTCACCCGATGGGCAACCACTGAAGAACAAAGGAAGAAGAAAAAGAGGACGATGATTCGTCGTGAAGGTTTTCATTCATCAAGTACACTTACGTGGGTTTACATCTATTCTTTCTTTTGTGACTCCTGTTTATCGTCAATTTTAGTATAGGCGCTTGACGGCGCTTCTGAATATACCATCGAGGTGAGAAATGGTCAATCTACTTTTCTCGCGTTCGAGGAACTCCGTTAGTTGCAATAGTTTCATATTCACCCTTGATAGATCTGACTTCCACTTTTATTTGTTGTGCAGTAATGTTGTCCAATCGGCTGCACTATGCAATGGACTTGAACTTTGTTGTTTTGTCCTTCATTTTTGAAACTTTTCCTGTGCTCTGAGAGACCCTTATGATACTTCCGTGCTTTTTTCCGAGGATATCCTATCTATCTCCTGACGTAGACATAACCTTCCACTGTATCCTGTCTCATTTGTAAACAGAAGGATTATATATATATATTTAGAATTTCATTTCGTCTGCATTTCTCTAAGTAAGTGTGTACATACCTCCCGGAATAATTTCACTGTTCCCTCTCAGTGTGTGAATTATTCATTTCATGCTTATCAAAACATGACCTCGATGTTGGCACTTAAAAATCTTCTGTCAGAGTTGGATGCGACTTCCCTATTTTTATTATTTAACATGTTGTTTCACTTTTTGTGATGTCCCCTGTATGGTTTTGTGAGAAATGTTTGTGACTATGTATTGTTAAATTTAAAAATGAATTATGTGACAAATCTCAACTACGTTCGGTATATTTGTTTACATTCTTTATCATTTCTAGAACTGAAAGAAAAGTAATATTGCTGGGGAAAGACTGAAAATTCTTAAAGGGCAAGTTATTTCTCTTCTGTTTTTGTCATTGCAAAATCTCTGGTGTTTAACTCTTGAGTGTTTTCTGACAATGGTATATCTGGCGGTCATAGATGCGGAGACAAAGGGAGGATATGCAAGTTAACATGGCCGGACTACGCCGACACATAATTAACATTGCACACAATTACTCATCTGCCCAAGTAAGAATTCTTCAACTAGAGGCAACTTATGCCTACATTGTTCTGCCTTAATCTGTTTTTCTTTTTTAAATTATTTAATTAATTAATTAATTAATTTATGCATCCTTTTTTTAGGTGTTGGTCCGTGAAGCTACAAGCAATGATCCATGGGGCCCAAGCAGCCGACAGATGGCTGAAATTGCTGACCTTACCTACAATGTTGTAGCATTCACTGAGATCATGCAGATGCTATGGAAACGTTTGAACAGTGATGGCCGCTATTGGCGACATGTCTACAAGTCCCTGTTAGTTCTTGAGTATTGCATTAAAACTGGATCCGAGAAGGTAACATTTCTTCTTTACATTTCATTCAATTATGACTGCTCCCAACAAGGCATGCTAACCTTCCTATTTCATGCAGGTTGCTCAGCAATGCAAAGAAAATATTTTTTTTATTCATACTTTGCAAGATTTCCAGTACACTGAAGACGTTAAAGACTTGGGTAAAAACGTTCGTGAGAAAGCCAAGAGTCTTATTGCCCTCTTGAAGGATGATGAGCGATTGCGTAATGAACGAGCACGTGCTTTGAAGGCTAAAGAGAGGTCTGCTCAAAATGCATCAGCCTTTGGTAGCGACGGTGGTGTAAGTCATATCAATGTTCTTGAAAATTAATTAATGTTTCTAAGACTCCTTTGATTTCAAATTTGATTTTCTGTGCCCCAGGACACGCCTACAAGCCCTCCTTTCCTCTATGTAAGTGAATTTGTTGCAGTTATTACTATTTTTATTATTAACAATGATAATTGGTGATTTTCCCCTACTCTTTGTTGTTGTTATCAAGTGCTTTCTTAAATGCTTTATTTTATCTTCAGGGTGGAACATGGGGCCCTCCTCCTCCAAGTGAAATGGAAGCAGCTGCTAGGGGTAATGATAAAATTTCATCCAAAAATTATTTTTTTCAGTTTCTCTGCCGTTTTGGAGGACTTTGGTATTTTATTTTTACAGCTGTTGGTCCAGAACTTGAATGTGCTCGCCCACAAACGGTTGGTGAAGAAGAACTCCAACTTCAACTAGCCCTGGCTATGTCTCGAGAGGAAGCTGAGCAGGAAGAGCAGCGTAGAAGAAGTGATGACGTGAGACTTCAGTTAGCTTTGTCTCAGAGTGAAGATGAATTTAAGTAAGAATCGAACTTCCTCAGGTTGCGGTTGAAATCGAGGCAATCTGTTATACATTTTACCTGCCCTGTAGGAATATTCCTGGTCATTCTGGTCCAGCAGAGAAACAAAGCCATTTGCTTGATCTCCTGGATGTTAGCCTTGGCCCTGTTGCCGGTCCATCTTCTGCTGGAGCAGTGGCAGGGGCAGCTGCAGCTGTTGATCCTTGGGGAATGCCAGCTCAACCACTTCCTCCTCGCCCTCAAGTAAACAAATTGAGAAAATTATAATAATGTTGTCCCAATATGTTTTACCTGACTGGTTGTTTTCAAGGTCTTATTTTTATGTACTGTGTATTGTTTAGGTGGACCCATGGAATCTTCCTCAACCTTCCACTGCATCGGCATTATCATCTGGCCTAGGTGGTAGTGGGGCTGCTGCTGCAACTGCCTCCACTGTTCGAGCCAGTGCCCATGATCCTTGGGCACCTTTAGAATCAACTCCTCCTAAACCAGGTATTGGTCTCTGACTAGTAACATATTAAAAAAATAAGCTTCAATCATTTTTGTTGGTACTTTTTCACTTATTTTATACTCTTTTTTTTTTTGCCCTGTGTTGTAGCTGTTGACCCATGGAAGGCTGCTTCTCCAGTGGCACCCAAAGTTCATGATCCTTGGTCACCTTCCTCGGCAAGCTCTGATCTTGCCACACCATCGAATAATTTGCACAGTCCAGCCAGTGACCTCGATGACTTTGACATCATCTCTAACAGGGAGCGGCCTGGCCTGAACCAAGCCAGCAACATAAACACAACCAACAACAACAGCTCTGGTAAATACTTTCAAATAATTACTGTACTACAATTTTATCAATGTGTTTGGCACCTTCATTGTGATTTTTGGTTTCAGATTCTTTAGACTTTTCAGGCCTTGGTGATGTTTTGAGTGAAATCAAGCCAAGTGTCAAGAAGAGCCCTCACAGTTTCCTTGGAGAGAATTCTTCCCTTGTCAATCTAGACAATCTGGTTACAATAAGCCCTAAGCCAGCACCAGCACCAGTACCGCAGGGTAAGATTCAACAAAAATTAAACAAAAAATTCAATTTAATTTGCGTTTTTTCATTTTGCCATGCAAGTTGCCCACTTTTGGTCTTAGGATAATTAGTAATTACTTCTGTCTTTACCTTGAAGGGACGTTTGGAACCGTGAACCCGTTTTCGTCAGGACCTGCTGTGCCAGCTCCCGTTGGTACCGCAAGTAACCTTTTTCAGCAGCAGGCTGCAGCACAAGCAGCTAGACCATCCATTAATCAAATTCGACAGCAACCGTTTGGATCCAGTGGCACGGCTCAGCCTTCATCAGGATTTGTTCTGCCCCAGCCACTTCAACCAAACCCCTTCCTTTCTTAAATTTTTTGCTGTGACTGAATAGTTATTCTGGAAACTTTGCACTCTTCTGCACCCATTTTTATTGTTCTTACTGATGTGTGTCTTGATGAAGCATAGTAAATTCAGCACATTCCATTGTTGGTTTTGTCAGATGTTCTAGGATGTGTCTTGGAGTTTTGAAGTTGTGAATGAATTTAATGAGAGCCTTTGCCTGCCACACTCTCAAAATCTAAAAATAATGTGCTGACAATTTCTGTGCTCATGTACATATCAGGGCAGAACACTCACTTTGTTTTTGTCATGATAAATCCTTTGATTTTCAGTAACTTTTCAAAAATTGACTTTTTGGGACCAGGACTTAAATCTTTTGTACTTCAGCATTCCAACTTTCTATCTGGTTCTCACTGCCTTAAATTATTACTCAGATTTGGTACTTGAGCTTGTAAGGGCTACTTTGGTGAATAAAACTTCAAGGCAGCTTTTTATTCTAAATTGATATTTTTCTGTCCGTATTTCTGTATTTTTGTTTCAGGATCATATGGAAAGAGTAGACGTGATTTCTGTTGAGTCTTATTTATTATCAACTTGACATGCAGCCTAATGGTTCTTGTCAAGTTTAATTTAGGTGAAGAAAAAACAACTATGAAAAGAAATATTTTGAATAGCTGAAGCTCTTCACATTATAAAGTAGTGTTTGGATATGATGATGAGTTTTATTATTTGTTATTGTTTGTGTAAGGAATCCATGCAGTAAATGTCAATTTTCTATCTTGCTATTATGACATGGTTTACAGATTGCATTTAGTAACTTGTTAAAGGAGAGAAAAATATAGCAGTTACATTGATGATATGTTCAGATTTGTCCATTTCTTATCTTCTGACGTGAAAGTACACTGAAAATGGGTCTCCTGTTCTTAATTTTGCAACCACGACCTGGTTCTTGGTATTAATGCACTCTGAATCCAAATTGTCAAATTATTTAAATTTAATTTTAAGCAAAACATAATATAATCCTTCTCTTTGTGAATGAAAACAGACTTTTATGATTCACATATTCATGTGGGCTGTAATTATTTGAAGTGAGTTTAGACAATGGGGGTTTTTCTACTTTTCAACTTCTTTCCAAGTATCACTAAGCTTGCTCAAGGAGTGACATCTATTTCAGATTTGTCACATTTCTGGTAGTTGTAGTTTCCATAGTATGCTCCTTGGCAAAATATGTTGATAATCTTAATTTGTTTTTGTATCTGTGTATGGTTAGCATTTTGCTTAAGTTGCTTGTTGCTCATAATTGCTGTATTAACCAGTTTTGTCTTTAGTTTCTTCTTTCCAAATCTTTCCATTTAATAGATCAGTAAATGTGTAGTCCCTATAATCTATCTGGTGTTGAGGATGGTGTGCTGGGCTATGCTGTATTGAAATGTGCAATACCTTTTGAATCTTATATTTTATTACTGAGTGTCCTGGTATGTTGGTTTCACTCATTCTTATCATGCAATTCAATTGCTTTCTTTTTTGTGAAACCATTTTTTGGATAGGAGGCTCATTAACTGACAAACCTTCATTTGGAGACAACAGAGGAAAGCTCCTAGCTTTACCTCATTGATGAATGTAAAAATCAAGGCTGTTCTATTTTAAAATTATTTATCCTAGTTTTGCTCCCAAAATTTGTCCATGGTTCTCTTGCATCAAAGTTTCTACATTCATAATTTTATCTTCAGCTTTGAAAGTATTTTGCCTAGCGCTTGTTTGAGAGATCAATTGTTCTGTATCAGAAATCCATTTCTTGGATGACACACGAACAACTTGTGGTATCGATTAGTTAGACTCTTGTATTATCCTTCACTGTGATTTTGAAACGTCCTATCGTGTTTTTTCAAAACACTTCCTTTGCAGAACGACTCATGGCTAAACTTCGCAGATTGGTGTCTAGTGTCATACATTTGCCAACATTCAATGAAATTAAGAGAATGTTTGTATTACAATCGATTTTTACTGTTAGAAGTACCAAGTACTGCCCCTTTCAAAAAGATTTTTAATGACCGACCTTTCACTGTAGAGAAGACTGACACAATGTGTGCACACTGTGTTTCATGTTTCCATGTTGTGTATTTGCGCACTCAAAAGAGCACGGTTTTACCCCAGTGCAATTGATGACCATGTGACATATTCTTGGCTTTAATAATAGTGTTCTAGTGTGATTTTACTATGCTTCCATCCAGCAAACTTAAAGGGTATATTTTACAAAACGAACTGTTTTTATGGTTCCAAGATTTATGGATACCTTTGCGGTATCTGTATCTCTGACAAAGGTAAGGTGCTGGTCAAATTTGAGGAAAGGACATTTTTGAACCCTCTTCATTCTCAAACTTGATCATTTTACTTTTTCTCTTTCTCAAATCTGCAGTAGTAATGGTTTCTTGGTTCTGTATGAATTAGAGTATGTAAATAAGTTTGTAATATATGAAATTTATATGTTAAATAATGTTGGTTGATGTGGACAACCGTATTTTTGTACATTATGAAAGTCTATTGGTTATGATATCATTTTTGGCATGGAACAAATTGGAGGAGGGTATTAACTGTAGCCTAATTCATTTTTAAGCAGAGGCAATTTACATGTTCATGAATTAAGTTTATTGTAACCTTTATTTACCCATATGAATAGATTCATTCGGTGTAGATTCTGAAGTATTATAAGACTAGAAAAGCATTTATTTCTTGTTTCAAACTTATTTTGTTTTAGACATCTTACATGTACTTGAGGAGTGATACTGATGTTGGACTGCAGAAATTATTTCCAATTTCTGTTGAATGTTCGTCCGAGACTGATTGCATTCTTTGGCTGTAGTGGTGCGCAAGCAAACTGTCATTTCGTTGATGTTTTTGTAAACCATGCAGTAATGCTAATAAAATGAAAGACGTCAATTTCATGTTTGAGTGGGAAAAGGAAGGCAAATTGAGGCTTATTTTAGTATTCAGTAATAAGGTTTATTTTTGTCTTGACTTTTTCAAAACAGGACAACAAAAAGAAAAGAACCTATAGGCTGTATGAATTTCGCAGCTGTACTCATCTCAGTCCCTTGTACAAGTGGTGGTTCAGTAGTAAATGCACTAACTGTACAAGTTCCCACACAAAGGTTACACTCATCTGGCACTTAGGCAAGTGTAACCTATGAAGCAAATTAATATGTACTATCATCACAAATTCCACAACTCATTAACTTTGATAGGAGGAACCCACTGATTGATCAGGCTGAAACAGGGAAGTAATCAAGTTTTTGTCTTTCTTGTTTTGATTTATAAAGGAAACGTTAAAAACCACTCATTGCGAAACCGAAACCATTCTCTAGATATACAATGACTGTCTTTCAGCACTTTCAAAATTCGACCCTTGAGTTGCCAATTTAGGACTATCTAGCTATAGCATTTCTATAGGTCAATAATAAACAAAATTTTGTCAGTCTGGGCTTCGATATCAGTCTGAGCTAACGTTTCAGCAGCTTTCCTGTTTCATATCTTATCACGCGAGCTAAGCCGTCTTCTAGTAATAAAACATGCTACGAGTTCACAAACATCAAGTACAACTTCATGCTTTTGGCAGACAGCTTTGATGCAATTTGATACTACGTTCAAACATGCTCAAGAACTTAAGTCTGAATCAATAAGGAATACCTGATCCCATGCAATACAGAACACAGAGGTTCCTTTGAAGTTTCAATGCAGTGATGTTCACGTCTCAAAGTAAAATCTGTCATCAAATGAAAGCCATACTTTCTAGCCCATGAGCAAAGCTTTCATTGTTTGACAAAATCACAAATAGTTCTTGTTGCAAGTGAAATTTTATTCAGTTTATAATCATGTATTCAGAAACTAATATTGTACAAATAAAACAAACAATCCAGAGAAGAAAAAAACAGAATAAAAAGTGAGTGAACAGGTAACCAAAACAATTAAATATAAATAGATTAAAGAAAAGAACATAAAAAAGGTTAATAAAAGAACTACTCTGAACATAAACTTGCAGAAAGAACAAAAGTTGAGTGTCCAATTGTTTTCCATATATTTTTTTTTTTTTTTTTTTGGAAAGAGGAAAACATTCTTGAAGTCAAGCAATAGCTTCAAGTTCTGTGGGAAAACTTGTTCATTTTTAAATAACTTCAAAAGTAACACACATTCTCTCACATTTAAAACTTGCATGCTCCTAAAACAGATCACAGTCCACACACAATCACACTCACGTTCACACACATTTATATTCAGTCACACACACTTGTACAATTTCTATGTCTATTTCACTGCAATAGAAAACAACAATATCTTTGTCCTTGCAAAATCCATCAAGTTCACCAGTTCTTTATCATACTCCACACAACAGAACAAAACTTGATCTAAGGCTTAAATTTTAAGACTGGCTTCAAGCACAATGGAATCTCATTAAGTATAAATGTCTGAGTATTATAAAAAATGTGAGATGGCAACACTACCATTCAATATTTAACGATACTGGTACCATCATGTTTTTAAACATTCAGAGGTAGGCAAACAAGACACTTGGCATTGCTTTGGAGAATCAACTTAAAAGATGGATGTAATAAGCATTCTGTAGTAGGCATAACTGGCATCACCAATAATTAATAGTGAAATAGTTTAATATCAGTTAAAGCCGGTCAATTTCATATTATTGTAGGTAACAGTGATTTGCTCTTCAGAATGAGAGCGAAAGCAGAGACAAAGTACAAATCACCAAGCAAACCAACATAAAAATGTGTCAGATCTCAGATAAAGAGCTGATCTCTCCAATTTTGCCTACCTCTGTTGGTATCAGGAATATCACAATAACAACCATAGTGACATACTAGAGAGTTACAGTACCGCACTATTGATACTCAAATAACAAGGAATGGTCTATTTTGACAAAACTGCCCCTGGAGGCAAGAGAAAAACACAACAAATACGAAACAAATTTTTTAAGTTGGAAATACGATACCACTATGATGTTTTCATAACAAATAAACAAATGATGAGGTCAGGGGCTTTAGATGACTGTCCATGACAAAGACTCACCATGACCAAAGAACACTTTTGATGGCATTACTCAGGACATGTTCTGCACAAAGAATTCACAATGAATAGATTCCAAACATCCGATAAAAGGAACTGGAGACTTCTTAGAACCATTTTGATCTCAACGTGAAAACCTTCCAATCTGAAAGAATAATAGACAAAACTTGACATTTCTAGAAAACATGATTCAAAACAGAGAAAAGAATAAAAAGAAACTGGAATGCTATAAATTAAAAAAAATGAGGTTGAGATAAAAACGAATTCTTGGCATGGACAGATTGAAATCACAGGGGAGGAAAAGTCAGATCTTTAAAAATTGCCTCTGTCTCTGTATTTTATTTCATTCTTTTTTTGGGGGGGTCAGAGACGATAGTCACACATACTCTGCTATTACTGTTTGAATTTTCTTGAAACACTTGAGCAATAGCTGGATCAGTGCATAAGGAAACATTACCTGAAAGGTGGATCAAAAATGAATTGACTGACAAATAAAAACAATTTCACTCCTCTATGATCTCAGTAAGCAGAAATTGCTTTGGACCTAACAGAGGAACCGACACTAAGCACAGGCTGAGATATCTTGCATTGAGAGCGTTTCCCCACATTAAAAGCCCAAAACTAAGAGTTTATCAACACATTAAATTATCACGATAAGGCAAATGGGTAAGATAAAATTATGATTCTTACAATCTAGGGTTGCCATCCAAAAGGGAAAACAAAAACAAAACAAACATACAATGCTAAAAAGGTAATGTTGCAATGTGTGGAATACAATTGATAAGCACATGCGATATGTCAATTCACGCAAGGAGTTCGGAAAGAAGGGTTGGAAAGAAAATATTTTGTCTTCTTCTCACAATCAACTTTTCACCTTCACACAGAATGAAAATTGCAATCATAACTATCAACAAAAAGTACTGTCATAAGTACAGATAATGACTGTCACTGGTTACTTCAAGAGTGTCTACATAAATATAAATAAAGAACCTTTAACAAAACTTTGTGATGAAAATGAGAAAGTCTTTTCCTTAAAAGTTGGTTCAGACCTAGGAAGTACTTCAAACAGAAAGAATTGGCATGTCATTTGGATCGACACTTGCAAAACAATGCATTCTCATTCCTTAAATTTCTCACTTAAATAAAGAAGTTCAACTTTTAAAAAATGAAAGTACCTAACTTGACTAAATGTTATCACATTTCTAAGAGCATAAGAGATTTTTGCACTTAATAAGTCACAGATGAAAATAATCCTCACTGGATCTATTAGCAAAAAAGTCCAAGCCTATACCCTCACAGAAGTAAAATGGCAACACGAAGACACCGAAAGAGGAACGTGATGGCATACATTTGAGATACTGATTGATATTCAAACATCAACTCCACTATTTGATTAGAATAACTGCACATAACATTTGGAACTATCATTCCAAAAGGTAGAGTAAAGGAACACTGGGTAGAATAATTTCCTTTTTGGGATTGAGAAACAACTAGACAGAGCAGCCAAGTCAGCAAAGCCTCTTGACAAACAATGATTTTATATTATTTGGGTAAAGTTCACAGCAACCCACAGATACAAAAGGAGTAGGGGCAACCCTAATTGAAAGACATTTTCTCATTTCTTTCTGCAAAATAAAAAACAACTTTTCCTTCAGTTTTTTTTTTTTTGTATTTTTTTTTTAAGTTTTCTGATACTGTATGTCGTAACTTTTTCTTTTTTTTGTTTAATTTTAAATAGGTTTACCAGAACGTGTATCCACCCTCACTGCCACCAGCCAAATAAGAGCCTTTCTTCTGAGTAAGAGCCACACCATGTCCAGCCATGGCTGCCAGTTGTGCGGCATTGGGAGCCACTCCAGGAGGAGACTGGGGGATCACATTTTGTGCAATTCCGTCAAACCTTGCACCTGCATCGTAGCCACCCTTGAGAAACAAATATAGAAACATTGTGAGGATAAGATAAGATAACATATTACCACCACAGTAGAGTTGGCAAATACACAACTAACCGGAACCATGATTGCAGGTCTGAACTGGGGTGTAGCTTGCTGCATTCCTGGATACGCATACGCTGCTAAAGGTGAGTAGTAAGCAGCCTGCATTGGGTTGTAAGGAGGATAGCCAAGATAACCGGGATAGCCTTGAGCAGCATACATCTGTGCAGCAGCAGCAGCAGCGGCAGCAGCTGCAGCACCAGGCGGGTACATCTGAAAGAGTTTCAGCATGATTAGCAAATGAGGGCACAATTTCATCACTAAGGTTCACATTAAAAAAAAAAAATGCAGTCTGAAGACGATATCAAAAAATATAATTTAAAGGATTGCATTGCATACATACCTGTTGTCCAACCATAGGGTGTCCTAAGGTTTGATCATAAGTCGGAGGCGGACCCTGAGCTTGGGCTTGTGCTGCAGCTGCAGCAGCATACAGGTTGGTTGGGAACACGCCATAAGGACTAGCGCCAGCCACTGAGAATGACAAATCAAAATGAGTGCACACACAGACACAAAAATACATAACAAAAGAAACAAGGTTAACGCCTTTATGTCAGTAATATTTAGACATAACTAACCTCCATAAGCTGCTTGAGCTGGACCATGCACAAAGCCTTGAGGGGCCTGTGGAGGAGCACCTGGGTAGGGAGCTGCAAAAGACATAAAAACGGAATGAGATGCTGACCATATATGTTGGGTGTTGCCCAAATCAAAGAGGCAACTGCTCCACTATTCAACTTGATTCTTTACTCAGAGAGACCACTGTGGCAATTGATTTCTCTTAATTTTGGAAGGTTAAACCTTACAAAATATTGATGTATGCAGAAATAAAATTCTTGAGATCTGATGTATATTAGATGCAAAAAATGGAAAAAATAAGATGTCTTTGTAATATTAGGTCTTAATGAATTCATCAGAGAAATTAAAATAAAGAATTTTGGTTGAAGCACTGTTGTCTGGAAGGACTTGGTTTAGGTACATTTGATGTTATAAAACTGAATGGCTCAGCAGATACTTAGAAATAGTGAATTTTGAAAGCAGTAAACCTAGCAAAAGGAAAGGGAATTTTAAGATAGAACTGAAAATTGACTTAAAACAATTAATAAACCTTTTATCTAATGATTGTTCCACATTGTGTGCTTAACTCATCAGTTGTGAAAGAGCCCATAGCCCATGCAGAAAAGCACACAACCCAACTTAAAATGAGTTTAACAAACAAGAACAAACCGCTGACATGGAATGACATTTATAAAAGTTAAAGACAAACCAAATCACAACCGGTGTAAGGTATGATTTATTAGACTCTCAAATGAATCTTATAAATGCACCTTACACTACAAAAGTGCTTCCTTTGGAATAAAATGAAATAAATAAAAATAACAGAACATGTACAGCTAGCAGCAGCATGCAACTACCACCAACACTAAAGCACTATTTTGTATGTGAACACTTAATGGGAAAACAAAACAAATAAAACAAATGCATCACAAACAGCCAAACATGGTGCACGAAGTAGATATAGGTTGGCAGCTGCTTTAAAACTATTTTAAGACATAAAATGCTTTGAAAGGGAGAACAACAGATTTTAAAGTAAACTAATCATTTCTCATTGAGGATAATTATTATTCTAGTAGAAGTTTTAAATGAGTTGCTTCAGTTCTTGAGAGCAAGCTGCCAAGCCCACTACAACAGAAATCCTAAATGTTAAAACTGCAACTATACAGGAAACCCTCAAAACACGGCGTTGACAAAGTCGCAAGGACTGTTCAATTAACTTTGAGGAAAAGGTTCATGATGTGTCAAGATGTGGATGCAATGTTCTTTCATTTAAATTGATAGTAAATATTTGATTTGTATGTCATCTATTAAAAACAGAAGCTACACCATTACATTTTGAGAGTTTCAAGGAGACATGCAGACACTAAAAATGCTCATGCTCTCTACAAATATTAGTCTGAACTCTGCGCTTGCACACTTGTACGAAAACATGCTCACACTAGTCAAATGTGCTGACTGTAGCACTAGTCTCTTTGGGAAAGGCTGATATTCTGAAATCTGGTAGGGTGCTTTCAAAAATGGATGAGGACTGTTAACTGTTTTGCATTCTACAAAAACTTCACCAAGTATCATACTAAGGACAACTCCTACAATTCCCAGGACGGAAAAGATGATTCAATTAATGCCTGCGTAGAGGAGTATGATTTTACAGCTTCGACGACATGTATAACAGAATTTTCACGACGAAATGCCAAGACATTTTGAAGTTCAATGCCTTCAGCATGGCTTCAGGCAGGGGAAAAGACTTGTCTTGAATTTATCAAGGAAAATCAGCCTATTCCTTCACAACACTACCATGGCTACCGGGTCACTACCTAACCATGGATAAAATTTAATCAAATTAGTGATTCCACTTACTGCCAAAGTAACTTGTACACATGCTCTATATACACAACATGCACACCACAACTCAAACTCCATGAGACAGACTATTCGGTTGACACACTTAAAACATGTCAGATCAATGAGCTATTGAATTTGAAGAAAAAAGTCCTTCATATAGGTATAAAATAATATTGAACTTAGGTTTTCACAGAATACACGGAGCTTGAGTTGTGATAAATATTAACGTGAGTTCTACACATGCACTACAAATCCTGAACAAGCACAAGAGAATTGTTGATGTTCAATCTCAATGGAACACTTATGGCCAGCACCAAGTTGGCCATCTTTGACTTGACTCAATTATCATTAAAGATTTCCATTCCAGCTTCTATTTCTGTGCCTATTCAGGATTGGGGGTTAGTAAAATATGTTAAGTCTACAAGCATCGATATCTGTACAGTCCCAAAAATTAATAAAATAATAAAAGGAACACATGCTCTAAGTAATAATTTGCTTCCTTTGTGTTTTTAAAATAAAAAATTTACTTTTAAATATAAGACAAATAATAAAATGGGATGGGAAATAAATAAAGTTACAACTAAAGTAATATCATATTTCACACATAGAGCCTAATATGGAAATAACTGCACCAACAAAACTAACAGAAAGGTTAGTTCTTTCAAATGCCTAATGTGATAATCGAGAAAACGTCAGATTTAGATTACCATGAACTGAAAGAAAAATGTGAGAATCTGTTTGGGGTGCATGTAGACTTTTCCTATTGCATTAAAAATTTAGTTTTCATAGCAAAAGACTGGGTAAAGAAGCTTTATGTGTGAAAACAGCAGGAAACAAATAAAGAGTTATCATTTTGCATACAGAAAGGCGATTCGTGAACATTGACTAAGCAAGACACATGATTGCATCATTAGCCCCACACAAATGCTCCCACTTTTCCAAGAGCGGGATAGCAAGGAATGTAAAATACAATTCAAAATTTCAAGGATAGGTAAAAGAGCACACAAATAAATGACAATGACATGCCACCCTTCTCTAAAGTATTTGAATTGACTTTGACAAAAAGCACCTAGTGCTGTTCATACTATGAACAATAATTCATATTGGGCATGTATGCGGCGTTATTCCAAGCAAGGGGTACATATCCTGGCATTATGAACTGTATTTAACATTCCAAAGAATAACAATGGATTATAGTGCCAAATAAACACCATCGTGACAATGTTGGTTGGTAAAACCCAACAAAACTACAGCAGAAATCTGCTAGATGGTAGCAAGAGGACAAGTGTGAGAACTTTAACATCAATCTTTGTTATTAGTTTTTAATTTATCAAGTTATGATTGGTATTTGCCGAAAATAAATTGGACCCCAAATGAGGTAAGAAAGAAATTTCACGTACTACACGAATATTGAAATAAAATTATGTCTGATGCTAAAGCTCTTGTGAAAATGACTTAATACGGCATGCACGGTGCTTGTTTGAAACTCCAAACAGCACTAAGACCAGGGGATTCGTCTGATTCATTAACTTTAAGACAAATGAAAGAAATGTAATTGTATTGAAATTAACACAGGCTGAAAATGCTCAGAACTGTAACTTGACAGCAACAACGATTTGGAAATTTGATTTTAATAAGTGCACTAGGACCATGACCAACTGGGTGAAAAGGGCACATATACACCAAACCGTAGCACAATCACACACAATGGTGCACAGTCCCAATGCACTTGATTCCTAAGTATCCTCATTCTACCATCCATTCATGCAAAAATCTCACATCATTGTTGACAAGAAATAATGACTTTCTTAAGAAAAAAAAACATGTTGCACTCCAATTGCTACGCTAATGGTAAAAAATAACTAGTGAAGGAGATTATAAGACAAGCAACCAGCCAGTTTGGTAAAAGAAACACTTAGAAGAGGTATTTATGGTTTAAATACGCTGTCACTGGTTTTATGGTTTTCGCTAGTAACAGGCCGATCCCCTCGCCAGAAAACATCCATCAAGAAGGAAGCTGGAATGAATAATTAGCATTGATTTACCCTCCAAAAAATGATATCAGTAAAACGTGCACGAGTCATAAAACCGATAATTATCTCGGTGTCGTCGATCGTGGGTCAGCACATTTTTCCAAAGAATGGAAGCACTGCACTTTGCCTAGTGTTAATGGATCAGTGCTGGAGTACTCTGGAATAAAAAATGCAACACATACGAGAACGGATGTACAAAATGATCTAAAGTTCTGAGGAAAAGTACCACCAAACCCAACAACTTTCTATGTATTTATCTTATTTCATTATGAAGAATAAAAAAAAATCTAAAAGAAAAAGTCTAAAGGCAAACAGTACATGGGTCTGGGTGTACTTTGCGTTAGAATCTAATACAACTCGTCAAATTAATATGTTGACTTCGTCACAATGAAAACAAAACAAATAACAGGTTTAGGTCATAACCTATAGTTAAATATTTGTAAAAATAAATAAATAGAAGACAACATTTTACAAGCTAAAAGCAAATAAATAAAACTCTAGAAGTTGGTGATGTTCTTTAAAATAAAATCTTTGTTGGCCCAGAAGGAAAACTAGAACATTTGATGACTCAGTTTTGGAATGGTCCATTATTGACAGCAAAATAACAAAGCTGTCTAGACACAGCTCAAAGTGTTTATTTTTGAGAAACCAGACAGTAGGACTAAATATCAATAAGATTTACCCTTGAACGATCAGAGTGATGCAGGCTAGTGGTCATCATACAACAAATGAAAGAAAAAAATCACATCTGTACGAACAGATGATGTGACAAGTTGAGTGGGTGGTATTTCAACACGACTTGTGAGGCATATTTTCAAATATTGTTGGCAAAACCCAACTGAGACTAGAGTAAATATAAGTCACCAGTCTTGATTTTTTTTTTTTTTTTTTAATTTGAAACAAATTTACAACTACGACTTTTGCCATCATTGCATTTAAGCTCATTTAGAGAGGAAGACAAACTTATCTCCACATGGTCATGTGAAGATATATTAGCATTACAGATCAAATGATCAAGGATCAAATAGATGTGAAATAGTTGTGGACGAAACAATACGACAAAAACCAAAGATATTTTTAAAAATTTAAGAAAAAAAAGATATTGAGTACAAGAAGCAATTTTAGACAAAGGTGTTGGATACTGTCCCAGGCAACAGGAAATGAGGAAAATCAGTTTTCGAAAATGTAGACATGTCCGAGTTGAACCTGTGCACGAACTAAGACCTTCGAGATCCAATGCCTAAAAATAATTCCTGGACTTCAATTTAAGGTGGCCATTTTGTTCACCACAGCCCCAACCCGTTGAAAGGAAGAATTATTGATTTATTCTCCAATCCACTTGGGCCATTCACGACGTGGGGCTGACAAGGCGAATGGGCACCAATTTTTCAAGCAAACACAGTTCAGTACTTTCCACGGCGCAGCACATATTCTGCTTTGATTACAGCAAAGTCTTGAATGGTCGAGTGCGAAGTGGGAACAGCAGGGCGGGCGAATCGTTTTATCCCGCAGGCCCGACAAGATACAACAAATCCTTAAACAAATTAGAGTGGAATCTACAGTGAAACTTACCCTTCTTTTCTGCCATTGCTTAGGATAATGCAATATCCACTGGACTATGCACTAAGAACAACTTCGTCTGACACCAAACGACTCCGTATTGTCAAACGAAAATAAATCGGTAGACAACACGAGAAGTAGAATTACAACGTTGTGCGAGACTCCGCCTTCGAATCTGTGTACAGTCACGCAACGGTGCGAAATTATGCCCAGGGTATGTAAGTGAATTCAGGTTACGAAAGAAAAAACAGCAAAGACTATAAAATTTCTATCTGGTTGTGATATGGGCAAGATAATATGCATCGGTAAACAATGCCAAAATTAATGATGAAGTTGAAGCTTCACGGAGATCTTTGTACAGTCAATGCAAACAGCTTAGCCAACTGAAACCCCAAAAATAGTTGGTAACTCTTTTACACATTTTAATGATTCGTTGGGAAGAAAGGCATATGTACAGTTACCAGGGGAGACGATTTTTTATCACTTGCACAACGCTTGATTTTCAATAGACTCAGTTCCCTTTCTTCCATTTGTTTTAGCAGCTTTCCCTCCCGCCATCCCCAACACCCCCCCCCCACCCCCCCACCCCTTCCCCTTCCATCCTTTAGGGGAGCTTAACTCGAGCAAGTTTTTATTACAACAAATTGTTACTGAAACAATGTCTGCATTGCGGAGTGAAATATTGACTCTGTACAAGTCATTACTAAAGGAAGGAAGAAAGTTCTCCAACTATAACTTCAGGTATTAGCATGCCAAGCTTGTTCATTGAGAGCTAAACTGTCTTTTTCTCAAACCATTTTACCATAACCTTGTCGATTCATTTGTGCTATCTTATGTCGTCCTTCCTTGCAGAATGTATGCTCTTCGAAGAGTAAAAGACAACTTTAGGGAAAATATATCTGAGACAAATCCTAAGAAAATCGAAGAATTCCTTTCTTTTGGAAAACAAAATCTTGAGAGTCTGAAACGTCAGGTACGGTAAATCTATAATGCAATGATGTTTTGCTTTGAGTGATGATAAAAATTACATTGATTCTCTTTTCCAACCAGGTTATCGTAGGGAATCTTTACAAGATGGATGACCTTGTCATAGAAAAGAAGACTCTGTAGTTTGTGTCCTTTGTGACTTGCATCAACCTTCAAAAATAATGCAGCTCTTAAAATACTTTTGAATATGTCTTTTCTTCGCACATTGTCTCCCATGTATTCATAGGCCCGATAGAATGGCAAATAGTAGAACTGTCCTCTTTTCTGTGCGAAGAAAATGTGTTGAAATGGTTTGTTAATTAAGATACCTGTGATATAGATTTGTTTTGTAGTCTTGTTATTTTTTCATTGAAAAATGTGTCTTTCTTTCCTTTTAGTCGCATTTTAATGTAACTCTCATTATGTCATATTTGCTTACAGAGAGATATTTTTCATTCTGTGTTACTGTTTCCTGCATAACACGCCACAGTACGAAGTGATGAAGAAAAATTTCTCTTTATGGCCTATTTTTTGCTTTGATTGAACACCAACAAAAACAATATAAAGAAGTTCCTATCTGATTGTGTTATTCATTTCCTTGTCTGCCTCTTCCTTGAGATGAAACCGACCGAGTCCGAGGGAAATGGGAGGGACAGTTCCCCGCCCCGTTTGAATTTGCCGCCCAGCGCGGCGGTCCATCAATCACAGCCTTGTGCAAAAGATGCGCAATCTCCGTCCGGCGCCTTCTCCCACTTTACGACTCGGCGGATTGTCAGCCTGACGTCACAGTTTAAAATGGCTGCCTGAGAGGAAAAGTGTCGTGCTCGGGGCACTAGCAGTAGGCGTGTCTCTTGCAAATTTGTTGGAAAAATGAAGAGAGAGTGTTGTGATAACTCGGGTGGCCTGACTTTTCCGCATAGCGGCTCGCACGAGGCCCTCGGCCCGGCCGTCCTGGGTCCCAGCTCGGCGAGTAGCGGGCTCGGGGAGCGCAGCTAGGGCGCTTGCAGAACCTAGACACCGCTTGTCAAGTTTTGTGTACATCGCCCGTCCCTCGAGTCCCTCCTGGGGGCTGGGGCGAGGACGGCCCGACGATGTGGAACATGATGTGCGACGTGATGCCCACCATCTCCGAAGACTCCATCAGCCAGCGCGGGAGTCAGTTCGCCGGGGAGGATGCCAACTTCGAACAGCTTATGGTGTCGATGCTCGACGAGCGCGACAAGCTCCTGGAGAACCTCCGGGACGGCCAGGACCGGCTGGCGGAGCTCGAGGCCAAGTTGTCTCAGGTGGAGAAGGAGCGCGACTCCCTGCAGAGGCAGATATCGGCCAGCCTCCCCCAGGTACGACGGCACCTTCCTACCTCTCACCCAACACCGTCGGGGTTAGGCGCCCTGGGTGCCTTCTATCTCTGCTGGATTTCCGCTGCGGACCGGTCCAGTTGGGGATGAATTTGTCAGTTGTAGGCACGTGAGTCGACCCGAAGAAGTGACAGCGCTTCCTGGTCCGGGCTGGTCCGGGCACCCGTTCCCGGGAGCAGGATTTGTCTCATTGATGACTTGTGTGCAGGGGTGGGGGGAATGAATGGACCCTCAGTAAGCATTATTTGGCTCAAAACCTGTTGGTTTGGACCATTTTTGTGTGTGTTGCAAATGTGAACAGTGCCTCATTTGTTCTGTTCCTCAATTTAAAAAAATAACCTGTGTATAAATAAGTTAATAATTAATTTTGTCACATTTTTTTGTTGCTAAATAAGCACTTTTGAATGGGAAAATGCCCCCATGTCTTCTGTGAGGATCTTTCCTTTCTTGATTCCTCCATTATGTTCTAGTCAGCCATTATAAATCTTATCATTTGTGTCATAATTTGTATAATTCAACCAAATTTGGGATAAGCCCTGTAGTTTTGTTTTCCTATCAAATCATCATCATTTATTCAGCTGGAGGGAGGAGTCAGTGCTAGGAGTGTCCGTACATTCAGTTAATACCTGTGAGCTTACATAATTGTGCCGTTCTATAAAGTAGGTAATTTTAGCTGTAGATGTTAAGAGTATTTGTCACAACTTAAGAGCTTGACATTTCTTGAGGAGAGTAATACTTGGATAATTTTTACAAGACCAATGTTGCTCTGTGTGGCCAAATTCGGCCTGTATGGCGAAAGAAAGGCTTCTTGCTTGCTGTCAAAGGGGCGGGGGGCTTGATTTGGACACACTCCCTGTGGGTGGGCGAGTGTGTAACCAAAGCGGGCAGCGGCGGTGATCCGGGTCCGGCTGGGCAGGCCTGGCGCTCAGGTGACGGTGTGACCAAGTCCGGTGCGGGTATCCAGCGGGCAGGACCTCCTTTGGTGCAGTGCCAGCACTGGCAGCCACTGCGGGTCCGTTGACCTAGAGTCCACACGACAGAGAGCGTTGTACTCGCGTCCTGCAACAGGTGCAGCACCTGTGCACCTGCAGCTGCCTGCCTCCCAGGAGAGCAGTATTCGCGCCCAGTGTAGTCCCGAGGCGGGCCGAGGCGGGCCTCTGGCGCCTGGCCTCTCCGCCGCGGCGCTACGCGGCGCTACGCGGCGCTCGGCAGTGCTGGAGGCTGGAGGGCTCTTGAATGGAGAGGCTGGCTGCGCTGCAGCGCTGCAGCTCTGCATGAATGAGGAAGGCCCGCGAGCGGCGCGGCGTGAAAGGCGGCAAACAGAGCGGCCTCGTTTCGTCGCTCTGCCCGGCTCTGCCTCTCTCGCACACCCGCACGGAACGCGCCATGAGTGCGGCAGAGAGACAGAGCGTCGAGGTGATCCTTCGGAATCAGGTGGCTGGCTGCAGTCTGAGGCCGAGCCAGGGCCTTACCTCGCCTCGCTGGGAGGGAAAGTGCAGCCCGCCCCGCCAGCCAGCCGGTGCAGCCGTCGGTTCGTCTCTCTCGCACCTGTACGGGACGTCCCTCGAGTGCAAGAGAGAGGGGCGTCCCGCGGAATGAGTCTGCTGCCCAGCCCGCCACCGCGCCACCTTGTCAACTTGTCACGCCGGCCGCCGCGCGCCGCGCCCCGCCTGGCCCTGCCTGTCTCGTCTCGTCCAGTCTCTAGTCCCGTTATCTAGGCTGCCGCTACGCCCTGCCAAGCCCTGCGAAGGCCTGCCCGGGTCGAGTGACATCGACATCTGCGGTCTTGTGTCGCGGGCGGAAACGATACCGTGGACCGCGCAGGCCGCGCAGGTACACCGCCAGCCAAGAGGCGCGCTGGGTGCGGCCTTGCCGGCCTTGCGCGCCGGGCGTGGTACTTCCCCCGCCGCGCGTCCGCGCACACAGTGCTCAGCCCGGGCGGCGCGGTGTGCAGGCGAGGTGCGATGCCCTGGATGCCCTGGGCGGCGTTGCACCGGGTTGCACGCTTTGCCCGGGGCGTTAATGTCGCTGAGGCCACGTGCGTTGGCGCCGACCGGGCCGGCGGGGCGTAGCGGGACGTAGCGGGGCCGTGCTGCAGGGCTATTGGGGTCCTCGCACGGGCGTTGCATCCGGTGCGAGTGCCATGCCATGTGCGCTGCCGTGGGCCGTGAGGGGCCGTGCGGCTAGAGAGGGCCCCGCCCGGTCAGCCCGGCCCCGCCTGCAGCCTGCGGGCCTTGGCTTCGCTGTGAAGACGGTGGCGCTGTGCAAGCTGATCGAGGCCGATACCGAACAGTGTTTCATCGCTCCGTCTCTCCCGCACTGATGGGGGCGTCCCGTAGGAGAGAGACGCAGCGACGAAGCACTGGGCAGGGTGGCACACTGGACGGGGTGGCCCACTCGACGGGATGAGTGACTGATGGGGCGTTAGGGGATGGGATGGGGTTAGGCGGCTTGGGTGACCGCTGGCTGCGCGCTGCGGGCGCACCGGAGACCGGATCGGGGTCAACCTCCGCCCAGCCCTTAGTCGTGGCTCACGCCCCCCGCACTCTGTTCTCCAGCCATATCGACCCACCCCAGAACCCCGCCTCTCCCCGCCCTCCCCGCCGCCCGTCCCACCCACGCCTTGGGCTGCCTTGGCGTGGTGTGGCGGTGTGGCGTCTGCTCTTCGTCTCTCCCCCCCGCCCCTCCCCCCCCCCTCTCCCCGCGACGCAGCCGCCGCGTGCGCCGCAAGCGCCGCATCCTCCCCGCCCCTTTACTCTGCTGTACTTGTGGCACTCCCCGCGATGCTGGCGCCGAGCTCTTGGATTGACATGTCATTCATTCTCGAACTGGACGGTCCATTCATTCTCCTCAGGATTTACCTCTTGGGTCGGGAATCCGTATCATAGCAATGAGCCAATGCAACTTGCTATAAAGTATCTTCCAAAAATCAGAACCAACCTTTTAATTCTAAAAAGATGAAAAGCATCAAATTTAATATTTGAGAGAGTTGGTTGACATCATCTGCTAAAAAGAAGTCGCATGAATAAATTTACAAAAATACCAACTCAAAAGAGAAAGTACCAACAAACAAACCTTCTCTTTTCCAGGAATTGGCCACTTTAACAAAAGAATTAAACCAATCTAGGGAACAACTACTGGAGCGAGAAGAGGAAGTTGCTGAACTGAAAGCAGAGCGAAATAACACTAGAGTATGGCAATGCCTATTTGCAAATTTTTTTTTCAGTTGATTGATTGATTAAAGCATGTTATCTAATTCTTTAATATTTCTTTAGTTACTTTTGGAGCATCTGGAGTGTCTAGTCTCGCGCCATGAAAGGTCATTGCGCATGACTGTTGTCAAAAGACAAGCAGCTGCCCAAAGCGGTGTTTCTAGCGAAGTTGAAGTTCTGAAGGCTTTGAAGTCACTTTTTGAACATCACAAAGCTCTAGATGAAAAGGTTCGAGAGAGATTAAGAGTAGCATTGGAACGAAACTCAACTCTCGAAGAGGAACTTACCTCAGTCAAAGAAGAGGTCAGTTTTCATTAAAAATACTTCAAATAAATTCTTAAACTATTCTCTTGTTTTAATATTGTAAGTATTAAGTCATGCATTTCAAACTGTTTATTTTGTCAGCTTCTCCAATTTAAGTCTGGAGGTAGAGTTCCGTCTATTGATGATAGCTGTAAACCAAAAGAAAATGGCCAGCAGGATGATGATCATCCCCGGAATGAACAGCAGCAGCAATTGCAGCAGCAGCAATTACAACAGCAAATCAACAAGGTAGAATTTGATTGATTGATTGGTTGATTGTCTTATCAAGAATAGATTAAATCAAAGACATTTATTTTCTAAATGTAATCAAATTGTACATACAATTCTTTCAACGTCTGTTTTTTTTTTTTTTTTTTTTTGTAAAGGTTGTTTAAAATTTTTAGTGGTACTGTTGTTTTAGGTGTTTTCTAAATATGCTTTACACAGTCAGAATGGTCAGATAAGCATGCAAAGTTCCATTCATTATTTTAATACAGTCTATCTTGTTAGCCTTTAGCTTTCATTTAATTTTTTTAAGCTTTGACCATCTCATATTTTATAGATGATGGTGAGTTACTGTTGGTTTTCTTCTTTCAATGTTTCTACTAGAGGTTGAATCTCCAGTACTAGTAGCCTCTTTTATTTTGCAAATTTTAGTAATGCTACCTCTTTTTTTATTTTTGTATATAATTTCAAATTATTTGCAATATATTTTGTTTAATGTGTAAAGTTTAGTATATACAGTGTTATAGGTTGACCAATAGTGAGTGATGTGTTATGTGTAGACGCATTATGCTTATTTGTTTTCCAATCGCAGCAACGCCTTTCAAATGGCGGCCTTGAGCTTGAGATGGAATCAGAAAGGGAGGGTTCTGTACCAAAACAGGTAAGAGCTTTGCTTTGTATTTATCTTTGCTCTAATCTCAAAATAAAACTATGTTGGCTGCTAAATGTATTTTACCTGGGCACTGCTTTTGATAGCTTTTCAAAGCTTTCAAAACTTTCATTTACCAACTGTTATTGTAGTGCAATACATCTCATCATCATAGTTGAATTTTAAAGCTCACAAAATTTTTATGCTGAAGAGTTACAGTGAGAGTCTTATTGTTTTCAGACTGCAGAGTTGGCTCAGTGGCAGAGAAGAGTTGCAGAACTGGAAGAAAGCTTGTCCAAAGCCCAAAAAGAAGTTCTGAAGATTCAGGATGCAAATTCGAAGCTGCAACGGGATTTGAGAGAAAATGTTGCTCAAAAAGAAGATCAGGTAAATTGCAATTTCCACAAAGTCTCATTCTCACAAAAGGAGTATATGGCTAAACACACTACTTGCTTTTAGGAGGAGCGAATTGCTACCCTAGAGAAGCGATATGTTAATGCACAGCGAGAATCCACCTCCTTACATGATCTTAATGAAAAATTGGAACAAGAGCTTCAACACAAAGAAGCCCAACTCAAGGTATCATCCAAGTCTAAGAGTCAATCTTGTGCTTCGAATGTGCTCCCCCTTACCTCCTTCTCCCCCACTCAGTTGCAGGAAGAAAAAATTCGTGCTATCCAGGAAAAGCTAGAACTGGCCGAACAGAAACTGGCCCAGTATGCAAAGCTGCCAGAAATGGAGGAAGAGCTGAAACAACGCATGGAGGCCTTGAGCCAGGTGAGGGCACAGGTACGATCGACTTTTTCTTTACAGCTGTCATCGCCTGCTGCATGATGTCGGTGTTTAGTGCGTCCAGCTCAGCTCGTGTGATTGTGGGTAAGCTGTTCCTCTCAGGACTTTGCCACATAGTTTCAAAATTTGTCAATGGCCATTAAAGTTCAAATATTCTCACAGTAGCCCATTGCCAGGACGTGTGTGGCAGTTTTGGCTTTTATTAACAAGTACTGTGGCACTTTCTTTTATAAGGTTTTGTGTCTGTGATGCTATGTTTTACTGTGAAGGATGTCTTGTCCACATTGATAGGTAAAAGTACTTATAATCTTGTAATTTAGTCCAGTAGAAAGTCAGTTAGTCTTGGATACCAGTCATTCATGACTCTTTCAGTAAGAGAAATCCTCTGAGGTAAGCTATGCTTTAGTGCAACCCTTACCTTCCAGTATTTTTTCTTTAATCTTAAATTGTTTTACCTTCTGGTTGTACATTTAAAAAAAATTCTTTATGTTGTGTTCATTAAATATTGTGCTTTCAAAACGAAAAGATCTAAAGCTTTATTTTTGTTTTTGTTTTTTAACTCGGCACTTATTGTCTTTTTTGCACTTTTTAATTAAATGATCTTTTTCTTTGATTTTCTGTTGTACTTGACATTTCCTCCATAGTGTTCTACATTGCTTGTGTCATTGTTTGAACAAATTTAATGCAATGTTAGGATATCTGTTTCGGCTGTCAGCTGTTTCTAATTGCTTCTTTTCTCTTAAATTGATTGGTTCACCATGAAACTGCTGAACAGTTTCAGTTCTGCATGAATTCCCCTTCATGATTTAGTGCTTCACTTATTCTTATTGTTATTATTGGGAATACTAAATTTTTTAAACCTACAGGTTGCTTTGATATCCTAAAGAGAAAGAAAAAGTGTGGTTTAGCTACCCTATTGTATTTATTTTTCTTGACACCCTTCCTTAGTTACTTCTTTTGCACATACATTTTGTAATAACTTTGTGCACTGGTGTCATTATCCTCCCAAAAACTTGTTTGTAGGATCTTCCCAACACGTGGACCAGTTTTGTTGAGTTTATTCTTTTGGGCAGGCGCAGGAGCGGCATGGATCAGCAGAAGATCGAATTCAACGCTTGGAAGGCAATTTGGATGAAAAGAATGCTGAGCTTCTGCGTCTGAACCAGAGGCTGAAAATAAATGAAGAACACAACACTAGGCTATCTGCAACTGTGGATAAACTTCTGTCAGGTAAAAGTGTCTGTCAGATGCTTTGATATTTGCCTTCATCTGCAGTTTTTTAATTGTTTTTGGCTCTTTAAAATAGAATCAAATGACAGATTACAAGTGCATCTAAAAGAGCGAATGCATGCATTGGAAGAAAAGAATGCTCTGCAACAAGAGCTCGATAAGCTGCGCAAGGTTATGGAAGATCTGCAAGGTGAAAAGGGCAGTATTGTCAAGGAGCTTAGTAAAGCTAGGATGGAGAATGACAATGTTAAACGACAGATGCTGCAGCAGGAAATAGCCTACAACATTCAGCAAACAGAAGCTCTAACCAGGTACAGTCTTGTCTGATCTTAAAAATTCTGTGTTACGTACTTTCTCAAAAGATATTGTAATAGCTTGACTTGTAGGACATATATGTATGGGCCTTAAATTGCAATTTTTTTTTCTTTTGTCGTGCAGGAGTTTGTCTCCCAGCGCTGTTGATGCCAGCTTTGTTCGTAGTTCTAGTCAGTTAAGTTTCGACACCCATTCCTTGCCCAGAAGGCAAAAGAGTAGGCTTGGTCTTGATGATGATCCTGCCAAAGTAAGTTAAGAACTGAATGTTTGAAGGATCAAATGTATCACAATTTTACAAAAAAAATAATCAAATCTATCTTGATTCTTCAGGATTGGGAAAAACTCCAGCAAGCTCAAATGCTATTTGATACAAGTGATGCTGAAGGTGATGACAATGAAAGTATTTTTAGTGCAGCAGACATATTAAGCCCAACAGGCCATACTGATGCGCAGACTCTAGCCCTCATGCTGCAGGAGCAGCTAGACGCTATCAACAATGAAATAAGGTAATGGTTTCCAATAGCAGTAAAATCAACAAAATTTATAAACAACCATATGGAAAAAAGAACCCTGTACTATAATTTGTCTTACTTATGTATGTTTCTGTGTAGGTTAATTCAAGAGGAGAAGCAGAGTACAGAAGCGCGGGCAGAGGAGCTAGAATCTCGTGTAGGAAGCTTGGAACATATGAACTTGCTGTCACGTGGGCGTAGTTTTGAGAGAGCTTCTCCTCCTGTCAGTGGTCGATCAACTCCAAAGTCGCATCACTCACCCAGTCGGGATTATCTTCATAAGTACCATACGGTAAGAAATATTGCTGTGGGTTTTGTGGGATTTTCCTCTCTGTGTTTGTGTTTACCTTCTAGTTCCATCTTAGAGTGGAGTGCATCCTTTTCTTCCTGTAGATAATTTATTCAATATTGACTTGTGATTAGACTTAATTTCTTTCTAAAACCTTCTTTGTTCAAACTGTTCACTGTGAGAATGATATTGGATTAAATATCTGTCATAGGACTTTGAAACCATTTAATTCGGTTTGTGTACATTATTTGAATGCATGGTTTCTTTAGGAATATCTTTCAAAGGAATTTTCAGAAATGCATGTTAACAAATTGTCACTAATTCTGGATGTGCAGTTGTTGTTTAGTCCGGTACTGGTTTTTATTTATTTCTAATATTTTCTGCAAGATGCAGTGTAGACTCCTTTTGTTTAGAAAAGGCCTACACATTTTCTACACATAAAGTGCAGATAGCATGATGCATCGTGGGGTATGTTGTAGGCACCTGCCTCTATGTCCCCGGCTCATCTTCATCAATATGTCTCTACTATGAGTCCTGAATCGTTGCCTGGCAGTCAGGTTTGTGTTCACATCCACTGATTCAACCATTTCTTTGTAACATCAGGTTTTTTTTTTTTTTGTTTTTTTTTTTAATTATTTCTTTCTATTTTATGGAGGACTTCATGGTTTATTTTTTCTCTTCAATCTTTTGCTTTTATAGCTCACCTTTTTCCCTCTCCCTCACTTGCCACCTGTGAGATCATACTTTTGCTAGTATACCCTACCATGTAGTCTTTTCCCCCTGGTAGAGTTATGTATAGAATCATCATTAATACATAATTCATGTAAAAGCCATTGCAGCCCTTGGTGTTCTTTGTTTTTGTTTTTTATTTTATAATGTGCTTGAATTTAGTATTGTTGTAGTGCATGAGGAGTGTGAATAAAAGATAAAGTAGAATCATTGCTTGACTCCTCTATGTTAGTACTAGGCTTTCTTATGACATAAAATATGATGAATCCTCATTCCTGTTGCATTGATTGAAACTGTGTGGATTTTTTGTGACATGTATTTTAACTTCCAATGTGGATTTTTCTTTTCAGCTTCAATTAGGACCACTACCTGGAGATCTTTCATCTGAAGAACTTCACTCTGTTACTGGTGACAGCAGTGGTGCTGCAAGTCCACTAACAGCTCGCTCTATGCGTCTTGAAAGAGTTGCTCAAGCACTTGCTCAGAGCCAAGAAGAACTTCGAAGGTTTGTTGAAGTTGTTTAATCATTTTCGAATGCTAGTCTTTTTATTTTTCTTAAATTTTTGAGTAAGTTTAAAGAAGTTTTGATTTCTCTGTACCTTAAAATCAAAGTGAAATTTGGGTGGATCGTTGAATGGGAAGTGATATCCTGCAGATGTCAACCATTTAGCATTCATTCTGTTTTTATTTATCTTGTTTCTAGTCTGAATTTCACACTTAAAATTTCTATTTCTTTTTGTATCATTTATTTTCTTTCTTTGATTGGGCTGTTGTCTTTTTTCTGGATAGACGAGTTGGTGCGAACGCCATGCCGGGCCCTGGGACCATCCTCAACCAAAGGTTAGACTGTTGTTTTATCCTTTTCAAATCATGTTCGCATTTTCCAGTCGTGATATTATACCTTTATGCATATATTCATATGTTTATTTCTCAAACTAATCAATTGCATGTGAGAGTGGCTCTCTTTTGCACTTGTGCATTATTCATGCCAGTTCAGCAAGCACTGTGCTCAGCTTTCAGTGCCTCCTCCATTCAAATTAATTCTCTTGAGAGGGGGAGATGCGGATTTGCTTTATGAAGTTGCTTGTTGATCTGCTGCAGTTCTTTTGCATGTTTCATCCTTATAGGTGAAAAGTTCATGATACTTACATTTTAATAACTTCTCCTAAATTTCAAACATACCAAAGCCATTTTTCTCTTTTATAGTCAGTTTCTAGTTGATATAATAGTCAGTCTGTTGGATAAGACCTCTTCTCAGTTCTCCTTGGATTGGTTAGTTAGTCTTTTGTTTATATTTCCCCTTAATTAATTAGATTTAAAAAAAAAAATTTAAGATTGTTGAGCTCCTAGTTTGGAACCCCTGGACATTTTGTAAGACCCTTCCTTCTCCTCTGGTCCTCTTCTAACTTGTCACATCTTTCTCCTGGGGTCTCAAAGTACCTTGCACGTGTCCTTTTTATGTGTGCACATTGTACATATCACAGCTTTAGCGCTTGTGCTATAGCAGCTGTGGTGCGCATCGGTTCCACTTCTGTAACACATTCCATTTCATTCGATGCATTTTGCTTCTTCATTGTTCTAAGCGACTGAATTGTTGAAATCTCACATTGTTTATCGTTGAATGTATTTTTTCATTATCATTTTTGAAGGAAAATGTGAATATGTTACATCAAGTGTACAGTGTTCTAGTGAATGTTAGAAGAAATGTGTGTCATTAGGGTGTAGTTGTAGTGGATTTGTAGTGCAAGTAGTGATATTTGTGGGTGTACAGGCCCGGCGGTCTCTGCACACCCCCATCTCCTCTGTCTTCTCGCCACAGCAGCCAGGACTCCCTCCACCGAAACCTCCTTGGTGGTCCCTCAATGTATGCTGCTGGATACCAAAGCAGTTACGGGTCAGGGCTGATGATGTCTGCATCAAGTGGTGCAGTGAACACAGTTCCATCGTCTTCAGCAGCAGCAGCTGCGGCGGCTGTTGCAGCTCAGAAGAAAAAAGGCATCAAGTCGTCCCTTGGACGTTTCTTTAGCAAAAAAGAGAAAGTCAGTGGAGAGGTGGGTTCATATGCAATTTTTATCTCTTCTTGTTTCGGTTTGTGTTTAACACATGAGGTTTACATTGCTTTAAATTTATTATTGTGTTCTAGGTTAAAGGGAAAGATATGGGATATGGAGCTATGGATAGCTATGGAGACGGTGATTTGAGTTCTGCAGACACCATGAGTTTGAGTGGTGCAACTAGCATGGGACAGAAAGCAGATTTTGATCGTAGAAAGAAGAAGAAGTATGTATTGCTCTTTATTGATTTTCTGAAATTTTACATACCTTATACCACTTTTGCAACAATTTTATTTTTCCATGTAGTGTGTTGTCATGTCGTCATGAACTGTTGGCTGAAGCAATGAAAGCTGGTACTCCTTTTGCGTTGTGGAATGGTCCAACTATAGTTGCGTGGCTTGAATTATGGGTCGGAATGCCAGCTTGGTATGTGGCTGCCTGTCGAGCAAATGTTAAATCAGGAGCAATCATGAGTGCCCTAAGTGATCAAGAAATTCAACGAGAAATTGGAATAAGGTAGGTGGTTTTTTTTCACAGTAACACATTCAGTTTTTCTCACATGCTTTATTCACTGATTAACATCATCATTCTGCCACTTTCTATTTCAGCAATCCCTTGCATAGATTGAAACTTCGGTTAGCAATACAAGAAATGGTCTCATTAACAAGTCCCTCAGCGCCTAAAACTTCTCGTACCACCTTAGCATTTGGGGACATGAATCATGAGTGGATTGGCAACCATTGGTTACCATCTTTGGGCCTAACACAGTATCGATCAACATTTATGGAATGTTTGGTTGATGCACGTATGCTGGATCACCTAACAAAAAAAGATTTGCGTGGACAGCTTAAAATGGTTGATAGTTTCCATAGGTAAATATTATTCACTCTTTTGACATAAGTGTTACTCTTATTTAATTCTCTTAAATTCAATCCTATGATTGTGTTCAGGACTAGTCTGCAGTTTGGCATATCATGTTTGAAGAGATTGAATTATGACAGACAAGCTTTAGAGGATAGAAGGAAAGCTTGTGAAAATGAAGTTCGAGATGTCATTGTATGGTCTAATGAAAGAGTTATTCGATGGGTTAGCTCTATAGGCTTAAAGGTAAGGATGGCCCAGACATTTTGTGTTTGCCTGTTTTGTTTCTCTTTTCAATTATTTACTGATTGTTTTATGTTACTTACTATTCTATTTTTCTCCCTTTCAAGGAATATGCCAACAACCTTTTAGAGTCAGGGGTGCATGGAGCTTTGATTTCTCTTGATGAAAGCTTTGATTGTAATAGCCTGGCATTGGCACTTCAAATACCAACACAAAACACACAAGTGAGTTTAGGGGCTTTTTAAAGGAATCCTTTCAAATGTGCTTGCATTAGTGTTTGTCTTCATTGTATCATTTTTACAGATGAGACAAATGCTAGATGTGGAATTCAACAATCTCTTGGCCATTGCCTCAGAACGTCATGTGGATTCAGAAGGACCAAAATCTTGATATTACACCACCCGCCTACCACAAGATCAATAATTTATTGTTCAGCTTTCCATTCATCTGTGCAGCAGACATTCCAATCAAGAGCTAACCGGAAGGTTGATTGTGCAGCAGATGCTGGATAGCAGTGGGCGGGTGCAGCACGTGATGCAGGAATCGTCAGTTTTCACTAGTCGTGTTGATTATTGTTGGATTTGGACGGACTGGCGTTTGGAGAAGTGCTTTCTTCATTCGCCCTTGTTCTTGTTAAGTTTGTATGCTTGTTGAGTGTATAATGCAAAAGAAACAAAGAAACTGCTTTGAGTATTCAATGTTTCTAAATGTAGCACCAAGTCAAGTGTGCCATTAGTAAGAGGAACATCACTCGCAATTTTTAATGGTTTGTTGATTCCTCAAGTATTTGTAAAATAATTGATATTGTTGGCAAGGTTCTGTTCATGTTCATTCTTCCACACTCTGTTAAAGGAAGACAGCGTGACATATTTTATCAATTATAAGAATGCCGTGTGTGTATAGTTAAGGTATTTGGTTACCTTGAAATCACTTATCAATGAATAATTCAATGCAGTATTAAAATGTTTTTACCATTTTGTTTGTAATTTTTCTGAAAGTTGTAACAAATTAACATATTGTTATGAAATATCTTCCATTGTACATTTGTAATTAGCCATCTGGGGTATGGCTTATGCTCCCGGCTGCTGTTATAGAACCAAAGATAGAGTGGTGATCCACACTTGTACATAGACTGTGAAGTGGATGGGCTACTACCTACTCGCAATATGCATGTCAGCAAGGCCAGCAACGCCAGCACCCTCATTTGTTGTCAAAGACTGACTTGAATGTTACAGTTAATGTCCGGTCCCCGGTCAAAACGCGTTTTAACTAGTTAAAACGCGGATTAACTGGCCGGGCCGGGTAAAACTGATATTAAGAATAATTTGATGTAAAATTCGGCTTTTACCTAGGTAGAACGGGTAATGACTAGGCAAAACGGGAATAAACTGGGCAAAACGGGAATTAACTGGTCAAAACGGGAATTAACTGGTCTAAAATTCACTGGGTAAAAGGTGTGGGCAGGTAAATACCAGTCATTTGTTGGAGCACGAGGTACTGCCGTGACACTTCGAGTTGCAGAGTACTCCTAAAAGGCGGCATTTGCATTTGCTGGAAGCTTTGCACCCTTTTCGGCAGTTGCACCGGACATAGCCCTGGCCACCTGTCATGCTCTGTGCAGTGGCCATGGACCGCAGTGCTATGCGTTTGTCTAGTGGGACGTCGGCCACGGAGACGAAACTCTCTTTAGTCACGGTAAACATGTTTCGGGACAACAAGTTGTTAATCTGTCCCTGCTTGTTTCCGAGACGATAGAGGCTGTCCTCCGTGACCTCCAGTACCACGCAGACGATATTTCTAGGGTCACCCCGCCCTCTGTCCACGTCCGGCACAGGCACGATCACAGTGTCACCGACTGATGCTGGGGGATATCTCTCCCGTGATGTTCGCAGCATCTTTTCGGCCTGTTTTTCCAGATTGCCGGTAGCAGCTGCTCGTTCCTCGCTGATGGACTTGGCCCGATGGCAAAGTACGCACAGGCCATCACGTGCGCAGTTGGCATGCACAGGTTGCATGCATGTGGGGCATTGCTCCGCACATGACTTCTCACATACGACGCACTTCGGTGCTGGCCCAGGCCCAGGGGAGGATGGGGTGAATCCGTGGAAATCCAGGCGGGACGGTGGTGTCACTGTACCTACAAACGCGGTACGCTGTACTGATTGTCCTTTTTTGCTCTAATTACTGTATGGGTCTAGTTTTTACCAGCGAAGGACACGCCGCGAGAGGAAAGGGGTGTCCGAGGTGTCGACGTGTTGACGGTGACGGTCTTCCTGGCCAAGTGCTGCTGCACTCGTGCTGATGGTCGCACTCCGAATGGACTTGAACCAGGGAAGGTTCCAGGAGAACTGGATGGGGACTGAAGGGTGGAAGTTGGGCTGGATGGAGGTGACTGGGGAGGAGTTGAAGAATCCCTTTCTACCCCCATGTTCCGAATGAAGTCCTGGACGTTGGGACCTGATTAGTTATGGCCACAGTAGTAAGCAAATTACCATTAAGGGCCTGCCTCACCTCCAAGCTCTCTTCCCTCTCGAGTTTACCAATCAGGTGTAACGGGAAAGAGGTTCCCAGGCCCACTTTCATGGGAACGCCGAACAGCGCCTCATAGGGAGAACGGCCGATGCCCTGATGGTGGCGCCTGTTTTTCATGTTTGCCACGAACTTCAGACCCTCAGACCAGCTGGTTGTATTGTGGTCCCTCATCCAGGTTATCAGTATGTCTTGCACGTCCCGATTCGCCCTCTCAACACTCCCCTGGCTTTGCGAATGTCTCGGGGTGCCTGGAGTTGTAACATGATTAATTGTAAAGTTATTACTAAGAGGGAATACCTTGTCTTGACAGAACGCTCACCATGCACGATTTTCAATTCAGGCCACATTTCTTGCAATGAGTTGATGATAGCATTGGCAAATTCTCGGCCATTGTCCGACTGGAGGATAGAAGGAGCACCGAATTCAAGGAAAATGGGGACCAGTTCAACAGCGACGTGCTCGGCTTTTTTTCGGCGTATTGGGCGCAAGTGCACAAATTTTGTGAGGTGGTCTTGCAGCACCATTATGAACCTGAAGTCCCCATCTGCACTTGTTTGCATATCAATCAGGTCCACTTGCGCTCGGGCATTCATCTCCTTATGAATAATCGGCCTCACCGTTACCCCTTTCTTCTGTGTACTCTCCTTCAGAAGGCACTGCTCGCAATTCTCCTTGAAGCAGAGCAGCATCTTCTGTGACAGATTCACGTACTTGCCTTCCTTCGAGTCGTACTTCATTTTGTCACGACCACCGTGCCCCGTGGCCTCGTGAATTTCACGGCACGCTTCATACAGGTCCTCGGTGTGTACGTAAAACCGAGGCTGGCTCGCCCCCTTAAGTGGCACAATCAGTTTCTCCTCTCCGTCAATTTCAATCACCGCGTACTTTGCTAGGCGCCGGTAGTCCTTTGTGGTCTTCTTTGTCTTTTTAATTTTGGCCTCCTTAACTTCTTGGATTAACTTGTCGTATGCTTGAGGGGTGAGGAATTTTGAATTTTTACCTTTTGTGGCCGAGATCATTTTTTGTATTGCCAGTTCAAATTTTTCTTTGCTGCTTGCCATTTTTAGAATTTTTCCAGAATTATGAGGTCGGTTTATTACTTGAAATTTTGAGTCGAAAACAGCCGCGGACCTGTTACCCCAGTTACACCACCCTTCCCGCGACAATGGTACCGTGACACTCTACTGCCCGACCCGGAAAAGAAACGGTCGGTTTATTCCCGTTTTACCCAGTTAACAGCCGAATAATAATAATAAAATAAAATAAATAATTTCTATATCAGTTTTACCCGGCCCGGCCAGTTAATCCGCGTTTTAGCTAGTTAAAACGCGTTTTGACCGGGGACCGGACATTAACTGTAACATATACGTACTGTACAGTGTCAGGTGACGGTGTTGGCCCCTTCCCCCTTGCTGACTTTTCTTACACCTATATTAGGTGAAAGGATTAATGTCTGATTTGTCCCCTTTTATCACTTCTGCTAAATGTGTGCTTCATGTTCATCTTGAAGGATACTGGGGTAGTTGTGCTTTTATCAAAACATTGCTGAAGTATAATCTTGCGTTTTATCTGTAAACTGTTCTGATGTTGACACAGCATCTGTGAAAAATCATGTCAGCCAAGAAAACTGTTGGCTTATTTTAGTGTTCATGACTGATTTTATGACAGAGTAATGCACTGTGAGGAACATAAAATTGTTCTAATTTTATAAAGGTACTACTTGTCTTCAAATCTATTTGAAATAATTGCCTGGCTTACTGAAATGTCTAAATGAGGATTGTAAATGTATCATGCACCCAGTATTAACTTATTTGTGCATATTTCTGGTAAGGAATAAAATAAACAGTAAGACTAAATCAGAATGTGTAGGTTTGTGGACACCATGAATTCAAGCCAATGCTGATGTTTCTCTAGTCAATATGCTGCCAACAATTATATCCCCATGGTTGAAACTATATTGTGCATTTATTCTGGCATATTTTGCTTTTACATCATGAATTGAAATGTTTCTGTATCACTGTCAAAAAAATATAAACTCAGTATTAGGTGCTGTTTGCTCTATTAAATGCCCCTTTCCTAAATCCGTGAGTTCATCTTTTAATGATAAATTCTGCCTCACCATATAGATAACTTCAGGCTAATGTGATCAGGAGGAATATGATTATTATCCACCTTCCTCAAATTTATTAACTGATTTCAATTTTCCCCTTCTAATGGTCCTAACCTACCTGCCTTGTTGGCCATTTAAACAATTCTTTGTAATAAATTTTTACACAAAAAATACCTTGAAGACAGGGTTTTTTTAGTCTTAATAAAATAGAACAAACATGTGAACTCATTGTAATAAAAATGAACGCACAAACTGTATTGTCGTTGTTCTCAAGGCATTGTTCTCAATTGTTTGGCTGCCTTTTGTTCTATGAGTTTAGTACAAAGATGAGATTGAAGTGTTTGAGTGAAGAATGTAGTCACGAAGGTGGTATGCGATGCGATGTACTGCTTGTACCTGCTAGAGCTCCTCTGACCCTTGTGCTGCTCTCATTAGCAAGCTCTGAATCTTTCATGGTTTAAGTGTAAACTTACACAGGTAGAAATACAAATGAAATATATTGTGTGAATGTGCCTCTGAGACAGTAGATGATAAATTAGTGTAGAAGTGTGCCCAATAGTGGTTAGAGCACATAATCTGTATTCCAGAAACAAATGGGGTTTGTATGATTTTTTTTATTTTCTTTTTCTTTTAGTTTCTGGTTTTTTTTTATTGTACAGTACCAATTTTGGTATGTGCTAACCACAACACTGAACCTACTCATTATGATGTACCAAATTTGTTATACTCTAAATATGTGATGTTATTTCTTAATTAGTATAATGTGGACATATCCAGGCATGGTGAGCCTATGGCACTCCAGTTTGTGTGTGCCACTAACAAATAAAACTACAAACAGACTCGTAAAATTTGATTTTTGTACTTCACAGCATTAATGAATCTCAAAATCATAGTTAAGTACAACACATTAAAGACTTGCTCAGCCACACACTTACACACATGGAATTGTGCGAGAACTTTTAGTAAAAATTCAGCATCAACAGAGAAATGTCAAAATTTTCAATGAGATACAAAGTCACTTGTTGCAATTCGGCTCACAATCGAATCTAAGAGAGACGTTACTTTCAGTTCATCCTCACTTATTTTATAGGACTTACGAAGAAGGTTGAAATCACAGATGTTCTGTAAATCAGTCAAAGGAACAACCTGTCCCTCCACTTGAACCATTATCTCACTCATGTTGGAAGCATCTTCCGCATGAATCGTTGCAACCAGAATGTCTTGATCACTTTCGTTGATTCCGAACTTCATCAATGACTGAGAGATATTCTTCGATATCGACAAGTTGAACAACAGCTCGGTGTAAATACTTTTGGTGACCATGGATCCGAACACTTGGCTGGCAGCAGCCTTGTTTGCCGCAACGACGACTTGGAAAGGGTGAGCTATGAGGGAAGGCTTTATGATGGAACACTGGAGAGCACCAGACACAACCTTGTCTTTGATAACCTTGCTGTTTTTCACATTTCGGAATAAAGCCATGGATACATAAAGTCCGGAAGTGGGATCCAGTTTCTCGGTAACGATATTCGTCACCTCACCCATTTCGAGCAATACAATCAATAAACCTTTGTCGCACAAAAGAGCCGGCAAGTTTCTGAGGAAATCCTTGCATTTAATACTGGAGCCGTGTTGTTTCGTTGTTGTTGTTGTTGTTGCTTTTGTTGTTGTTGACGGTAGACGGCCAGGACAGTCCCGTAAAAATTTTCTGTCAACATGTCGGCGTTTAAGAGAACAAATTTTAGTATATATTCAAAGACGGAAAACAAATTAACGCCTGATAATCTCTATTGGAAACAGCTTGGGGTAAGAAAACAGTGATACATCAATTCCGCAAATAGGAACACTGTTAATGTGCTTTTTTAAGTAGACCTTCACCACATGGTGTTGTGATTCACTCCTTTAGTCTTGAATACCGTCTCAAACAACACTTATTTTTTAAAAAGGGCATTGCAACGTTTTTCGGAATAAAGAAGTCTTGTTTTAAAGTTTTGCCTACAGTACTCTGTGTTGAAAGATACCCTCCATTCATGATAAAAGATTACTCTCACAAGTAAGGTTATGATTGTTTACTCCTCTTCCCTCCTGGTTTCTGCTAATTCAGGTGCCTGTGTTACTCAAAGAATTTGGACCTGTAGACTACATTGATTTTTCCCCTCTTGAGCCTTATCCCTTTGCTGTGACATGTTCTGTTCGGGTAAGTACTGTTAATCTTATGGTATTTTATATTTTTCTCCCCCGCAAACAAACTTATACTTCTGGTTATAGGTACAAATTTACAATCCAATAACAAAAACTGTCTGGAAGAACTTATCAAGATTTCGACAAGCAGCTTATGGAGGTTCTTTCCGATCAGATGGTCGATTGCTTTGTGCTGGAGGTGAGGAGGCTATTGTACAAATGTTTGATGTGAGCACCAAAACACCACTGAGAGTTTTCAAGGGTCATTCAGCGTAAGTAGTTAAAGTAATGAATTATTAGTTATTCTGGCATTCTTTAATGTCTGTTAATTTTGGTTGTAGTAGTGTCGGTCCTGTCCCGCTTGAACTTTCCAATTTTATAATATATTCTATTTACACTGGCAGACCTGTGCATCGATGTTTCTTCACCCCTGACAACATTCACATTTCTAGTTTTTCTGATGATAAAACAGTTTGTTTATGGGACATTCCAAGTGAAAAAGAAGTTTCAATCTTCTCAGGACACCAGGTATCTTATTATATTGTTTGAATAATGATATTGTTGGTTTTATTTGTGTCGTCAGTTTTCCTTACATGTAGACCTCTTTAATGATGTCTTATTTTCAAACTCCAGGATTATGTACGCGCTGGCGCTGTTACTCCATCTACCCCTGACGCACTCCTTTCTGGTAGTTATGACCGCTCTGTGAAGATGTATGACACCCGCACTAAGAGTCAGGTGATGTCAGTGGACCATGGTGCCCCTGTTGAAAGTGTACTGTTTCTACCATCTGGAGGGATATTCCTGTCAGCTGGTAAGGAAAGAGTTTTTTTCTTTTATTTACAAGATAGATAGTTTTAACTAACCAGTGTTACCCAGTATTTAAAAATTTATTAAAGCAGAAGTTAACCTTGGTTTAGCCCTGTTTTATCGCTGCATCAATTTAACTTAACTTAATTTGCAGGTGGTACTGAAATACGTGTTTGGGATGCAATAGCAGGAGGAAGATTATTAGCCAAAATATCGCAGCACCATAAAACTGTTACCTGTTTAACCTTAGCTTCAAGCAACAAGAGACTAATGTCTTCGTCTCTCGATCGGCATGTAAAAATTTACGATGTATCAACATATCAAGTAGTTCACACTCTGGACTACCCTAATGCACTGCTCAGTGTTGCTGCTAGTGTAAGGTTTTTAAATTATTTTTCTAAATTTTATTTTTGATAGTTGCTTGTAAAATCTTCTTCTGTACTTACATGCTTTTGTTCATGATTTTTCCCACTTTTCTTTTGTAGGCTGATGATGAAACCGTTGTTGCGGGAATGGTGGATGGTCTAGTATCAGTCAGTCGAAGGGAAACCAAAGTGCTCCCAAGCAGGCGAGAAAGGCAAAAAGTTTCATACGGTCATGTCAGTGATCAAAGAGAGTATCCTGCTGTAGACTTTGTTGTGCGGGAACAAGATAAAAATTTAATGTCAAAAAGTGATGTTTGTTTCCGAAAGTTCCAATATACAAAAGCTTTAGATTGTGCACTTATTCCACTTATATTGAGGAATCGACCTCACATCACTATATCTGTTTTTCAAGAATTGATGAGGTGGGTGCAATGCTTCTGAAGTCCAACTGCTATCGTAATTCAATTCACATTCATTTTTTAAATTTTATGATCTTGTTCTTAGACGGAAAGGACTTAAACAAGCTCTTGCTGGGAGGGATTCCAAATCTCTTTCTACAGTCTTACGATTCCTTGTCAAATATATCACAGATCATCGTTACTCAAGAACTGTCTGTGATGTGTCAAATGTTTTACTTGGTAAGTGGTTAATTGATTTTGTTCCTGTACCTATCAAAACAAGAGTGCTTTTTTTTTTCAAATATAATTTCAATCACAGATATTTATGAAGATGATTGGGGCAAGTTTCCGCCAGATGTGTGCAAATTGCTGCAAGTTCTATCATCTCGGGCCAAGGATGATGTAGCTCTTACTCAAGACTTGGTTACTATTGAAGGAATGATGCAAATTCTTTTAGCTGGATCAAGCATTACATCTTCAAGAACTGAGAGACCTTCAGTAAATAATTCAATCCAATCTGCATCAACATTGCATCCTTCTAAAACTGCTCAAGAAACTTTTGTTGTTAATGTTTCATAATTATTGTTAAATATTTTTTTGTAACTGCTTGATGGAATAGTAACATAAACCTGAACTGACGTCCCAATTGTATGTACCCTATGCCTCAACAGACCAAAAAAAGAAATCAAATTAAATATTAGTTACTCATCAGAGAGATTAGGACCCATATTTTTGTGTGAAATTAAGGGAAAAGTAAGTATATCAAAAGACAGCTTTATGTCAAATGGTTAACTTCACCTAAAAACAGAGAAACTGAGAAATCAAGCAGAATAAAACATACAAGTTAACTGTCAGAGGGAAAAAAAAGTTGCATTAACAGAAAAATTGTACTTAAAAAATCACAATACAAATACTCTTACAAATTGTGCCTTAGCATGAGGGCAAATATGACCAGTAATCAAAACCTTTAGAGATTACTGAGGTAATTGACTCACAAGGTGATGAACTGAAATAGTTTGCCCAGTCAAGTTTTGTTCCTCGATGACATACGATCCTTCTCGATGCAGCTCATGGTGCAAGCTTTGTGGGTGGTGCATATCATGTGTTGACAAAAGCTGCTGAGCATGAGGGTGGGCCTGTGGTCTATGAGGATGAAAACCTGAACTTGAAGAGTCAGAGGATGGCATGGGGTTGGCTTTCTCCCCTTCATGCAGCAACAAATGACTATCAAGCTGTGACCGTTGGTGGAAAACAGCACTACACGCTGAATGATGACATCTGTATTGCCTTGGTACAGCATTGTGCAGCAGCTCATGATGTTGAAGGGAAGATGCATCTGAAAAGGCCTAAATGGACAACAGAAGAGGAAACAGTTACATCAGTGAATGTGCTCAAAATTATTGTAATACGCACTTGTGAAAACTAATGAATAGAGAGCATTACTTTACTACATAAGTTACAGGTATGCAAAGCTTGCTCCTGTGTCTGATGGGATTGTTGCAGAGATTCTTGAATGAGCTGCTGCACTTGCTGGGGTTGGGGGTGTTGCTGAGGATGTTGTTGCTGCGTGTGTTGCGCAAGCAGACTTTGTGTGCGAAAAGTCTGGCCACATGTTTGACAAAGATGAAACCTCTTCTTTTCTTGAGCATGACACAAAACATGGTGGTCATTGAGAAGGTCTAGATCTGGGAAAGTTCTTGGACAAGATGAACACGAAAACACTTCTCCATCTCCTGCATGAACTTGCTCATGTTTTAAAAGAAGAGCCCTGAAATGAAATAATTTGTACTTTCTGAGTCAATTAGTTGCTTTTAAGCTTGGAATGAAGTACTATGGCTGATCAGGCGACATACCTCCGTGTATATGATTTTCCACACCATGCACACAAGAAGGCAGCACGTTCTCCATGAATTTGTTCATGATTCCTTAAATTAGATGCATCACAGAAAGCTTTGCCACATTGTCTACAAGAGAAAGGTTTAATTCCAAGATGCATGCGTTCATGGCGTGCTAACCGGGACTTTTCATTGAACGTTTTTGAACAATATCGGCAAGCATGCTCCCTTATTCCTGTATGAGTCTGTTCATGATGCCAACAACTACCACGGTGAAGAAACGTTCTTTCACAGTACCTGTAAACAATTTATCATTCTTGTATTTCAAATTATTTTGAGTTCTAACAGAGTTCAGCCCTTACAAAAAATAAATACACCAATTTAAGATAACTCATACAAACCTGCAGGCAAAATTTGGTGCACTTTGCAAGTTTCGAACTTTGGTTTCAGCTTTTACTGTGGGTATTTCAGGATTGACAGAACAAAACATTTTTTGATGTCTCCACCAGCTGCCACGGTGTAAGAAACGTTTTTCACAGAATTTGCATTTAAATGGTCCTGAAGTAGTTTGTATGCCTCCCCGTCGCAATGCTGAGACAGAGGTAGATGTGTGTATCTTTTCCTGAGACATTTGCTGTTGAGGGTCATTTCTTAAACCAAAATTCTAGAAATAGTCCAAAATTTAAAAAAAATTGTTATCAGATTAACAGTGAAAAGAAGAAAACAATAATAATGGTAATGACTAACACACTACCTTAGCTGCTACTGGCTTCTTTTTACTTCCAGCCACAATGCGGTTCAAGTCGCATTCAGGATTGGCATCACAAAACATTTGGTGCCGCCAAAGGCTACCACGATGGACAAAGTCTTTTCGACAATGTTTACAGGCTCTGGTAGACTCCATCGCAGTTGTTTCCACAACTACTTTTTGGCTAAAGATATTTTGCTGATCTGCATGCTGGGACTGCTGAACCTGCTCCATTTGCATCTCTTGTGGCTGATGGACAACTAATTGGTGTGTTTCAGGAACAAGTTGCGCTTCTACAATCGATTGCTGTGTGCTCTGGGAGTGCTGTGGGATGGGCTGAGGTTGCTGAAGTTGTTGATGTTGGATCTGCTGAAGCTGTGGCTGCTGCATTGACTGCTTGAGTTTTAATAGAGAAGGCTTGTGGTTACAGTACAGGCGTTCATGCCTCTTCAAGAGATCATGATTGCTAAAATGTTCTTGACAGTACCTGCAATATTAAGACACACAAATGACAACAGGTTTTTTTACCCCCTCTCTAAACAATAAAACAAGCAAAAATGATGAAAAACTTATTCACATACTTGCACAGATTTGTTGTCTGATTACTCATGGGTCTGACTCCTTCAAAAGCTCCTTCTAGCAACATAGCTGTCACATCAGTCAGGCTAACTGTCTCAACTGAATTATGACTCACACTATGGTCCACTGTTTCTTGGCTTTGGTCCAACACTGAATGCTGTTGCACCTGATGTTGTGGTTCTTGCGTAGAAGAGTGCGTCTCCATTGTTTGTATGACCTGTTCAGAAGCAAGGACTGGCTCTGGCGCTGGAGCGGCGTCAGTGCTTTGAGCAGGAGTGAGGTTTGAGACAGTAATAGCAGTGGGGTGGGATGCTGAAGAGGCAGAAGGTGTTGTGTCTGGAGTGGCGTCGTGAACCAGGTTCGGGACTGGACCGGATGAAGAGGCGTGCACAGTGAGAGTGCCGGGAACTGTTGGCGCTGGCGCTGGCGCTGCCACTGGTGTGGACGATGGAGCAGAAGTAATGACAGGAGTAGGAGACGGACTAGGAACCGGACCTAGCACCTCATGCTCGAAGGGCTCACCACTGTCCTCCTCTCCGACAACACCCTTGGCATGAAGCTCCTCGTGCTCCAGGAGGGTGTTCTTTAAACATTAATAGTTTTGGAGTCAAAAATTTTACTGAGAGTTATTGTGAGACACCTAAGTAGAATAGTGATACTTCTTACCTCATAAATGAATGGCTTTGCACAAAATCTGCATTCAAGCTGAGGAGTGATATGAGAAGAGCCTGATGTAGTGTTACTAGGAGTGGTGGTTTTAGCTTGCTCAATCCAATCAGTGTGAGAGGAATTTGCTGCTACTGCAGACTGAGCTTGCTGGACACGTTTTACTGACTCCAGCAAAGACAGACACCGGTTCCTGATTCAAGAAAGGTTTAAGGTTAGTTGAAGACCAGTGGGAAAAGTGTTGGGGGGGAGGGGGGGGCAGAAAACGAGAACATGAATGCTACCTTTTCCTTATTCGAGAAGATCCCGTGTCAGGTCCTTCGTCATCAGACAGTAGTTCGCTGATGGCATCATGATAAACTGATTCATCATGCAATTCCTGTTTTATTTCCAATACCTGAAAATGAAGTCAAACAATGTGTTGGGTTTGTACTCTTCGATGTTCTGAAAGTAACAGAAATACTTTATGTCTCAATCGTAATTGAATACCTGATTCACATCAAATGGCACACTCTCGCTGGAGTTATTGCAAATTTTGTTGAAGGTAGTATTAGTCCGCTTACAAGTTTCCCTGAACTCATGAAATCGGTCCACTTCGTATAAGCATCGATGACATATGTGAGGAGGAAGAGGATCGTCAGCACACACCTGGAAAGGAGAATCTTTGCTATGAATGACCTAAAGGAATTAATTGAAATAGCATAGACCAAAGAAAAGCCCAACATACTATAATAATATGGGGATGTAATGTTTATATTATTTAAGGGAAGAGAAAACGTGTTCAGCAGCACTGCTGAATATACATTACCTTAATTGCCAGACAGGACAAAATTTTCTGTGGTAGCGGCACTGAAAACCTCTCTGAAACTTCTCCCTCAAATATTGGGAGTATAACCCCAGAGTCAGATAAGCACAAACGACATATCTTTTCTGGTGGATTCGCGTGAACTGATTTCATTTCGTTTCGACGAACGGTCGAAAATGCATTGATAAAACTACGCTCGCTCAATAGGCGTGAGGAAACGCATTTATTACTGAATGGTAGGAACGACTCCCAACCAGCGTAAACACTTCATTGATGTTTAGGTTATGTTCTTACTTTTGTTTTTGTTTTTATCTGTCTTCTGTTTTGTATTTGTCCGAGCAGTTGCCCACCCTGAAGACTATTAAAAATGGCTCCCATCATGTTTTTATCACCGGTTACAATGGCATTTTCTAATGTTTCAAAGAAACTGCTAATGTCACACGCTGGATTCATTTGCAACTCCAGCCTCATCCAAAAATGTCATCAATCAACTTCCGGAAGTCAGCATTACGACATCATCATCGCAGGAGGAGGGTTAGTGGGCACAGCCATGGCCTGTGCCCTGGGATCTGCCAAAGTTCTGTCAGAGAAAAAGATACTTCTCTTAGAAGGTGCTCCAGCCAAACCCATCACCCTGAAAGACACTTACAGCAATCGAGTGTCAGCAATCAACCATGCCTCCGTCGAACTTTTCAAACATTTAAGCATCTGGGAGGACATCAGGGGTCATCGTGTGCAAGAAGTGAGGAAGATGCAAGTGTGGGAGACGTGTTCTGATTCTCTTATAACATTCAGTGAAGACGATTTGTCAAATCCAGTTGCGTATATTATAGAGAACGACCTCATGATGTGGGCCTTGAGTAAATGCAATGAAAATATCCCAAATAGCTCAGTTCGGTACAGTGCTAAGATCAAAGACTATGCTTTTCCACACTCTTCTGATGTTAACACACCTGAGGTACTTTTAGAAACTGGTGAAAAGCTTTCATGTGATCTACTGATTGGTGCTGATGGTATTAACTCTAAGGTCCGCTCTAAAATGGATACAATGGTGGAGAGAACTGACTATAATCAAATGGGTGTTGTGGCTACATTAAGTCTCTCAGACCCAACCAACAATATTGTTGCGTGGCAAAGATTTCTCCCAGATGGTGTGATAGCACTTCTTCCTCTGTCGGAATCCACCAGCTCATTGGTTTGGTCTACATCAGTAGAGAAAGCCAAATCACTGATTGGACTAACAGGAGATTCCTTTGTAGATGCGGTTAATGAAGCATTTCTTAAAGAGTTCCCCAGTAATCCCTTTGTTGAATCCCTGCTTAAGAACCTTAATCTCAGCCCAGGAACAGATAAGCAGATTCCCCCAAGTATTAATGGAGTACAGGAAAATAGTAGAGCAGCTTTTCCATTAGGATCAATCAATGTTTCAAGATACGTTAACGACTGTGTTGCTTTGATTGGAGATGCCGCTCATCGAGTTCATCCCTTGGCTGGGCAGGGTGTCAATATTGGTTTTGGTGATGTGCAGTGCTTGGCAGATCAGGTTGCCAAAGCAGCATATCAAGGCTCTCACATAGGCAAGGGTGCTCATCTTAAAGTGTATCAATCAGAAAGGCTTTATGAAACATTGCCAAAGATGAAAGTTATTCATTTTATGCACACTTTGTATAAAACTTCATTTACTCCTGCTGTAGTTTTAAGAAGTTTAGGTCTCTCTTTAGTTCAGTCTATGCCTTTAGTTAAAAAGCAGCTTATCAAGAGGGCCAATTCTTGAGAGTCTTTGTTATCTTCGTTTCTGTTTAATTTGTTGTCTTACATTAAACCTGTTTTTATTTTCTTGTGTAACAAAATGTTCCTGCTAAAATCCTGTTATCACTTTTACAATTTCAATAAATGTTGAAATTCATTCAGGACAGAATAAATGTGCTGTTTTTCATTGCCCAGATAACTAATATCTAGATCTTATGATAAAAAACGCTTTTGCTTACTAATCTAAAGCATACTTTTATTAATAAAACCGTCTGCTTTTTTACAGACTTGCACAATCAATATCACTTTTTATCACAATGGAAGGTGTTTCACAAGGGGACCATCTAAAAATGTTGAAAAAAAATGCTCAGATTAAAATGGAAACCATAACTTTTGAACTCCATTTCACAAAAGCAATGAAGTATTTCATGAGAACATCTGTTTCAGGTATGGCACATAACTGACTGCAATTTTTTAATAAGTGCCCTTTTTGTCCCATTGAACATTATCCAATTTTAAGTGAGTCCGTTAGTTAAAACACATTTTAAAACCTTAAAATAACTAACTTGGCAATAAAGTACTCATACAATATGAACATTATTTACAACTAAGTGCAATATGTCTCGATTGAAATCGTGGCAACTGGAAACGCCCATCTAGTTGTCCTCCGGTGTCGTCGCCGACCTGGCCTCCTGCAAGAACCAAAACAGAACGAATGACTGGCAGCCGAGCAGCGAGCAGGGAATGACCGGGACCGAGTGGGCGGTAACTCTTGTCTACCTTGTCGACCTTCTTCCCCCGCTTGGACCAGAAGGTGACGGGGCACTGCGAGCGCCTGCCCGTCCGCTGGTTGAACACGGAGCACGAGCTGAAGGGCGGGCTGTACAGGTGCAGCGACACGGCGGGGTCGGAGTGCGACGGGTTCTCCACCCGATGCAGGCCCATCGAGTCTGCGGATCAGATCAGGCGGCATGAGAACGCGACTTTCCGCAGAAGGCTGTACCTCCCTCACACCTCGCACGGGACGCCCCATGAGCGCGAGAGAGACATTCACTGACCGTTGATGTAGCCGACGTCGTTGAGGCACAGGTCCGTGCGCGAGATCTCTTCCAGCGGCCGCCCCTCGCCGTCGTCGTCGCCGTCGTCGTCGTGGCCCTGCTCCTCCGCGCCACCCTGGTCCGGCCAGCTGAAGCGCACCTCGCTAAGCGTGCCTTGAAGCATCTGCAAGCAATGCTTTCACGTTCAAGGCGCGAGGTTCTCCCCAGCCTCTCAAGTTCAAGCCAGCCGCCTGCCTGCAACGCAGCACGCCGGCGCGGGAGTAGGTTGGGTTGCCTACCCCGCAGTCCACGGGCGCCGAGACCGGCACGGCAGACCGCCACCCACCTTCATGAAGCAGTGCGCGTCGGCGTGGTCGTGCACGGCCGAGCCGTGGTCCGGGCCCCAGCACAGGATCATGAGGTTGAACTTGCCGTTGCCCTCGTCCACCAGGTTCCTCGTGTACCTGCAGCATCAACAAGTGCGGCTTCCTGTAACGACCATTGACGACCGCAGCAGGCTGATTCCGAGAGTCGCTTTCGTCGCTCTGTCTCTCTCGCACCAATACAGGACGCCGCATGAGTGTGAGAGAGACAGCGTGACCAAAACGACTCTTGGAAGTGGCTATGGTTGCCATGGCCACGACCAGTTCCGCCACAAAGGTGACACGGCACACGTGCTGAGCCCAAAGAGCCCCATCAGCATCGTCGCCTCGGCGGTAATATATTGCCAGCTGGACATTGCATGGACATTAAACACTGTACAGTGTACAGTACAGTCTCCCCTACCTGAATCTGTCGAACTTGGCGAACTTCTTCCAGTCCGCGGGGTTGCTCTGGTACGAGGCCATGACCTCGCTCACGTGCTCGATGTTGACGACGTCGTCCCTGAAGATGCGGTGCAGCTCGCTGATGAGGTTGTCCAGGCCGTTGATGGGGGAGTCGGGCGTCTGGGCGGGCCGCAGCGCCTCGTACGAGGGCAGCTTGCTGCGCAGCCGCACGTCCTGCATCGACGTGATCTCCATGGTCTGCAACGCCTGCAACCGGACGGGCACGTTCATGGACTCCGCCAGCGCACCGCACGCGTGCCCTCAACCCAACCCAAGAGCGGAATGGAAACTGGCGATCGAATCGTGTGACTCGAACCGAACCACGGCCCGCGCGATGCGCATCGTTTACAACAACAGGCCGTCCACGCGATGCGATGACCCACCCCACACAGGTCAGGGACCTACCGGACCTACCAGGCCGAGGCGTGAGCCTCAACGCCGGGGGGATTGAATCGCGAATGTAAATGGGATTGCCCGTGAGTCACGTGGGGGCGCCTCGCGAGCTTCGCGTCCGACAATCAGTACATTTACGTCATCGTCGTGCGGCGATAGTCGTCGCGATGTACGACTAGGACCCCCTGCAGACTCCGATTCAGCTCATCGTTGACGTCATTCCGTCTCTCTCGCGCTCATGGGGCGTCGCGTAGAGATGCGGGAGAGAAAGAGCGACGAGGTACAGTTCGGAAAGAGTAGCACGATTCCCACTGGCATACACGTGGTGGCCTCTGCAGGCACGAGGCGCCCCAGATCCGAGCCTTTTTCAAAGCCAGCTCGCCCGCACCAGAGCCTGATAACGGCGGGGGTGGAGTGGGAAGGCCCTCGCGCGACTCGGTTTTGACATTGGTGACACCCGAAGTGAGAGAAATAAGAGAGAGCGAGAGGCTTTGCTCTCTCTGTCTTCCATTGCATCACTGCCACTATCGCGGTTTTCCCTCTGCCGAGCACATCGTGATTCTGCTGTTGCTGCTGTCAAGGCGCTGACAGGCGAGACGGCGGGTATGTCGAACGAGTCTCCCGATCGCGATCTTCCCCGTCTCGTCCTTGTTGCTTGTGGCTTGTCGCGCCACTGTTGTTTCTTCCTGGAGAGGGTTGTGCAACGGACTCCGAACAAGGCGGAGCGCGCTACACCTCCACCCGAGTAAAAAAGTCAACTAAAGGGTCCTTTTCAGCAGATGATACATTATATTTTCCCCCTTTTGGAGACTGCAAAAATGAAGCTAAAAAGAGAAATTTGGAGGAACTAGGTTTTTTTTCCTATGGCATTTTAATGGTCTCAAATTTCTCTCTGATTCTGGGCAGCGTTTCGTCCTCTCTCGTATGCCTGCGGGGCACCCCGTGACGTGGGATCGGAATCGCAGTTAGCCTGTAGTGCTGGTGCGTAGTCAGGGGGTGAGAGCGAGAGAGACAGCGACCTCGCGCTCCGTTTGGAGTCGCTCTGCTGGAGGGGGAATGCCCATGCCCAGCGCTCAGGGAAGATATTGCGCGCCGTTCAAGTTTTGGACGGCCTCACGCGGTCTTTCCTGCCGGCTCGCCACTTTCACACGGTGCCGGGGCGGTTTGGGCTGCGCTGTAACCCCCCCCCCATACATACACACACACACGTTATATGGATGATATCGTCTAGCGCGCACGTGTGGTCTGTTAGACAATATGTCGCGGGTTTTCGATCGGTGCTGCCAGGATAATTGGCTCCTAGGAGCCCGAACACTTCGGAGTCTTCAGTGCGTGGTTGGAAGTGTGTTCGCCCTGCACGGTAGAAACGGTTCCTGGTTTTTCCAGGAAATCGCCTATATTACCATAGGCCTCCTGCGAAAACCAGAAACCGTTTTTACCGTGTGCCTCTCATGCGCACCGGTGTGTGTTTTGGCTCCTGGCTTCACTAATACTTCGCCTGTGTACTTACGGCGGGCGCGGCGCCTTGCCCTCCAATGAAAGCAAGCAGGTCATTCCCTGCAAGGCGCAGGTAGGCAGCCCGCGACGTGCCGGCGCGCGCCGTGCACCGGGACTCGGGCAGACGCGGGGCGACGCGGGCCGATCCAAGATCCGAGAATTCGGTCCAGTTCAAGGGCGAAAGTGTGTCAATACTACCAAGGCGACGTGGCGCGGCCCGGCGTGGCGATCGAGTACGATAAGACGAAGGGGCGGGGCCGGCGGCGGAGCGGGGCGAGGGGGCGGCAGGCAGGCGGGCAAGGCCTGTTTGTTGTTTTGCCACATTGTTGCTGCTCTGCTTGCTGCCTCCGTGACGCGATGTGCGCGCCCCGGCCCTGTCCGCACGTCACTCGCCGCCAAGCCGCGACGCGTGTCCACTGCGCGTGTCACCATGACGTCACCATGACGTGAGGGTGCGTGGCTATCTGCAGGACCGCGCGCCCCGACAGGGCCAGGAGGACCAGGAGGACCTCACGGAGGAATACGACTGTGCCTCGCTGGACATTCCCCGAAACGTCGCGAAGCTCGTCGACGGGCTTGCGCTTGCTTGGGCACCCCGACAGCCTGCGACAGCCTGCGACAGCCTGCGACAGCCCAACAGCCCAACAGCGCGCTTCGGACCGCGGCTTCCGCAGCTAGGATCCAGGAGGCGCTCTAGCGGTCCCGGCGGGGAAGTGTCTCCTCCCCAGCTGTGCGGCCGGTAGCGGTACCGCCCGGCCCGGCCCGAAGGTCCGGAATCTCGGCCCTGGGCCGCTGCACTGCACTTACTTGAATGAATGGGTGGCTCGATGAATGGGGGCAGCCGCGCTACACTACGCCACGCCACGCCACGCTACGCGCCACACGCTGCCGCTGCTGCCGCTGCTGCCGCTGCTGCCGCTTGGTCGCGTCCAGTCCAGCCGAGTCGCGTGCAGAGACGACCTCGCCGAGACGACAGTTTGCAGTGGACTGAAGACTGAAGGGGATTGCCTGTCGGGTGCCGCCCGGTCCGGTCCGGCCTCTGCTGCTCAGCCTCTACTCCTGTACGAGACGAGAAGAGAGGAGGAGAGACGGCCCGACGCGCCCCCCCTCCCCTCCCCTCCCCCTCCACATGCCGGCCGGACGGCCTGACGGGCCTGACGGGCCTGACCACTCACTACTGCCCCTGCTGCCCCCGCGCCTCCCCCGTGTACGGTTCACTTCTCTTGTTTTGCTCCATCTCGTGATATTGCAGCCACTGCCGCTCCGCTGCGGGGGCAGTTGCTGTGTGGAGCCCCCTGCACCCTCCCCCTCCTCCCTATCTCTCTGTCTCTCTCGCGCGCTCTTGCCCGCTATCTCCCACGTTCCGTTTTCCCACGAGAGAGCGCATCGTTCTCTTCTTTTCGCTCCGTTTTCGCTGCAGGCCACGGCATGGCGCGCATTGCGTGCCTCCCGGCCGTGCGCGCCCTGCGCGCCTCCGTGCAGTGCAGCTGCCAGGCCGCGTTACCTGCACGCCGGACATGCAGCATGCAGCGTGGACCGCTGGACCGCTGGACAAGCCTGGATCTGAAGCCGCAGCCTCCCGCCGCGCCGCGCCGTGCCGATTCGCAGCGTCAGTGTGTTCGGGGTGTCTGGCCCGTCCGGCCGAGCATTCCATTCACACCGACCGGCCGGCCGGCCAAGCTGGGCCCGCTGGGTCAACCCCCCTCCTTTCCACGCCTCCACTCATTTTTGCACGTCCATCTGCCGGTTGGTTGGACGGGGCACGCGCCTGCAAAATTTTCACTCACTCATTCACTCACTTTCGCGCCGCGTCGTGCGTTTCGCTGTTTCGCTCGGCGCGGAGCTCCGCGGCGAGGACTTCCCTATCGGTGGATTGCGGATGGCTCCGGGGCCTCCGAGGGCTGTGGGAAGGGAAGTTCCAGGCCAGCTGGCGTTCCTGGTCGTTTTCCGCATTCGCATTGGCTGTCGGGCTGTCGGTGACGCAGGCAGGGCCGTGATTCAGAAGAGCGGTTCGTCGCTCTCTCGCACTTTTACGGAGGGCTCCATGAGTAAGACAGAGACAGAGCGACGAAGTGACTCCAGGGAATGTCGCGCAAAGAGAGATGCAGCACCGCCAACTGTCTGCTGCACGGTGCGTGCACACACAGGAGCGCAGGCGAGCGCAGGAGACTTGAACGCAGCAGTCAACCACACCGCCCTGATGCGGCGCACCGTGCGGCGCGGGCCGGCAGACCGCCGTCACGGCCAGCGTTACGTGGTTCTTGAACGGGCCGGACTCGGGGCGGAGGGTGGCGGGACGACCTTGACCGCCTTCCCCCGCGCTCCGCCGCCCCGCCGCCCCGCCGCTAGGATAGGGACGAGGCCATTGTATTTTCGCGGCTGCCGGTCCGAATATGATTGTTTTGCACCAGATCGTTGGGTAATTCCCATTGTTTTGCTGGCAGGGTTATCTGCGGCGCTGAGCGCGCTGAGCACCGTGAGACTTGGGCTTCGGGCTTCAGCCTGGCTTCAGCCTTGGCATGGGATGCGAGGACTGCTGCGGTACTGCAAGGGATCGAGTTTGCGATGCATTCTGCAGGCATTCTGCAGGCATTCTGCAGGCATTCTGCAGGCATTCTGCAGGCATTCTGCAGGCATTCTGCAGGCATTCTGCAGGCATTCTGCAGGCATTCTGCAGGCATTCTGCAGGCATTCTGCAGGCATTCTGCAGGCGAAGGCAGCACGGCTCGGCCGCAATGCCGCTGCCGCCTCGAAGGATCGCCTCGTCGCTCTGTCTCTCCCGCACTCGAGGGGCGTCACGTAAGGGTGCGAGAGAGACGGGGCGGCTAAAAGCGTTTCGGAATCGGGCAGCTGGAATGGCAATAAAATAAAATGCTGTCTTTTTACAGCGTGGCTGCAGTGCAGTGCGGCTCGGGCATTTCGCGCTGGCCGGCACTCCTGCATGGCTCCTGGCTGTGTACAGTTCGATCTATTCGAACTAAAATAGGAATAGGCGTCAGCAGAACGGCCAAAGTGACCCCCGCGCTGAGGCCTGGCGGTGCTGGCGGTGCTGGCGGCACAGATCGACGACAGCGACTGCGACCTGCAAGCCGCCTCGCCTCGCCTCGCCGCCGAAAGTGTCGCAACGCTCCCCGCATGGTGCTTGCCGAGCTTGCTGAGCTGCAGAGTGTCTTGCCGTTGGAAGTGCGCGGGTATAAACAAAGACAGACTTTGTAGCGTGGAAATGAACTCGACCGCTTGCCTTCGCGTCCCGAGCGATGCTCAGCGCGCGGGCGCCGGGGTGCTTGCTGACCAGTTCTCTGCTGACCGCTCCACGACAGCAGGGAGGCTCACAGGGCACGGGGACGTCAGCCGACGGAAACTGATTGGAAGACGGGGGCGGATTACAAGGCAAATTTCAGCGGGATTGCGGGCTGCAGGATCAATGTTCAAGTTGCCTACCTTGAAGGCGCATCGCACTCTGGGGCCCGTCGATGTCCGTCGCATGTCGACAACCCATGCCACAGCGAAAGCGATGCTCGGATTCGAAACAAGCTTTCTGTCCACGAGGGAAGTGCGCGGTGTCGTCCTCAATCTCCGGCTGCATTGCGGCACAGGATTACGCGTCGCAGACTTTAAAAATAATATGAAGCAACAAAAACAAAAACACGCCCTGGACGCACATTGCCGTTGGGCGAGTCCCCGCCACTGTCGCTCTTGATGGGAAAGAAAACTAAAATAAAAGTGGAAAAGCAGAAAACCGGCTTGTATTGGCACAGCGACAGCCGCCTGATTCCGAGGGATCGTCTCGTCGCTCTTTGTCTGTCGTGCCCCACGGGACGCGCCATGCCGGCCACGCCGGCCATGCGTGCGAGAGAAACAGAGCGGCGGTGGACGGTGGATCCTTCGGAACTTCGGAGTATCAGGCGGCAGCAGCGGCAGGGTCGACATCACGCGGCGTGGTGCGGACGTGCCGACCACAGGCGCCAACGCGGATGTTTCGCGATTCGCCCCGCTTTGCCTCAAACTCGAGCAATAAGGGCAAGGAGGCGGTGGATCAGAGAGAGGGCCGAAATCTGCAGCAGGAAATGCGAAGAAGAAAAAAAGGTCCAACTGACCTGAATAGCATCGTTATAACGCAACATTCTATACATATCCAATTACCGAAGATGGAGCCACTTTCTTATCACGAGGTCTCATTTGGGAGAAGTGCGTGCCGCCGCCGCGCCCCGCCGCGCCCCCCGCCACGCACGGCCGGCGCGGGGTGGGGGGAAAAGAGGTAGATAGCTGGGCGTCAAAAAGAGTGACGAGGTCGCGGGGGTCATGTGGTGAGTGGCGAAGGAAAGACGCGGCGCGGCCCGCTGCCCTGCGCCGCCCCGCGGCCGCTACCGCGGCCGGCCGGCGGCCCGGCTGTCGACGGCGCGGCAGTCGGCGGCAGTCGGGGGTAGGCCTACCGCCGGCCCGCCGGCCTGTGGGCTTGGGGGCATTGCACCGGCGGCGTGGTCCAGAAGTACCCCGACCTGGCGAGGTGGGACGTCGTCGTCCACGCCGCTGGACGCGCCGTTCCGCCTTCCCTCCGCACCGTGCAGGAGCCAGCTCTGGAGCCAGTGGATGCACGAAATGCACGCTGTGTGCATTTCGTTGGCAGCACTCGGTGGCGGTGGCGGAGGCGGAGGCGGTCCAAAGTCGAGGGAGATGACGATGACGTCGGCCAGCCCGTTGGAGGCGCGCCAGGCGCAGCAAGGCGCAGCCAGCGGCGGCAGCGGCAGCGGCCCCGGGACCATTCCTACGCCTATGCGCGCTGCGCGCAGGCGGCGGGCGGCGGCGAGCGGCGAGGGAAGTCCGGCGGCGGGCGGCGTCGCCGGCAACCCTCCGAGACCACTGACGCCACTGGCACTGTTATCGGGAAAACCGAATACAACCGAATGCTGTCTCGCTCCTTCAATCGACCGAACCGGTTCCACCCGCTTGCTCCCGATGACCCCGTGGCTGGCGGCCCTGGCGGCCCTGGCGGCTGGGGGTGCGGGCGGAGCGCGGAGCCCGGCGGAGCCACACCGGCACGCGGTCACGAAACGTCGCGAAACGAGGCATGCTCCCCGAAGAAGAATGGGGAGCGGAAGGAAAAGTCCATCCTCGGCGGCACAAGGCCCACAAGGCCCCGGCGCCATGAGCGTCCGTCACTAGTCCAGCTCGCCGCAGCTTGCCCTGCTACCGGTTAGACTGGTCGGGGCGAGGCGGCCGGGCTAAATCGATTGAAGCACCTAATCGATGCTATGTGATGGAGGTGAGACGAGCCAACCGCAGCCAGCGTCGTCGCCTGCACCGCGAGTCAAGCGCCAAGCGGCCTGCCGTGTCTCTAGCCATGCACGCAGTAGCAGTGCCGGGGCGCACATCCGTGGCGGTGGCCATGCGGGCCACCATCCACGCTGCGCGCCCGGCCTGCGCCCGGCGAACGAGTGTAGTGGCCTTGGCATTGGGCGGCAGCGGCCAGAGCCAGTGGCGCAGGAAAGGGACGTCCACCGCAGCGTCGCGCAGCGTCGCGCAGCGCACCCCCAGTCCGGGACCAAATGGCATGCGAGGTGCACCTGGCCAGCGAGGGTGAGGTGAGGGCGAGGGAAGCCCCTGAACCGCCAGGCCGGACCGGCCGGACCGGCGGCAGGGGTGCATCCTCGCTCGCAGCCCCAATCCCGTACCTCCAGGCCAACTTTCCCTCGTTACTTTGAATCGTTTGAGGGATTTTTAGTACTCTTAAACTCTATTGAATTGACGCTCGCTAGATCTCTTGGAGCCAACGACACGAAAAATATTGAGAAAATTGGGTTGTTGGTCCCTCTGCCTCGGTCGGAAGCGGAGAGATTTGGGGGGGGGGGGGGGGGGCAAGGCGGAAGGCGGAGGAGAAGTCATTCCTACGCCGGCGACGACGACCCCATGTTTGTCTGCCCCACTTCGTGCTCCCTTTGGACGGTCCGTTCCTGCGCCACTGGCTGCAGGCGTGGGGGTCCTCCCCGCCCCGCCTCGCCACGCTCGTGGCTCCTAATAAGCGATAAGGGTCATCACAACTCTATACATTGATAAGAAAAGAATAAAGCGCAGAGCCACCCGTCCAGAGCCACTTCATGTGACTCACAATCCGGTTCGCCTCTATTGTTATCACAAAAATTATTGCCTCTTCATGTGCGCCGAGAGAGGTCCGGGATTTCACGAGGCAATGATAATTTCTGAGTTCGTGTTATGACTTTATTTTCAACATATGACATAAAATAGAAATTGTATAACAAGTTGTCAGCCCAGTTTGTCAGATGACATGATTGGTTTTAAAAGATATAAAATAAGATATCTCTGTTCCATTTGCCCTGTAAAACACTGATGCAAAAACAATATACTGACAGTGATACTGACCCATCCCCTATTTTTTTAGTTTGTACCTAAAACATATACTTTTCTAGGTCTTATTATTGAGTACAAAGTTTTAGCAGGCAGTCAAGAATTCAGTTTCAAAAAATATTGCACAATGATTATGGTATCCTTTAAAAGTAGTATTGCTTCATATGTTGAACACCACTGTTACCTAATTAAAGAAATAGATACAAATAGGACCTCAAGATAATATTTTTCATCAATATCAACAGCATATTTTATCTTCTTTCTGCAACACTATGTAGGCAATACTCTTATGTAACAAATTAAGAGTTTTGACCCTTAGTTGGTTTATATGTTCTACAAAATTAATGACCTGCTGAAACCTTCATAGCTGCAGAAAGAACACAGATGTCACACTAACTTTCCTCAGAAGGAAGAAAAGAATGCATCTGTTCGCACCACTTTCTTTGTCAACAGGTATCTGACTCCTTTGCACTTAGGTTAAATAAATCATTCCTATTTTAGAACAGTCTCTGTGCAAACTCGCCTTTCACATACATGCAAACACAAACATACACACAAATTACAACATAAATAAATTTTCTTTGACAAAATGTTGGTATCACAATCATGTTCCTCAAGGACAGAGCTGTAACACTTGATAAAAATCAGAGTGAATACTTTTGCAACAGCTTATACTAAAGTAGCCTTGATAATTAATGTCAAATAAGTGAAACAAGGGGAACATTCATGTAAAAATAGGACAAGTATGAATTTTTTGATTGGCTGTGGTCAGCTTTAAACAGCCAAGTTGTAGGACCAGAATTTAAATCATTGAATGATTTGATTAGTGAGCAAGAACATCACTATCAGCCACAAACATTTTCATGTTATTGGCACTCCAGTAAATACCAGAGCTATGCACTACTAATGACCAAACATAGGGTATAAAGAATTCTTCTGGCTTGTCTTCCTCAACATACTTGAATTTCAAATCTGGAAATTTCTGTTTAAGAACAAAAAAAACAGGCACCGTTAATTAAAAATGCCAGGAAGAAAATGTGGAAAAAAATAATTGTAGAAAAAGGTACCTTGAGACGTTCACGAGGCCATTGCAATGCACCACGCTGAATTGTCGCCAACACTTCATTCTCCCCTAGGTCTGAGTTCTCATGTTCTAGTTTGCTGGTAAAATAATTGATTACCTGGAAGAACAAGGCTCTTATTTAATCTCTTAAACATGAATACAAAAGAGTCTGCATGATTAGCAAACGTTTAGTCATTTTTTGGGAGGGGCTGGCAGTTGGTGTTTCTGACCTAAAAGGTCTCAGATTAAGTTGAGATTGAGATGCTTGCTAATGAAGCAAAGTAAATTATTATGGAATAGGTAAAATCTCATTAAAACTCACAGCATCAATGTTGTTGATAATGTCTTCAAAAGCAGGATGTGTCCGGAAAGGTTCAAAAGCACTTCTCTTGTAAAGGAGTGTATACAGAAGATTTGGATTGTGTTGGAGTTGATGTGATAGACCAGAGTTAATTATTTCCAGCACCATTCTTAAAACTTCTTGCAAAACTGTCAGGTCTTGGGCCTGAAATTTTATATAAATAAAGATGCAAAAGGTACACTAATAGTTTGAATCCATTAAGACTATGTATCTCTAAACTTACAAGGTCAGGGGCAATTTCACCAGATGGTCCTTCAGTTGACTCTGTAGGAGGGTGCCCTTCCTTTTTTTCAACGCTTGAGACTTGTCCTTCAGCATTAACTTTGGTATCCACTGGAGGTGAATTGGGCTTAGGAAGACTTTGGCTGTTCTTGATTCTCTCTTCAAGACGCACATATTTTCGGGCTAAGGTTTCAAAGAGACTAACAAGACGTTGACTGACATACGGATGTAAGCAGCGAAACTGGCCACTCATGTTTGCTAAAGCTGCCAAGCAGTTTGAGTGCAAGTACTTGTCCTAGAATCGAGACATAAAAGAAATATAGAAATGAATGATGGAACAAAGTCACAAAGCATAATGAAAAGAAGATTGAGATGTAGCTGACCCTCATTTTTGATATGTTGTACTGGATACTCCTTATGATAACAAGAATAAGCAAGCCCCCGAGTGAAATTTCAGACACTGCTCTTTCTGTGTACCAGGAGGCACCTTTCAGCATCTGTAAAAATGAAAAAGAATAAAATGACAAGAGCAAATAAGTAAAACTACTGAAAATACATTATAGAATACAACAATAACAATAAAGTTAAGAACTTACAACATCATGAACAGTTTTGGTAAACAAATCATCTTCACTTAATATTAATATGACAATAAGTGACATATATATGTGGTGGGAATTACTATCTGGGGCATGATAAAGAGTCCGCAAAATTGGTACTAACTGAAACAAAATAAATGCATGACACCATCTTAGTGCAGAAGACGAAAAATAAACCAAAGAACCCAACTGACAGGACCCCAACAACAGGACCCAAAACCTCCTTACCAACTGTTCAATGTCAGACCTGGAAATGACATAAGTTCGAAATTGTTGATTCCTATGGAGAAGCATATACAATAAAAGGGTTGTTTGGTCACTATTGGGAACATGGCAGAGGGCCCCATAAAGAGCTCCAGTATCCAGTTTAAATGTGGAGGCTGCTTTAGTTGGAGCTGAAGCCACAGCATCATCATCTAAATTTCAAAAGAGACAAATTTTATTTAATCAAACTAAATAAATATTATTACGAATTATCTATGATTTTTACTTGCCTTTATGGGCAGCTGTGAAACTGAATAATGCCTGTCGATAAGGATTCCTTAATGGTCCTTTGTCCGATGTACAGTGGTTCACCAAAACCAGCAAGAGGAGCAATGCCTGTCCTGCAAGTGGAGCTCTGCTGTGCAAAGCTTCTCGAGCTTTCTGGCGTTCCTCAGGAGTAGCAGCAGCCTCTATTGCCATGAGGAGCTCATCTGTCTCATTGCTGCGCCCATACCCCAGAGTAACAATACTCCACAAACCAGCTGAATGGAAAGAGTGACACAACTATTATTGTAGACCAGTAAAAATATAGACAATCAATGAAGTCTCCACAGACGTCACAGTTAAGGTGGAGACAAGCCAAGTTAAGAGGAATTATCAAATATTTGATTAATGAAAAATTAATGAGGACTGAGTTGCTGAAGCAAGTTAAAACAAAGATGGATGCACCAACACCAACAATTTTTAGTTAGCTAAAACATAGAAATTTAGGAAGGTGAGACTGTTGTGTGAACATTGACTTGCATTGCAACATTATCTATCCAAAGTCTACACAGCAAATCACATGGAGATGAGGACAACTTGAGGCAAACCAAATTTGAAAATGATCTATGATCCATCTAATATGAGCCTGTACAGGAATTTTGAAGGCATGCGAGGCCCCTAACATCTCCATTAGAAATAGCACACTATGAAAGCCATGTCACACAACTCACCATAAATTGATGAGAAAACTCCTCCGAATGCTTTGCATAAGAAAACAAAACACGAATTCTTTTTGTATTACAGAAAACTACCTCAGCAAATGCAGCCAATCACAAAACTCAAGCATGAATGTAAAATTTATATTAAGTTATACTGAGATTATACAGCCACACTGTATATATATAGAGATGTGATCTAGCCTTTCCTTTCAGTGTGACGAGTTTGAAGTTTCATTGGTATACTTACAAGCAAGACCCAAAACAATGCTGCCACCCTGTCCATCACCATTCAGCACACCAGGAGGAACTTTTGTTTGATTTATAAAATGTTGAAGGAGTGTCCTAACAAGGAGGGGTGAGTGTATGGAATTTCGCCCTTGCATCAAACTCCTAAAAAAAATATAGAACAATGCAAGTCAAAGGGGCAGTAAGTTGGAGAGCGAGGTAATATTTGGTTCCTTGCAAGCTGGAAATCAGGCATGCCTACATTTAAGGCAGAGAGTGTTGACCCCCTTTGCCTTTAAGTAGTGTCACACTAGTTTCGCATAGCATTCTTACCGATAAACACACAATTTTTCTGCAGGCTGGGTAGAGAACATTTGAATGGACAGCAGAACAAGTATACAATTGATGGCTTCTAGGTGCAAAATGTAAGTGTAATCCCTAAAACAAAACAATTAAAAATTGAAAGTCACTTTTAAAAAGAAACTAGCAAGAAACAAGAAACTGATTTACAATAAAATTTGAGGCAAGCTTACTTGAGAGGAACATCCACAACTATTTCAATTAGAGCATCTAGAAAACTGTCCAGATTGCTAGAATTAACATCACTATCAACTGAACCTATAACCACAACAATAATAATTATAAATTCAGTGACAAATGGGATAGACACGGGAGCCAGGTCAATGTAATACATACCGGTCTGAGAGGTTTGCTTGGATTCAAACTGTTGTAAAATTTCTTCTTCATTATATGTCTCCACCAAATATTTAGTGAAACATCGAATTATAAAAAGAGCATTGTAAATTTGCGTACACAACTGGTTGCTAAAATCAAGTAGACAGGGAAAATAATGAACAGGACTGCTCTACTCAGTTCAAAGACCAAGATGGTTAGATAGATTCTATAGATAAAACTTACACATCTGATTCGACATTAGCAAGCAGTTCTCGTGTTCTTTGAAGAAAGACTTTAATCAATGATGAAAAATTTCCTGTTTTCAGATTATTTACTGCAAGAACTTCGCAACATGGTCGCAACTTAGCATCCAAATTTCTGTGGTCTGAACTGAAAAAGGAGGGGAAATAACAATCAGATAGATCTAGGAGAAGAGATAACGAAATATGAAAGAATGAATAAATAAAAAGTAAATAAAAGCTGTCAGTTACGATAGAATTTAACAGTCTAATCCATCATGGAATCAATAATGCTCAACAGTTGAAAAAAAAAATAATGCCAGAAAAATTTCTACTTCAGAGGTTGAGTAAACATAACTGCAACTTACCAAGTAGTTGGTGGTGAGATGGAAAAGGAAAGAAATTTGTTCCAAAATGGGTGGTCACTTGGAATAGGATCTTGTCCATAGAATTGGTTGAGATATTCATTGTTGGTAGGATCACCATGTCGGCTTGTAGTTGTGCCCATGCTGACGTTTTAACTCTCAAAATTATATTGACATAGCACAAAAAATTGACAGGACCTCTTTGCCTTTTCGTTTTATTGACTTTGACGCTGTCAGACCAGGTTAGAATGTTTCACTCTACGGGCTCTTCTTTTCACGTGTCATGCTTCTGAAATGCAATTCACACGTCCGCACACGTTTCTGTGAGGGGCTTTGCTGATGAATCACGAGGAGGCGATAAGTGGTGATAAGCTTAATCTAAAAATGTGAAACACGAAACTAGAGAAGTGACAACAATCTAAAGCTTCTGCCACGGATTCCTCCCTCACAGCCATCTAAGATTGAGCAGAGAAGAGAGTTGTTTACAATACCAACATTGCCAAATAATGAAAGGAGGAGGAAAAAACTATAAATAATTATACACACACCGGTCTCCATGTGGCATCATAGTCACCTCTGTAAAACAAAAATGCAAATCTGAATTTAAAAAAAAAATAAAGGTGATTGCTCTGCAGTTGGTGCATCTGTGCCGGAAGTAATTAGCTTTGAGGCGGTATGGCGCGTGACTCGGCGTGACTTTGAACAGAGTTCAGCTTGATGCTCTTGAAAGAGGAAATGACAGACCGAGGCGGTCATCAAACATTAGCTTTGCAGTTCTTGAAATGAATGTGAGCAAAAGAATGCTCAGCGAATGATTCTTTTTGATGATTTCAGAAACTGATGTTTGGAGATCATAAATGAAATGCACTGTGACATACAGTATTTAGTTGCCTCCAAGGAGGACTCAAAATGTTTGTATCCCAGTGGTTAGGTGTGGGCATTCAAAAATGATCAAAAAATTATTTGATTTAAACATTTATTTTCAAAGGGATAGCAGCATGAAAGCTATCCATCACCCACATTATAATACCAATTTTCACATTCTTCAAAAGTCTCATGAGGTAAAACGATCAGATCACTTGAACTCACAGATGATCTCACTTAATCTCATACAGCATTACACATTTATATATTACACCCACAAACCAAAACTTGGGGAAACGTCACAATGAAACATTAACAATTGCATTTAAACAATATGCTCTAGTCAGTTGTCCTACTAATTAGTAGTTGGAACAAGAAATTAAATACCGAAGTGTGTATTAATAATCTATGTGATACATGTTACCACACACCGCTATTTTCACACTTAGGAATGATAACATTGGTAAATATAAGCTTTACTTTCGTAAAAAATCGTGCAGTCTCCTAAATTATTAGTTAAGTTCACACATTTCCCCCCTCCTTCAAAAGCAAAGTTTCAGCCACATAAGTTAGCAATACAGCCCCAAATCTAGGTAAACTGAATCCTGAAGACCACAATAAATGCTACTGGAGGACAGGTCACAAATGCCCAAAACACATTCGAAGGACCCTGCATGTACCATACCATTTGATTGTAACTGTGTATCTCCTTTACCAGGACTAACAGCATAATTTAGAACAAAAAAAAAAATTGCAACAAAAATTCATAGGAACAATGCAGAAGATTCAGAAAATATGAAACAAAAAATAAGGGACAAATCTGCTGAAGCACAGCAGAAAAATCACCATCTAAGTTAGGAGGGATGGAAATCAAATAGGCATGGGCTACTTGACTGTGTTTGGTAATGCCTCTTTGGCTAAAGAAAATTTAGCTTAACATTTGGCATCCTATAATGCCTTTCACAAGTGCACCATACACATATCTCTAGAGCTGTATGTGTACATATGTACGCTGCACAGTAAAATATTCAAAGAGTTGCCTTTAACTGGCCAGACTTGACCAAACAAAAACAAAACCATGTTTTGAGAAAGATTTCTCTTGAAAACTAAGCCTCAGTTCCCAAAAGAAATTTTGATTGAAAATAAAGCTCATAGGTTTATTTTAAAAATACATTACAAACTAAGAGGAAGAATCCTCTGCATCCTCTTTTTCGACCATTTCAAAATCACGACCAGTAGTAGATTTTTGACTACTTTCTGATTCACTTTCAGTATCTTTTCCTCCAACATCACTGGTGTGCCTGTCAACAAAAAAAAATTGAAGATGATTCAGAAAACAATTTTTATAAAAAGGAAGTAACATACGTCAATTTATGAACATGATAGGAAGAAAAACACATTTAAAGCATGTCTATACCTCTCAATATTTTTGTCCATGTCTTTTTCATCTTCAGCACCTGTTTCTTCAGCTCCAGTATCAACGCCACGCTTACTCTCTCCTTCTGCATCTTCTTCCGCATCAGAATCCTTGTCCTTCTTTTTCTTATTTTTCTTCTTCTTCAATTTGTTTGCATCATAATCACTTCCCCTGTACTCATACTATTCAAAACAAAACACAAAACTCAATCAAAAAAGGGAATTTAACAACAACAACAAAAAATGGCAACAAGAATAAGGTGTTTAAATAGTTAGATAGTTAAATACGAACATGATAGAGAGGCCAGAAGGATGCCAAGAATCCCACATCCTCCACCAAATTGGGGAGCAGCCAGAAATGGTGCCTGCCCAAAGACAGTGTCCAGATAATGCAGAAAACAATGACGCGCAGAATTGCCAGAGCCAAAATGAATACGAGAACACCAGCAGCTGCCACACTTAAGTAGTAAACGCCTTTCCTATGAAACAGAAGCAACTCACAAGTAATCACAAGAACTAGGCCTTATAAGTACATAAGAAATAGGGTGAATGATAAGCAGACTGTCTTACCTTACTGCTGGAGGCCATAGGGGGAAAACACAAATGCCAATTGCTCCAAGAACTACCAAAGCACCAAATACCCAGTAATAAAAGGGGATGGGATCATAGAGCCAGACGTACGCATCCAAGCCATCAACAAACATTTGGTCCATGTGCATTTCTAACCGAATTTTGCGTTTCTTTCTCTGTGACTTTTCCTCCTGAAAGAAAAGTTGATCCAAGTGGAATGACACACACAAAAAAAAGGAGAGGTACGATTCTTTCAAAGCAACTGCAGTTGCAATGTGACATTGACAAGTTCTCTCACCAGGCATTTTTCCTCCTTGCATCCTTCAGCATGACTGCTTTCTGCTTCTTCAACAGTTTTCTTTTCTTTTCTGTTCTCGTCTTTTTCTTCTTTGACATCCAACTTCTTGTCTTTCTTTTTCTGTTTCCCTTTCAGCTCTTGCTCTGATACAACCACTTTTTTAGCACGATGGAAGAACTTGTGGGTTAACATTCTATAAATTAAATTGTTTGTAACTATTTCCATTCAGCACATAAAAAAAACACAAGGAAAAAAAAGACACTAAGATAGATACCTTTCTAGAAAATCCACAACATCTTCTCTGCAAGTAAACATTGGTTCTTCACCACTTTTGCCTTCTTTAGCCCAATGAGACTCCATCAGGGCATCTACTGCTTTTACAGCTGAAGGGGAAGAAGATCCAAGTTATATAACACCAACTAAAAAAAGAAAATTGCACTGAGATGTGGTGGTTAAACGAACCTGTGAAGTATTCCACACTGTAGTTGAGAAATTTGGTCTTTTTGTTTGGAACATTGCTGCGAAGCCATTTTGCAACAGCATATTCTTCTTTGGATGGCTTCTCCGGCTCTATTTTGGAGCCAGGAACCAATTCCTGTAAATTTGTATTGAAGGTTACAAAAGATGTGGTGGTGAAATTAAGTGGCAAAAAGAATACTCAAAGATACAAGTCTACAGGTAAATCATTTTGAGAAATAGAGATCACATTAACATAGCAAAGGCCAAGAGACAGAGGTACAGTGGCAAAGTAGTACAGCAGGATCACTGCCATTAATACGAGTGTACACAAAACCCTTTTTCAAAGATTTTGTGATTGTGTTCATTATTAATGTTAAAGACAACCAGGCATATTGGAAGTGCCATTAAGATGTGTTGGCACTCTATGAAAACTACATAGGCTCATCCTTAGACCACCAGAAACTTACAAACACCATAGTTTGGCTCTCCGAAGAAAACAACAAAATGTCAACGTTGCAGCAGACTAAACTGAAGAATCTAACGGTACTCAAAACTGCCAGTCCGAGTTCGAACCCCGAGACGAACACGGACGCAGGATGTTACAGTAAAGCAGAACCTCGGGTTGTATTTTCTACCATAATTTCCATACCACAGTCCAGACAGAATCAATAGTTCGAAAAAAATTGTGAGAATATGAACAATCTAGCTAAATACATGTGTAACAGAAGAATTACCTCTTTTATTCGTTTCTTAAGCTTTCTTTTATCAGCCATGCTGTCAAAACACTCCGCAGCAGTCTCCTGTCTGGGGGTCTGAATCCGGGCCGAAAACCGTGGAGCCAGTGTGACGTCACGGACACGGTGGTGGGGCCACGGATAGGGTAGGTTGGGGCTGTTGGGGCTTCCACCATGGGGTCAAGCTAGAGACCCTCGGTCAAGCCCATGGAGAGATGCTAGGTGCTTTTACAGCAGCTACCGAAACTATTTGGGCGCTTTGAATAGATCAATCGTTTCGTTCGCAGTCTGTCGACAAAATTTAGGATGTAATAAAGTATTCAGAATTATCATGTTTTGAAACAGTTAACGACTAACGAACAAAATATCTTTCTCCAGTGAAAGCTTACTCAAGCACTGATATTTTCAGTCTACAAATTAAAGATTTTCATGGTACTCCCTTATTTGTCTATTTTCTGCATTCCATCCCCCCCCCCCTCCGGACGTCACAGTGGCTCCACAGTTTTCGGCCCGGAGGGATCGACAACAAACAACAACAACAAGAGAGCTGGTTTTTGTTTTTAAGAGACAGGAGACAGGGTGCGAAACTTTCCAACAAAAATTTCAAGTGCACGTTGTAGCGGGTTATTCTTTGTCTTGAATTTCTTTTTCCCTTTTTTAATGAGTCAAAAAATTTGGACTCTTTAAGCGCGTGTTAGGTTCTGTTCCATGCTAAAAAATACTTTGTCGTGCAAATAAGAAAATTAAGTGTAAATAAAGGGGAGGGGAAAGGGGTGTGGAGGGGCAATGTTTGTAGTGTGTGCGCGCGCGGGTGCGTGTTGTGTTTGTGTTGGCCTCTAGGTCCTAGGTTATTTGGTGATTTTATTTTTTAAAGATTTTGGATCATTTGCTTTGCTTTTGGTTCGGGATTTCCACCCTGAAGCTGTCTGGTCGTGCTTAAAATGAGAGTAAGTAAACGCAAGAAGGACAACGAAGCCGAAGCCACGACAGACACTACTTCGGATTTACCTGAAACTTCTGAGATTGAAACCACCAAAACCCAGTCAGAGCCGAAACGACGCAGCACGAGGCTGAGCTTGAAGCCAACGGTACCAGAAGAAGCCAAGCAGGATCAAGTCAAGAAAGAAACGAAAAAGAGCAACAGCAGGCCGAGGCTATCTGGTTCTGGCACTGTGAAGACCCAGGCACCGAGCGTCACCACAACCGCCGAGGCGACTGTCGAATACACCTCGGACGGAATGTCCTTCGAGGATGTCACGGACGCAGACGACGACATGCTGCCAGACATCGTCATGGATTCTCCTACCAAAGAGAGTAGGTCGTCTGGCTGCGGCTGCAACCATGACCCCTATTGTGCTATTTCATTGCTGTGGCATGGTCTGCCCTGTCTTTACAGGCATCATTTTGTTCAGTTCCATATTTTACCTGCCTGAGGTGCTGCTCATTTATGTCTCATTGCCTTTACTTTTGCAGAAAAGTACTCTAAGGACGATATTGTTTGGGCACCACACAGGAATGTGTATTGGCCAGCAATCGTCACCTCAGTAAAGCCGCCGAATGTGTGTTTCCTGTATGTCAACGACTCTGGGGAACATGTTTTTCGGAAGCAAGCAAGACAGCTTATTTCCTTCGATAGTTCACTTAAGAATCTTGAACTAAAGGTTTGTTTGTTTCTTATTGTATCACAGCTATAACCCATTCTGAGATGCTTTCTTCATTATCTCTCTATCACATTTTGTTTCTCTCAGAATTTAGGGGAGAAAGATGGGAACTTAGACGAGAAGGAAGGTGCAAGGTTCAAAGAGGCATATGACCTTGTCAAAAAGTACCTTATGAAGAGGAAGTTTAACTCCAACATAAATGCTCGCCGTTTTTTGACCCTCAATCAGAATGGTGAGTTCTTATCAAAGGATACTTTTATTTCTGGTCTTGTCAATTTACAACATATAATTGGTTCATGTATGCATTTATAATCATCCCTTATTACAGATAAGATGGCACAAGCTAAAACCTGCCTACTAAGGCTGACAGGCAGTTTTGAGGGCTTTGACGATGAAGAAGATAAACTTGATGAAGACATGGCTGATAATGTGTGCAATAGTGATGATGAAGGGAGTGGCACTGATGAACTATCTGAAAGTAAATTACACACTGATGGGCGAAGTCCCAATGAAAAGGCCAAAGTTAAAGAAATTTTGAGAGATTTGGAGACCTTGCCTTCTAGTATGACTGTCTCATCTGAAGTTAGTATCTATCTCTTTTTCATAATGCTGATCTGAGTAAATGACCTCATTTTATGGCATTGAAATTCTTTTTGCAGCAATACAAAGAAATGAAAAAAGAGGCAATTAATCTCTTGGCTGTAATTCGCTCAACAGACTGTTTTAACCACTTAGAGCAAATAAGGAATGGTTCTATCATGAGCTCTCGCCACCAGAAGTATTTTAAACAAGAGTTGGTGCAGGGTGGCTTGGGACCTTTCACCCTTTTTGAAGACCTAGTATGTGTTTTTGAAGGATATTTTCTGCTAGCAGTTGCATTAAGATCAGTAGAGCTCGTTGTGTCAATTAAATGTCTTATTGCTTTTTTTCCTTTTTTTTTTTTTTACAGACCACTGAATTGTTGACTGCATTGGATCAGCACTGTGACAAATTTGATTCCCCAAATTACAAACAGGCTGTTATGCTACCTGAGGTATCTAAGATTTTGCTTGCTTGTACTAACAGTAAGTACATTGCATAAGTCACAACTCTAAATTGTTGTTTTGTTTTACTTGCAGGCAATAATTTATGCTATTACCAAAGTGATGGACTGTAGTAAACTTGATGCTAAACGTCATTTCCACAAAACATGTAAAAAAGTTGGAGTTATGGACCAAGACTAAATCTCTTTGTTCCATAGATGGTTTCTTTACAGTCCAACTGAATAATTTTTTACTTACTTATTCACTATTCAAGTTCCTTTTCCATTTTTATTCTTTTACAAATTATGCTTTGAATCAATGAACATTTGTTATTTGTTGGTTTAGAGTTGCATGGATATGTTGTGCTAGTTCTATTCAGGAAATAGCGTTGTTAGAAGATAATCAGTAAAATGGTAGAATCTGAACATGATTGTATTTCTTTATTCTGAGGCCACATACGTCAACTCATCAATGCAGAAGATTATCAATGAATCCAACAACAGAATTTAAAATTTGAGAAACATGATTGGTAGAGTCCATTTGGCAGTTAAATCAATTTGATATACACTTTTGAAAAGAGCACAAATCAAATCAACAAACAATCAATGTCTTACATGTTGTAAGGCCTTGTTCCTCAACAGAAACAACTGGTAAGAAAGAGCAGCTTAAGTAACACAAATTCATGAGATATACTTACCAATAATGAGATAAAAAGATGGGGTCAAGAGGTTCTTGTGTACACTCACACCTGGACTTCCCTAATAGAATGCTTGAACAGAAATACACATTTATGTTCCTATCTTAAAGAAAAAAATTCTTATGCTAAATGTAGTTTTTGAAAGAACTTTTACGTCAAATAATCGTAAGAAAAGAAATCTACAAGTGATCGCTTTTCAGTTATGTGATGTTCAGCTGATTCCTTCATGTTATCACATAACCATAGACGGAGCCCCCTCCGTTTCATCTTACCTCCTCTTTATCACATTACAACACATCTTTTACTTCATAAACCCCATGTTATTTACCTTTAATTCACAATGCTCCTTTGTCATACAATAGATCGATAACTAATGAACAGAAGTGTTAGTTTAGGAACAACTGTAAGACTGACAAAGCAAGGTCCTACATCCTGTCTCCATCCATTTAAATCTTGCATATGATAATAGAAGAGAGTATGAGCCAGATAATTCTAAGCCTGTTAAGGGTTTCTTTCATATTATCCAGTAGTTGAATAGGACGAGCTATTTTGGAACGCAACCAGAGATATCAGGAGCACCAAACATTTGGCAAATCTAATGAAAACAATCAAGTCTCCATAAGTTTTTGTTGTTAATTTGAATTGAGAGAAAAGCAAGTCATAAATTTAGAGGTGATATGGCGACGAGGTGTGCAGGGCTGTGCCTTATCAGCATTTCCACTCTTTTGAAAGTCAATCTGGCATGGAACAGGTGCCCTTCTTAATCCCCTCATTTTTTTTATCTTATGTACTTTTATGTTTTATGAAAAAATACATCTTTTTCATAAACTGCAGACACTAAGGTCATACCAGATTATTAACTGAAATCTACTCCCCATATATAATTTGAAAACAAATGAGTGCTACTAGAACTGTACAAAATAAGTCAACAAATTGGAAATTTATTCATCTGGCAGATACCACTAAACCTTCAATGAAACACACAAGAGGGTGGCTAACATTTACTAGAATTTTTTTGTGTTTTAATATTCATTGCCAGTTTATAGTGCAGCGGCTCAAGTTGGTGTAACGAAAGCAACATAAACTGGATGTATTACTTAAAACAATATACAATATGTGCTAAACTTTGTTTTTAATATATATATATTCGTAAAATGATGGAATTAAAACAATGCATAAACAAATTGCAGAAAAAAGCCAATAACTCACGGGCAACTGGCAGGGTAAGAATGGCGAAAGGAAGAAAGGAGCCCATAGCGATAAATTACATAACTCCATACACGTCTCTTCCCTCCACACAAAATACAAAACATATGTACAAACAGGTGGTCAGAGCGTTCTTAACATAAGTCAAGTCAGTAAATTGGAGCCACTAGAGGAAAACTTGCACAATTTGACAAGATCCCCTAAATAGCTTGAAAAATTAATTAAAATACACATAAGACAACAGAAAGCAAGAGAATTTACACATGAAAACCTAAATATAATTAACTGATCACACTTCTACCCTCACACAACTTCAAATTTTATCATGGGAGTAGTTCCGAAGATTCACATGTGGCACCACCACGGAATGGAAGCAACAACGTATCTCCTGTGACTATGTGAGAAAGGGAGGTCCACTCTGCTCGAAATTTTGCCACCCAGAAGTAAGCAGATGATTCGATTCCAACATGTAGAACCTATGGTAACTATTGTACTTTTTACAGCAATCACACAATATGCCGCACAGGCCACAGCAATATCACAATGTTCGCAGAGAGCTATTGGAGAAAAAAGAATTCATCAAAACTTCACTCTAAATTAGTGTCCAGATTCAATGACTTGTCTTCTTCTCCGTTAGTCACATCATACTGAGCTGCACTGAAGAGTGGTGATTTCTTGCTGTAGACATGGTATGAAGGACGTGACTGATCATAACCACTTGACCCAAGTTAATTTAATCTGCAGAAACCACAACACTAAGCACATAACTACTGCTGTCCATTTACATTACAAGGCAAATGACACAATGCAACTTCAAAATATTGAGCCAAAAAGATTAGTGCTAGTGTTTAAAATAAAGAACATAGACTCCCAATTGATACATTACAAAAGCAGCTTACAAAAATAGGAATTTAATTCTGAGTTAAAACAAGTAGGGGTAAACCTTCATCAATGCACATGTAGCTTTTTGCATAAGTGGGCAGTGGAAATGATCAGCTGTCTCCATAACCTTCTATTATGCGGATGCTTGAAATGACCGTCAGTCTTTATCTGCAACTGGTGAGCCAATCGCTGTCACATTAAATTAGCCATCTTCCTTGGGTGGAGTAAACCAGCCTGCAAGGCAGCAAAGAATAATGATGATAAAATAACACCATAATCAAAAATTCTTAAAACTACAATGAAACTTCACACCCCAATTGATTCTTACCATTTTTCTCATGAATCTGAACTAAGGACTTGAAAGACTGTTGTGCTTTGGCCAGGCTGTATTGGCTCTGTAAAATCACAGTCAGATTCATCATAACTATTCAGAGAGATTTTTCCACACATGGTTTAAATAGTAGAAATTCTTGTTAACCTTACCTTGGGTAATGTAAATTGGATACGAGCTTTGCCTTTAACAAGAGTTGCAGCTATTTGCATAATAACAGCTTCTACAGTATAAGCCGAGCTCCAGCCCTGTTTGGTCAAGAGTTCCATGCAGATAGCACCACCAACCAAAACATATCCACCACTAATAACAGGATGAACCACACGGACAAATGGAGGTTCAAAGGGGTAGGATTCCTGAAAAATCGAAGAACAAGTTTAATAAATTGCATTGGCAGGAGAAATGTGTACACACACAAATGTACTTGAGCATAAATCTGTCATACCTTAAAAAGCATGTTGAGAAGAATGGAGTCTTTTCCCTCTTTTTCTTTAAGAAGCACCAAGTCGTTGTGAAGAGGTGAGTCAGGATCCACACTCATCAGCCTGATGTTCCACTCATACAAACTGTCTCCAACCAATTCAATATTGTACATGCCTGAATAATTAAATAATTAATGCAGAATAACATTAGTGTCTCATAACACCTAAGCTCGATAATGTATTTGCACACACTTTAAACATATACAAAGTAGGTTACATGGAAAGCCGGTATAATGTTTTAAGCAATATAGATCAATCAATTGCCGCCCACCTTTCTTGAATGTGTCGGAACGATATATATCCCGTAGTTCTTTCATTAAACGATCAGTGGCTTGAAGGGACCCTGACACTGACCCTTTTAAGTAATCTTGCCGCTGGTTGTTTCTTAGTCGTTCCAAGTGTGCTAAATTTGCTATGTCCATATCGTCCGCCTTTACCAAGAAAAATAGAAAAATCAGAATAAGTGGAAACAATGAAATTAAGTCAGTCTCACATTCAGTTCATCAATAGCGAGGGACAATTACCTTGTTTTTCTGTACTATTTCAGCTTCCTCCATTTCAAAGTGTTCATCTTCAAGCTCGTCATTTTCATTTTCTTCCTCTTCCTCCTCATCATCATCACAGTCTCTTTCAATACTTTCGGCAGGTTTCGCAGCAGGTGAAGCCCCACTATTTGTGTGATTGCTATGGGGCACAGGTATAACCAACCTATCTACATCTGATAGCTCTGGTAAGCTGTGTAAACGGCACAGTTCCCTCAAAAGGATGCCAACTTGATTAATAACCTGAAACAAAGTAAAATCACATTATCACTGGGCTGTGGCACAGCTGTAAAGTTGTGAGTAAGTGTTAAACAGAAATGTCAGATCTCCATTTTGAAGCATTACACTTAAAGACATCAACTCATCAAAACTCATAAGTGAGCAGCTTCAGTGAAAACAAATGATGAATGGCCTTACATGGTTATCCCTTCCAGTGGTGTTGCTCAGAATCTGCACAGCATTTGTAACACTCGTTTCTTCCGAATCGGCAAACCATACAGGAGGTGTGGAAGGATAGTTTTCCTACAATCATGAGAGACACGAATAAGCATCAACTTTGTTTAACACATCCTTGTTTTGACCACAAGTGCCACTTGGGAAGTGTTTTACATTACAACCTACACCACATATGTTTTCCCAAGGTTGGAAATTAAGTTACTGAGATAAGAGAGAAACAGGAATTCAGGTTTCTTGAGATATTGAAAGGTTACATTTTAAAAAGGACTATCAAAAGCACATGATAAATATCTGTTACATGACAGATCAAAAATCAATAGACCAAGACATGGGGGAGAGTTAGAAATCTTGAAGGAGAGATTTTACGTCAAAGACATAAGCCCACAATGAACAATGACTTCAGAAGCTAAGAACAGAAGCAGGAGCAGATGTAAACACGCAAAACGAAAGTGCACTGAGTGCTGCATGAGGTTAGGTAATGAGCAAGAGAGATACTAAATGGCAGCAGGCTTCACGCACGGGCCAGAAACAAGGGCCTAACTGTCCGTCTAACGACGCAGAGCATGTTTCCTCGCTGGAACGATGGACTTCTGCCTCGGATGCAATTTATTGCTTCAGCTTTCACATGACGTTCATGGCAACACAAATTTCAGTAACCCAGATACAAAAGCTGACTGGCGTAGCCAATCCTTTGTTCAGAGATAACCACCTTTCTCCCAATTAGATCGATGGCTCGCTCAAGCCTGGTCCTGCCGTAAAGACAAAATTAAAATGAACTCGGACTCACCGTTATATTAGCATGAATTTCGTATTTCTTGCCATTTTTTCCAATGAATCTACAGTTCAACTCGTCGACACTGGCTGACACTATCTGAAACCTTTCATGGTTCTTAGGGAAAACAGACTCTAAGGTTTTGATTTCTTGCTTCAACGTATTCAAGCAAGCCATTTGTGGACAACCCGAACATAAAGGTAAAGGAGCCCACGCTTATTTGGACAAAAATAACACCAGTTTAACATCAACACTACGTCCGTATTCAGAGAAAATGGCGACTTTACACTGAGGTCGTGTGTGCTGGTTCGGGTGACTCGGGCTTCGGACGAGCGCGTTCGCTGGGGTTCGGGTCGCTTTCGGGTGGTGCAGTATTGTTGCGAAAAGCGTGCAGCTGCAGCTGAGAGTACAGTCGCGGAAATGCGTATTTTCAACCCTGTTCATTTGTTACACTTAAGGTTTGATGTACCGTGTATTATTTTAGAATGTTGGGCATTTTAATTTATGCTTGATTTTCACTTCAATTGTACGAAACACTAGACGCTTTGTCTCCGAGCTACGGATTTCTCTTTTACCTGTCACGACTACCCTGGTTGAAGATAAAAGTAGTACTACAGTCCATCACCCGACTGGAGCGCGCTTTTCAAAGTTGCCTCTGCACATACTGGCGTACTGGGCCTCGTACGGCCTCGCGCTAAGCGCATCTAGCCCGGGAGAAAAGCACTGATTTCTCCTTGTAAAGCACATAGCACGACTCGATTCGTATGATGTGACATACGGCTTGTCATATACCCAAACACACTGTGGTGGTAAATGTGTAAGCAAGAAGGTAAACATGTAAGCTCTTGCTCAAGAGAAAACGTATCCCTAAAAAAAACATCAAATAAGAAATAATCTCATTTTTATCTTAAAAAAATAATTTAATGACAAGGACACAGAACACAAATACCTGAAATGAAACAAAACTTAAAAACAAATGTGACATTATGAACAAATCAGATAAATCAATTGTTGAGGAACATTTAAGGACTACAAATCTAGATCATAACATGATCAAAATAATTTTAAAATAGTCGAGTCCAAAAGATGGTTGTACATGATGACATTAAACTAAAAGTGAACTGCCATTCCAAACAAGAATGCAGTAAAATTCAATCAATAACCCCAGCAGCACTGATGACTAGTTGGTTCCAGTTGATCCAAAGCCACCTGCACCCCGTTCAGTGTCCGACAGTTCCTTAAGAAAAGAAAAACATAGAATTAATTTAATAGTAAAATTTGAAAGCGGTGAAGAACAATAGAAGCACACTAACCTTGCATTCTTCAAGTTGTGGATAGAAAATCCTTTCACAAATCAGTTGGGCAATCCTGTCTCCCTTGCATACTTTAAAGGAGGTTTCGCCATGGTTGAACATCACCACTCCAACATTTCCTCGATAATCTTCATCAATGACACCAGCTGAAATGGAATACAAAGGTATGAAGCTAAAGGAAAACAAATGCCAAAATGAAAAATCGAGTTCCGTAGTTGTACCTCCGACATCAATGTGATTTTTCCATGCAAGTCCAGAGCGTGGTGCCACTCTTCCATAGCAACCTGAGGGGAGCTGGATTTGGAGGTCCGTCTTTACGAGCTCCTTGCCCCGTGCTGGAATCTCGTAGTCATAGGCACTGCAAAACCATTCAAAATCACCAAATTAAGAGACGGCACAATGCGAAATCCAGAAAGATAGTAGATGCCGAAGGAGGCCTAACCTTCTCAAATCGAAACCAGCTGCTTTGACCGATCCCTTGACAGGGGAAAAAGCATTTGCCGTCGTCTTCACAAACCGCAACACACATCCTGTTTCTCCAGGCATTGTTTCAAGGTAATAAGGATCTATTCTTCTAGGGAGATTGTAAACTATCCCACTCCTTGGCGCCGATACTCTGGCCGATACTTTTGAAGATTCACGTGCGACGTGCGCGCGCCTTGTGTGCGACCACGGCCAGCGAATTTTGGCGCGCAACCTTGATGCAGTGGACCTCATGCTACCAACCTGAACTACCAACAATCTCTCACTTACTGAAAGTGCTTAAGAACTGGTTGAGAACCTTCATGAAAAGAATTTCTTTTAAGCATAAATTGATTCAGTGCGTCCTCAAAATTTGTCGATTGTCACTTGATTTCACTTCGAGTTTGGAATGATTATGATTATCGTCCCCGGTAGGAAAACTAGACGCAAAGTGAAAAAAACTTCCCTACCACCGAGATCAGCTGTATAATTTTTCAGCTGATATTGTGTGTCAACGCTGCCGCTGCCGTTGGTGGCATCGATTAATTCTTGATCGTGAAGGAGGAGCTGGCTCGCTCGACATCGCAGTCGTTGAAAAGGTCTATTGCGGTTGGTTGGCAGTGCGAATAAGCCTTGTGCGATTTTGAAGTACGACTTGTTCGTTTGCCTCCGCGGGCCATTCAAACACGCCTTATCTTCAGCACATAGAGACTGTTAGTAATTAGGTTCAGGTTTCAGGACGACGTACGGTAACGGTAGGTAACCATACTCTTTTCCGAAAAGTCACATGGGAAATGGTTTGATAGTATCGTTGTCCGTAGCGGAGGGAAGGGAAGCACGTTGAAAAGAATTCTTCCTTCCCGTATACAGCACAGCGGTCCGGCTCTCGAACTGCTTACTCCCGCTTTGGTTCAAGTTCAAAGGCCCCGACGTACGTCTTGGGGGGGGGGGGATGTGAGCCGGCGCAACACGTCCCCTCGAACGCGGCGGGCGCGGCGAAGACGGCGACCCCCTCCCGAGTCCGTCATACAGTGCACCCCACCGTGTCGTATGGGAGCCGCCCGGCTCAGCCCGGCCTGGAGTGTCGCCGCATTGATTACCGATATGTCCCAATGCCCCCTCGGCACTCTTTAATTATTCGGAACGCCACGCGCCATCGAGCGGCCGCGCCGATTCAGTGGGACTTCCCTCTACAGGCTGATCCCGAACAGTGGTTTCATCGCTCTGTCTCTCTCGCACTCGCGGGGCGTTCTTTACGGGTGCGAAAGAGACTGCGCCGCGAAGCCCTCGGCGGAAATCGCCCTGCTGGATCGGAAGCCGTCGCTGCCTTGCTGTGATACGGGCCGAAGTTGGGCCTTTCGGCTCCACCGGTGCCGGATGTCTGGAGTCGGAGGGGCGGCGGGGCGGCGCGGCAGGGGGAAGGGCGTGGGGGTGCGGCGGGGCTCGCGCGAGCCTGGTACCGCCTACCGCGTGGCTTGGCGTGGCGCCCCGTATTGAACGAGCGTGGCCGCAGAGTTTAGCGAGAACGAAGGACGTTTACCCGGCCGCCGAAACCGAAGGCAGGCGCGCGAAGGCGTCATGTGTCTGCGGCCCTGCGGCCCTGCGGGTCGGCCGCCATCAGCACGAATGGGTGCATGTGAGCGCTGCGGCCTGGCAGGGCTGGGCCCGATCCCCTCTTTCCCACTCACCGAAAAGTACGGAACGGTGCAGTCAATGCCATTCTGTCGCGAGTGTACATTAGGGTGGGTGGCGGGGTCGGCGAGGCGGCCCAACATTCGAAAGAATTACTCCACCTTAACACAGAGTTCTGGGTGTTGTGCATGTGAAGAGTCTAAGAAGTACGTCGCCGGAAACGGGATCGAATTGCGCCAAAGTCGCCGAGCAGGACGACGAGAAAGACATGATGCTGGTGGTGCCCCTGCCCCGCAGGGCGTGCCCTGGCCCCGAGCTGGCCCTCTGCATGGCCCTGCATGGCCCTGTCAGGCTGGCAGGTCGATTGGAAAGCCGTCCCAGCTTTGGCCGCGGTGTACGTGCGTTGACGTCACGCGGGTGACGTATCGGCGCCCATTGGCTTCCAGCCCTTCCAGGCCTTCCAGCAAAGGGCGCACCCCGCCCCTCGCACGCTCCGAGTGCTGCAAGTTGCCTGCTCGCCCTTCGGCCTTCGGCCCTTCGCGCCTTGCTGCACTGAAGACCGTAGCCGCAGCCCTTATCTTGGCCTGTCATTATGGTTTCGCGTGCTCCGGTGTTGGCGTTGGTTCTTCTCGCTCCAGGTGCCGCCAAGCCACGCCATGCCACGCCATGCCGCGCCGCGAGCAGATAGACGTGGAAGGCGCGGCCCAGGACGACCGCATTGTGTCAGGGCCGACAGGGCGGGGCGGGCGGCGCCTGGGTTCGACTAGTTTCCACAACTGTTCTTGGACTCTAGGTTCGACTACTCCCCCCTCCCCCATTTTCCCCGGAACTTGCCTACCCCCTGCCCAGCCCAGTCCGACGAAAGTGCTGGACTCTCGATCAGTTGGACTTCCCTCGCAGCATAATTGTACTAAGGCCGACGCGCTCTAGAGTACCAGCATCCTCGCAACCACTTGTGCAACCGATCGGTCGCAGCAGTGCTGCCTACAGGACAGTTGGGGTTGAGGCAGCCCCTACCGGCCCCAACCGTACCCTTGGTGAAAGGGGGTGAGAGGCGGCGGCGAGGCGGCGAGGGGAGGGAACGGGGCATGGCCTGGCATGGCCTGGCATGGCCACCCCATCGGCGAGGGCGCCCGCCACGGCCGCCACGGCCGCCACGGCCGCCACGCCACCACATCGACGACGGCATGGTCTGGTAGTCAGCGCACTGTCAGTGTCAGTTACCCGCGGGCCCCGGTGGAGTCCGCCGGCGGACGCACCCCGCGACTCCGCGGCGCAGGGTGACCAGGCTGACCAAGGTCTGGGTGGGTGGCCACACGGCGTCACGTCACGCGGCCGGCCAAGCCTCGCGAGCTGGAGGAGGCCGCCCAGAGGCAGCTGTGCGCGCGGCTGCACGGCCGCATGGCTGCATGACAGCCGTGGCCAGCACGTTGGCCAGCAGCAGCAGCGGCAGTCCGCGGCCCGCCGCCGGCAGCCCCCTCACCCGGGCTGCACTGTTCTCCTGGACGCCTGCCTGGCCGGGCGAGGCCGCGGGTGCAGGTGGTGCAGGCGCGGGCCCCGGCATCCCAGGCGTCGGCAGCCCCGTTGTGGGCGCGGTGCACGGCGCGGTGGGTGCCGGCGCCGGACACCTCCCGCTCGCCCTCGGCCGACTGGACACGCCGCAGCTGCCGCAACTGGGCCGTCGCAGAAGCTCCCTCCTCGCCGGCCTCGGCAGCCTCGGCCACGTCCCGCGCCACCACCACGGCCTCGGCGCCGGGGGCCTCGGCCTCTCCGGCCAGGCTCCGGGCTCGGCCTCGGACGGGGTCTCGACGGCCAGCTCGCGGCGCAGGAGCTTAGCCAAGCAGCGCCGCGACGACCCGGCCGTGCCGATCACGGCCGACGGCCCGGACGCCAAGGATAACGCGGCTGTCGCGGCGTGTCGCAGTTCGGCGCTGTTCTCGCCGTACTCGCCCCTCCCCGCCATCGGGGTGCCGCCCTCCTCGGCCTCCACCATGCCCGACGAACGCCCCGTACCCTCGCTGCCGCTGCCGCCCGCCGGGCCCATCCGGCTCTTGAGGGAGCGCACGTACGACGTGCTGGAGCCGCGCTTCGTCCGCGGCCCCGTCCCCCCGAGCTCCCTGCAGGGCGTGCCTGCCGTGCCTGGCGTGCCGAGCGCACCGGTGGCCGACGGGGGGCCGTCGTCAGGCATGATGATCGAAGACGAGGAGCTGCCTACCTCTCCGCCAGCCATGGACGACGACGACTTCGGCAGCGTGGACTCGACGGAGGGCCTCGTCTCGTCCACGGGGACGGCGGGGACGGCGGGGACTGGGATCGGCGCCGAAGGGCCTTCCGCTGCGGATCCCCTTGCAGTGGGGCTGAGCCCCCTTGGCGAGCAGCGGGAGGGCAACCGAAGCCTGCTCGCGCTCAAGGAAGACTACAAGGGAAGGCTCAAGAAGTTTTGGTCCAAATTCTGACGCCTGGAGTTGTGGCTTTTCAGTGGGGTCCGTGTGGAAACCGCTCGAGGTCGTGTTCTCGGTCCAGGACCACCTGAACATTCAGATTTTTACGGCTGTGCGTACTTACTTTTTAGATATTCAACTTTTGTATCATGTTAAATGAAAAGATGAGCATTAGTTTTGCACAGGACGGGGCGGACATCCTTGGCCATACAAAAACCGATTCCGAGCCAGCCGCCCATAGCGCCTGCCAGATAGGCCGTTCCGCAACACACTGTTGTCAAGACGGTGGCCTACCATGCCCCTGTAGGGATCTAGCTGGTCCCGCTCATTTGAAGCAGGCCTTCTGCACATGATTTTTAAACGCGCAGTGCAAGGGAGCTTTCACAAATGCTCATTTTTTGATCGATGGGGTGGTAAGGAGCATTCTTGACTTTTGTAAATCTTGATAGGCTCCGGCGCTAAGACGCTGGCATATCCTGCAAAATATGTGCCAATAAACAAACAATAAAAAAGGCGTTTTTCTAGACTTTTTTTGGGGTTCCCTCCCTTCTCCCTTTTCTGTCCTTGTTGGTACGGGAAGTCGTTACGCTAAGAAAAAGAGGTGTTTTTCAAACTGCCATTTAAGCTTTGGCGCGCTTTCACCGATCCGTCAGCTGATTGGTCTATTATTCGCAGAACAGTAGCAGACTGTGTTCTGCATGTGCGTGCATATAGTATGTCAACATTCGGCTGTCAAAGTCAAACACAGTGTATTGATTTATGAATGAAAGAAGCCTGAACTAATTAAATTAATCGCAGATATGAGGACTTACCATCTCATTGTGATACTTCTTGCCATTCCTTACATCTGTCTTGCTGGTAAAGAGGAGGATGAGGGTGTCAAATTTGCAAACAAGTGCGAAGGTAAGAGTGAGATGGTTATGTTTTCTAACAAATTATATCAAACCATTAACTTGTTTGTCTGTATTTCTTCTGCAGTGTGTAAAATACTAGCTATTGAATTAGAAAATAGACTTGAAGAGACTGGGAAGTCTAAAGATGTAATTGAAATAGGATATTCTTTGGATGACGCTGGGTCAAAGAAGAAGAAAACTAAGTACAAGAAGTCGTAAGTAACTTTGCCCCTGATTTGAATGAGTAGTTTTTTACATTTCGGTCTTAAATGAATTAGGACTCTGTCATATTTACAGTGAATTGCGTCTTGTGGAGTCTTTAGAGGGTATTTGTGAACGTGTTTTAGAGTACAACATTCACAAAGAAAGAACTGACAGCACCCGCTTTGCAAAAGGAATGAGCCAAACGTTCAGAACTCTCCATGGTTTAGTGTAAGCATCGCAAAATTTTCTGTTATAGGAATATGTTTGCATTCTCTTGATTTTTCTCTCTACATTTTAACAGAAATAAAGGTGTGAAGGTAGAACTTGGTATTCCCCAAGAACTATGGGACAAACCATCTGTTGAAATTACCAACATGAAAACGCAGGTACTTGAAATGGTCTAGTTAATTCTAAGTTTTTGATAGCCGTAAGGGCATAAATGCCATAATTTTATTCTTGTTTCAGTGTGAGATGCTTTTGGAGGAACACGAATCAGACATCGAAGAATGGTACTTCAAATCTGAAGGAAATGTTCCCTTGAAATCCTATCTTTGTTCCCAACTTGTCTTACAAAATGGTGACGATTCTTGCTTGCTGGAATCGGATAATGATGGACTTGCCAACTCAAAAACTAAGTCTGAAAGTCAAGAGTCACAAAACAATGTAAAAGATAAGGAGGAACTGTGAAATTTTAAATGAATGCAAGAATAAATGAAAGCAAGTCACTTTTAAATGAATTAAACCACTTTTAATTTGTTTACAATCATTCCATCTAATTACATTTTAAACTATTTCACACTAAAATTTGTAACCTTTCCCAAACATTGAATATCACAAAATACAGTAACACTTCATTACAAAAAATCAAGCAGGAAGAAGAACTGCTTATCAGGAGTGCCATTGGCCCTTGCTTGCAGGAAAACATATCTTGATATATGGCATAAGCTAGATACAAAAAGGCTTCACTGTAACATTTTATCTAATGAAACTATTTCAATTTAAGAGATGCGAATTTTGTTGGTCTGTCAGGATTAGGTTTGAAGCCTGGGTAAGCGTGTGTTTTCCCTCTCAGTTTGCGTTGCCGCTTCATTTCATCAGTAAAGTCTGCATGTTCATCTCTGAATAGACCATATTGTCTCAAGAACACAAATAAGTAATGTGCCTCTGGCAGTCGATGATAATAATCAACTACATCTGGATCCTTATCAACAGGCAACTTACTGAGTTTATCAGTTACCTAAAAGAAAGGAGAAAAGAAAAATGTTAAAAACTTGATGGTGATAAAGCAAACAGGATGATCAAGTGAGACTGATGGAAAAGTTCAGCTTCCTAATAAAAAGGATAATGTGAAACACATAGTAATAAGGTAATAAATGACAATGAAAAATACCGTTACCTTAGTTTGCAAAGGAACTGAGGCTGGACGAGTAACTTCACCAAAGATTCGGTTGCTAAGCAGAGTCATTTTCTTTGAATAAGTTGTCCCTGACTTGGCCAGTTTGAGATATTTTTGGACAGTCGCCATCCTGCAATAAAATTACGATGTCAAAACCGAAGAAAATACTAAAAGCACGTATCCCCAACACAACTTGTGACCCTATAACCAAAGTGGTTCTCTAAGGCGAGCCTGTTACGAAACAATAGGGCGTGGTTATTAACACAAATTGGAATGATAATACGAGAAAAAAAATTACCTTCCAACCTGTACAACAAAACCCTACAATTTTTTGAGACACTAGCTAAAGCCCATGCCGTTTTCATTCATTCAAAATACGAGGCCGAGAGTGCACAGCTAGCAGACGAAACAAAGCGCCTTTGCTGAGCACTGAAAACTGCCTGAGTGTCTTCGTCTGTCTTTCCTTCTTCTTCCACCCGAAGTTATTGTTCGCCTGAAAGTTGCGAAAGCTCGAAGTGCGGCGTATCTTGAGGATTACACTAGAATCGCCTTTATTTTCTGCCGTATCCTGGCACTAGAACACTGCCACTGGTAGGAGTGTCCCCTTAAACGGCGTTTAAGCACGGCCCTGTGCAACTCCACGCCCCTCGAACCGAAGCGTCATCGGACTCCGAGCCGAAAGCCGAGCGCTTGCGAGCGACCAAGGAAAAGGAAGGTATGAAACAACTTCGCACTTATCCCGTCAAACAAGTTTTGGCATTTCCAACCGACTCTGTTCGAGCAGTTAGCCCTGTGCTTCGGCTCTCTCTGGTTTCGACCTCATAGCTGGGTACCCAAGCCCTCAGCCTCGCGGCCTTTGACTTCCAGATTTTTGACAAGAAGTCGGGTTAGCCGCAGCCGCCAGCCGCCCCGTTGGTGTCATAGGGCACAAGGCTAGGCACTTTGTTTTGGGTACCGACTGGTGTATCGGACCCCGTGCTGGGGATGGGGCTGCCCCCTAGCGTGGAGTGACGTCGGGGGCGTAACTTGGGCCCCATCATGAGGTTGAAACCAGCCCAAAAAGTGAAAGGGTTGGCCGTGATGTTGGTTGAAAGGGATGTGCTGACCGGTGGTGTCTGTGCTGAGCAAGCAGAGCAAGCTGAGCGATCTCCTTGGTCCACGAACATTGGTTGCTGTTGAGGCGCCTCAAACATGTCTACAAGTAGTGTTGAAAGAAACAAAAGGCAAGCCAAAGTGTTGGAAGAGAACTACTGGGACTGCAGCGTATGTACATACCGCAACACTGCGGAAGCCTTCAAGTGCCTAATGTGTGACGTACGCAAAGGAACATCTACCCGGAAGCCGCGCATAAATCCCCAGTTGGTTGCGCAGCAATATAATCCAACACCTCCCAAAACTCACCGTCGTGAAGGTAAAGACAAGTCAGATAAAAAGGACTTTGACAAATCGGAGAAGAAGAACCGGAGGCCTCCAAGGCTGAAAAATGTTGATCGTAGTACTGCTCAAACCGAAAGAGTGACTGTTAATAACGTTACTGTAATGATCACAGAGTATAAGCCCAAAGTACCTGTCGATCAGTCTGGTGCTTCAAGTAGTATGTCATCTGAAAAAGATAGTCAGTCTGAGACAAGTTCCGAACCAAGGAGTCCTATGGGCACTGATTCACGCAGCTCTTAAATTTTGTCCCCATAATTCATGGTGCTGTTCATTGTTTGTTGGCAGTCATTTGTGTTTGTCATCAATGAGCCGGTGCTGCTTATGTCAGCAAGGATGATTTTTCATTTGTCTTGTATGTTTTAAACAAATTGTATTCTTTTATTTATGTTTGTCTCCTCTTGTTATCTGAATCTCTTTTAGTGCATATTCATATTATTCTATGTCATGTGGTTCAATTAAGTTCTCAATACTGTGTGTATGAAATGTTATTTTGATCCAGTTTAAATTGTGATTGTAAAGGTATGGAATGTATGTATCATAGGAAACAAATATTTTATAAAGCGCAGGAGCATAATATTTTAACTAGGTTCTTATATAATAATTTTAAAACTTTTCAAGCCAATACAAATGAAAAAAGTATGTTCATCAGAAATGCAACCAAAAATAAATTTTTATCTAGCCTCACTGGGATGTCAACCCTGCATGTACCTTTCAAAATATCTCTCCCCACCTAAATGTATGGGCTAAAGGTAATTTGTTGTTATAATTTTAGTTTTATGTTGTGTCAGTAAGGTAAGCCTTTCTTCTCATAACTCACTTGCAATGGCAGTATTGAACTTTGAATCTGGCGCGTTTTGTGTATAAAAAGAAGACTGAACATAATTCCTTTATGCTTTATACATTTTATTATTAGGAATCTTCCTACTGGCCAGTAAAATTTGAACCGTGCCTATAAGCTCTTCTGATTATTTTGAACAATCTTATGTGAGTGTTGCTGTATTTTATACTTTGACAGTTTCAATTTTTGGCACTCCTGTGACGTATAATTCTTGTGTCTGACATGGTTTTTTTTTTTACAAACAAAAATTTGTCCCACTTATTGGACCATTTCTATGGTGGTTCTAAATATATTGTGTAACATATTAGTATGAATCAATGTTTGCCTATTTCATCTGTAGTTTGTTTTTATTCTTTAAATTTAACATAACTGGGCACATTTATAGTGGCTTTTCTCTGTACAATTTGCTGTTCTGCTTCATTGTGCTCACAGACATATTTAATGCCAAGTGTGTAGATGTATTGTAATGCAAACAAGAAATTTCAATTTTTGTGATATAGAAATGTAATGTACTCAATTGCCCTCTAAATTCCATTGTACATTGGGCTTGGTGAATAGAAAGAGCCATTTTCCCTTCCCATGGCATATTCATTAATTAATTTCTCTAAGGCAATGTATGTCTTCTTTTGTGATGTTCGTTACCACAGTGTTCACATTCTGCCTCTCTTTTGGAGAACTTCAATGAAATTAATTCAGTCAAGCAAGAGCATATTTTCTCATTTCTCTCTTCCTATTGTCTGCTGAGATGATTTCCTATTCCTAATGGTTTTCTTTCCTGAGGTCAACCTATTGTGCTCTGAATTTATTTTCCTTGTAATGGTTATTCTCGTTCTGTTTTCAGCAATTAGTAACTTGCCAAATGGTTTGACCTAAGTCTAACTGACTGCCCAACATATGTTGTGTATTGGATTTTTATCTTTGTGAATGCTCTGCATCAGTCCACATTGTTGCTTCTCAATAGCATGTACTGTTCCAAAATATAACTGTCTTTTGAAAAGAAAGAACCAAAGAAACATTGGTGTTACTGTGTTAACTGTTCCTTTTGAAGTACTTATAAATCTTTAATGGATTTAATCTAATAATAAAAAAAAGTCTTGTGTTTCAAAATGCTGTTTGTCATTCATTTAATCATCAGCCTGTTCATCTGCAAGTTAAACACATGTCTATGGTGCTGAAGTGCGATACTTTCCAACAACAACCTTTATTTTCTTCTTTGATGAAATTTTTTTAAAAATATTGTGATAGTTGAGAATTGGTACATCCCTTTCAACTGACAACTTAATAATTTTCACTGTTCTATCGAAGAATTTCACTGGTGCATTCAAATAACATTTAATATTCATTTCATTTGCAGTTTGTGCTTCTGTGATGGCTGCTAACTTACTTTATGAACTCAACACTGGTCAGCAGATGCCTATGGTTGGATGTAAGGTTCTTATGACTCAAATATGCTTTATTTCTAATGATCTTAACTTGCCACTAAATTTGTATGGAACACATTCAAGGCAGTATTGGGATTGGGTCACTTAAATGCAGTGGCTAGTCAGAGGGAAAAAGGAAATTGTTTTTATTCAGTAAGTGCGTGAAGCAACATGTCACTCTTGAGCCATATAGGACTCTGAAGAAGCATTGATTGCCCCTCATAAGATAGGGAACACAAATGCAACAGAAAAATATGCATCGGTTATTTAACACCCTTTTATTATTTGGTTTAACAGTAGGCACTTTCAGAGTACGAGGCACCAGCGTCATATACAACGTAATCAAAACTGCTCTGGGTCGAGGATACCGGTCTATTGGTGTGTAATTTTATTTTTTGAACTTGTTACTTTGTGTTACTGTTTTTGCCCAGTTTTAACAAGCTGTTTAACTTTTTTGTACCTGATACAGACACAGCCGCAGTGTATCAAAACGAAACAGATATTGGATCAGCTTTAACAGATCTGTTGCCTCGTTATGGCCTGAAACGGGAAGACATATTTATCACGTCCAAGTTGGGTGAGAATCTGTATTTATGGATATATAGATTTCATTATTATTATCGTTATAACTTTAATTTCTTCCCCAATAATTTTGTGCAGCTCCAGAGGATCATCACCCAGATCGAGTTCAGAGTGCAGTGTTACGGTCTCTGAGTCAATTGCAGACTCCTTATTTGGATTTGTTTCTTGTGCATTGGCCTGGTACTTCTGGTATTCCAGCCGGTCATTCTGACAATCCAAGGCTTCGTCGTTCTGCCTGGAACCAGCTGGTGCTCTTGCACCAGAAGGGCTTATTGAAGGCTATTGGTGTATCAAATTTCACAATACGCCACATTGATGAGTTATTGGAAGATTGTGGAGGAGTAAAGCCATCTGTCAACCAGGTAAAAGTTAAAATCTTTCTAAGTATTAAACAATGAATTAAAAGTTACTTTCTTTAAAGAAAATCATCAATCTTTTTGTTTGATTAGGTTGAAATACACCCACACTATCCTCAGAAAGATTTGGTGTCTCACTGTCAACGAGCTGGAATTCATGTACAAGCATACAGTTCTTTTGGCGGCACAAACAACCGAAGTCTCCTGACTGATCCAGTCATAATTGAGGTTGCTCAAGCTTGCAGACGTGAACCTGCACAAGTGCTTTTACGTTGGGCACTTCAACAGAACATTGGTTAGTTAGATTCCAACTTTTTTTTTAGTCCCCTCTTTATCATTAGTTGAGGTGTCATTATATTTTTTACTATTTTATCCCTTAGGTGTTATTCCCAAGGCAGTCAGCGAAAAGCATATTGTTGACAATTTTGATTTAGATTTTGTCTTGTCTGAATCCCAAATGACCAAGATCAACTCCATACAGACCAACAAGAAGTATGCTTGGAATCCGGAAGTGGTGGCCTAATTAACAGAAGTGTAGAAGATTTGTATATACATATGGTTACATTTTCAGAGGATTGGGTATATTAATTTGGTGTTGGTTTCCTTTATTAAATTTTTAAATAAAAACAACAATTAAAAAGTAAACTAAAAACTCAAGAATAAAGAGTAACCCTTATCTCAAACAAGAAAAAACATTAGTGAATTTTTATATTCAAATTGTTCAGCCCACTCTTATTATGAGTAGTCTTGAGCCTCCAAATTCCTCCCCAACTACTGATACACAGCCTGAGGGTGCCTGCAGCTGTGGCCACAGAACTGATGTGGATCCACCCCCAATGAATGACTGCTTTGCTGATTGTGTAGCAAAAGCTAGTCATGCTGCTTACACATCTTTGCCCAAGAATGGAAAGCCACAGCCTGGAAAGGAATGGACTTTGTTAGCTTCTGTACTAGAGGTAAGTTCCTGAAATATTCTACCTGAATGTGCAGAGCTGCCCATGTCTGTTGTCTAACTTTTACCAAAAACCTGTATTTTGTGTGTTTTGTGTTGTGTGTAAATGTTACGGGCAACATAAATGTAACATAAATATAATGAAAATACATGTTTTGAAATTGTTTACAGGCTGATAGTACATTGCCATCTGATGACCACCCACATCCAAACCTTAAAGTTGTTGCCCTTGGTACTGGAACAAAATGCATTGGGCAAAGTAAAATGAGTCAAAATGGTGACATACTTAATGATAGCCATGCAGAAGTTATTGCGAGAAGGGCTTTTCTTCGATATTTGTACAGTAATGTAAGTTCAGTTTAACCTTTGTTGTTTTTTTTTTAATTTAAAAAATGTGAAAAGCTCTTACATGTTTCTATAACATCAACTCTTCTGAATTTAGATTCTTGAGGCACTAAAGGGTAACACATCAAGCATTTTCCAACTCTTGAAAGAGTGTGGCCACTTTAAATTACGTCCTGGAATATCTTTTCATTTTTATTCAAGCCACACTCCTTGTGGAGATGCCTCGATTTTTCCAAAAGAAGAGGAATTATTTGACCTCGGCAGCTGCGTTTTGAAATCTGACAATGATTCCTTGCCTTTTGCCCCTAATGATGGTAGTGCTGTTAACAAGAATGATATTGAAGGGGAAAATATTGCCACTGGTCTGAAGAGACCCCACTGTTGTGATGATACTGAGGAAGAAACAGTGTCAAAGAAGCAGAAAAGTGACATCTATCGCACTGGGGCCAAGTGTGTTCCTGATGAATGCAAACAAGATCCCAAGCTTCCTGGTTCAGATTATCATGTAGTGGGAGCAGTTAGAACGAAGCCAGGCCGAGGTGATCCAACCCTGTCAGTATCTTGCAGTGATAAGTTATTGCGTTGGAACTGTGTTGGAATTCAGGTATGGCTTGGTCCATTGTTTGATATTTGTATTTTCCTTATTTAGAAATAACATTTAAAATGTTGTTTTTGTTTTGTAGGGAGCCCTTTTGTCACAAATTCTTGGAAGTCCAATCTATTTGCAGTCCATCACAATTGGTGGTGGTTGCCCCTATTCTGAAATGGCTTTGTCTCGTGCCATTAAAACCCGAGTGAGTTCTACAGCTACTTAATATGCTGACTGAAAACTGCAAAAAGAGTTTTCTTTAAAAAATTATGAAATTTACAGGCATTTTGTGAAAGTGCCAACCTACCGCCTGGCTACATCATAAGCAGCCCTCAGTTGCTCCAGTCTTGCATCCCATTCCCCGAAAGGAAGAAACCAGATGCTCCTAGACCTTGTTCGTCTAGTATTGTGTGGTGTTGTGTTCAAGAAAGGTAAGTTTTTTAAAATTTCACATCAAAAGCACGTTTTACATTATTAATTTTAATGTACAAATTATAATTTTGGTGTGTTATATATTTGGCAGACCACATGAGGTTGCAGTAAATGGACATAGACATGGCGTCACAAAGAAAATGCAAGCAACATCAGCAGGAAGGCTACTTATCAGCAAGAAAGACCTTTTTCATCAATTTATGGTCTGTAGCCAGCGCCAAGTAACTAATGTCACTTATTCAGAAAGTAAATTGGGAGCTGATGCCTATTACAAAGCGTGGTGTAGTATTCTTACAGCAACAGGACTAGTATGGACCAAAAAGCCCAAATTTTTAAAAGATTTTACATGTGAGCTCTAAGGTTGCTCATTACTTAATTTAGATGTATACAACTCATATGTTGATTTTCTTAAATAATATCAGCATGCAACAAAATAGTTCTATATATAAAAACCTTTGGATTAAGCTAAAACTACAAGTTTTGGATAGAATAATTAAAATATTGCATCTTGCAAACAATTGAATAAAAAAATTTGTCAAAACTAGTGGAGTAGTTAAAATCATTCCCCAGCATTAGTCATTTCCTTACTCTAGAAATCACCTAGTACAAAGAGGAAGTTCTTGGTCATGAGTTTAAAAAACTTTAGAGTAAGCAATTCTAAATGGTCACTGCCCTTGATTGAGAAATAAAATTCCTTTTGTTTTTAAAAAATCTTCTGCTTTTTTTTTAAGGTCTTCTAAATTATCCTCTTCTCTTCCTCTCTTGAAAACTAATACTTTGAAAAAGGGCAGTTCCATCCTGAGAATGGAAAAAAAATGTCTTAGTAACTCTCACGTAGAGAACCTGCTCATATGATGTAAACTGCTTACTTACTTCATTTGTGGAACATTTCCCTCCATCATCCTCCTTTCATGTTTTGGGAAAAATTTAACATTTGCCAATGGATCAAAATACTTGCCCTGATTAACTCCCACTTGGGTTAGGGCATATTTTCCCTCTAGAATTTCTTCAAGCTCATTTAGTATCTTTCTATTAAGACCTTTCGGAGCTCTATTTTGCAGCTTCTCTTCTTCACTTTGGGCTACCTGTGAGAAAAAATTGTGGTATGCTGACACGTAGATTCAGATATCATATTTAAATTTAGAACTTTTCAAACCTTGAGTGGCCACTCTCCAACAATCTTATATAAATTTCTTGTGGCCAAACGATCCAATAATTCCCTTGTGCTCTCCAACTCAGGCTCTTCACTGTAAAGTAATAACTCCTGAATAGAGTCAGTTAGTGTGGCAAATATGGCCGGGTTTTCATGGACTTGAGATAGACGTAGTCCTCTGAAATAAAATTGAAAATTAACAGGGAAAGAGGGCGAATGGAAATACCATTTGAGATGGTGAAAAAGTCATTCTGTTGACACTCACCTCACAAGGTATTTAGCATCAGCCTCCTTCAATGCATCAATTAACCTGTACACAAAAGTTTTAGTTGGATTGTTTGTTTTCTAATAAAAACTACTCAGCATTTTATTTTCAAAATGAACTTACATAATTTCTAAATTTTTGACGACTCTATGCTGATAAGCCCTAATATGCAAATCAGCACGTACTCTAAACATCCCCTGAATGGAATATTTTTCAACGTCCCGAAATGCTATATGGCTCATTTTATTATCATCGTATGAAATGCGGCACAATTTGATCAATCGTTGATAATCGAAAGAGACATTCATTTTCAAATGCTGGGCGTCTCTTAAAAAGTAATCATATTTATCAACGTCTATGTCATTAAACTTATTTGCTACAACCTGATGAAGTTAAAAAACAGAAAAGTCGAGAATTATATATGACGCCCATGAACATATTTATTTGAACTAAATTTGAAGCTACATTACCTGATATAAAAAGGCTCTCTTTGGTTCTTTTATTTTGTCTTGAGTTACACCAATAATTACATCTTTAATGAATTGAATGTACTTGTTGACTTCATTGAATTCTGCTTTGAAGAGCCATCCCAGCTCAGTCAGATTATCATCCCTCTGGATTGGCTCCTTCCCATCTTCACTTTTCCATATCATAAGATCAATGAGAGCACATGACGTGTGTTCATGCTACAAATAATTCAGAGAATAATTATTCATGATCCATTCAATAATATCCAATAGTAAATTGTGGTGTACTTACATCCCAATCTCCACCACAGGCCTGAACAAAAACTTCCCATGTATGGGAGAATGGGCCATGGCCCAAGTCATGGAGGAGACCCGCAATTTGAATGGCTAGCTTGACCGCTTCGCTCCTGTGTCAGAAACATTTTGTTTAATGGTAAATTATTTATTTTCCAACCAAAACAAAGTACAGTCTTGGCACTTACTCCTTTGGATCAGGCAATATTTCCTTCCATACATTTGGGGAATTTTTCTCAAGCTCATCCATCACCTCCCCTGCCAGATAGCACACACTAAAGAACACAAGTTAGAGAAGCAATTTATCAATTTTGCTAAGTGGTACTCGTTCTTTGCCTTCAGGTGACACAAATGTAATCTCAGTATTTCAGTCAATATAAGGCGTAAGCCATTTAACTGATGTCTTCTGAATAGTTCAAGGTTTTGGTAACAACATTACTTCAGAGAAAAATAATGCTTGTATAGTACAATCTATGGGCATTGAACTTGGGTTTAGAGATCGGGGGAGCAGGGCTGTATCCATTGGTCTACATCACGTTACATGGCTGGGGTGTGCTAACAATGCCCCTAGAGGAACGGGGCTTCCCTGAGACCTAGCGGCGAGAGGGCGCATGCGCCGGCACCGTTGTTGAGGTTAAAATCGTGGGACTTAGAACATTTTGGCTGGCAACAGCACAACATCTAGTAATCTCAAAAAATCATGTAATAAACGGGTAAAATTCATAAGAGGAGAATTTTAGGACTCATTGTTGGCTTTCTAATGAGTCACAACACTTGGTCCTAAATGTTTAACTTTGCAAAATATCCTATTCCATCATTCAGTCCAGAACTTGCACTTCGCTCCTATTGATTTTAAGGTAAAAAGTGCTTCATGGTAACAGAAAAAAGCTTCTAACATTAGTTTCTCACCAAAACCATACCTATTCAAAAAATATTACATTACAATTGTGTGTTAAGTATTTACTGAGTTAAACATGTGTCACCAAGTTGTGTCTTACCAAACACAATACTCGTCTTTACCTTTGTATGGATATAGAAAGTAGGTAAAGAACGAGTAAAAATGAGAAATAAAATATGGTACAGATCAATTTCGATAAACTCCGAATTAATTGTAATACTGACCCCAATGAATGTTCAAATCGGTTGTGCGCTGCTGCAGGAAAGACCAGGTAGGTGGTTGAAAGCTGTTTTATATTCCTCATCCTTTGGAAAACTTTTGTATCAATAAACTTAACAATAAGTGGGTGAAACCGCATCACCCCATGCACCGAATCTTGAAATAATTTGAAGTTTTTACTTCCTGTAAGTAAAAACGAATGGCATCTATAATTAATAGCTGTCAAGTTCGTAGCACTGTTACTTGTTAATTTCTTTTCATGTTGTCAGAGTAAACTACTAGTGGCATGGGAGTTATTACCTTCTCGGTCCATGATCTCGGCGGCACTTTCACCTGAAAAATAATAATAATATGGTAATATTTATTCAATATTCAAAAAAAAAAGTTTTGTCCTTTCAAAGGTTTTTTTCTTTTTTTAAAAATCCGATTGGTGTGCCTAATCACATGAAAGGCGTGCTATGGCGCCCCATGCTCAAGTGGACTTCCCCGGCCCCGGCCATAAATGCAGCAGGTAGACCCGAAAGTCCTATTTGGGCCATTTGTTTATCGGAGAGAAGTGTGGGGAAAGAGATGTCGTCACTCCGCAGTCAACAGCGACAGCGTCCCTCTCATCTCGTACCAGCCCCGAGTGACGCAACCCGACATCGCAGAACAACATCGCCCCGGCCCGGGAGCCCCAAACTGGCGGCGTCCAAACGCCTCTTCGGCGCCGGATCCACGAGATTTGCGCCAAATCTGGAGTCGGCGTGGTTTCAGTCTGTCACGCGTGTCAATTTTTTTTTGAAGGAGGGTAGGGGGCGTGCACATGTCTCAAGGTAGTACCCAATCGGGGTTACGACTAGCACCCCTCCAGGCTCTAGGGGCTCTAGGCTGCAGGTCGGTGCCAGGGCCAGGCCGTCCGTCAGGGTATCCCCAGTGCCCCGTCCCGTCTCCAGCCCAGCCCGTGGCCGTACATCCGTCGTCGTCAACGCGGCGGAGCCAAGGCGGAGCCATGTCGGCGCCGCCTTATCTCAGCGTCGCCAGAAGCCGAATCCGAACGGCGCTCACGTCACAGTGTCCCTCTCGCACCCCTACGGTCCCAACGGGAGGCGCCGCGAGTGCGAGGGAGACAGCGACGAAAGCACTGTCCGGAGTCCGGCCGCTGTTTACTACGGGGAGGTCAGGGTCAGTGGCTCTCGTCAGCCCGTCAGGCCGTCAGGCGATGACCCTTCCCTTCAGTCGAGTCCCAGCCCCGCCGGCCTCAAGACGCCCAACACGTCGTCCCGCTCCGCGTGCTGCCGGTCCCAGAGCTGCCGGCGTGTCCTGGAGACTTAAGGCTTTCCCGTTCAGAGTTCCCCACCGCTAGAACCACCCCACCAGTAAGTACTCCGGCGTGCGCCGTGCGTGCGCCGAGCCAGGTGTGCAAGGACCTGTAGACCGATTCCGAAGAGTGACCGCCTCGTCGCTCTGCCTGCACCGCACTCACGGGGTGGACCCGGCGTCCTACATCGTTGTAGGAATCCAGGGGTCCGTCCGGACTGCGGCAGAGACAGAGCGACGAGATGATTCTTCGGAGTCGCTTTGCTGACAGGAGGCTGACAGGGAGCTGACAGGGAGCGCCGCCAGTCAAGCCGCGCGTCCAGCGCCGCAAGGGTAGGCAGCCCAACGGGCACGCGCGGTCGTAGGAAGGGTGGCCTAGCAACGCCCGGCTCTTCCCCCCCCCCCCCGCGCGCCCAGCATAGTCTGCATTCTGCAGCGCCCCTAAAATTCCGTTGACATGGAATGCCCGACTTGAACTGGACTAGGTGCGAATGCATTGACGCAGAGCCTTATTTTTGCTGGGCGCGGGCCTGTTGAGTCTCAAAACGGGGCGGCGCGGCGCCACGGCTTCGAGTTTAAGGCGCGACAGACGGAAAGGAAAGTCGTAATTTTTTTTTACAGAAAGCATAGAAATGAGCCGATAAACAGTCCGTGCTGCCGGCGGCGGACTCGGCCGAACATGCATTCCGGCACGAATGCCGACTGTACGATAGAGCACTCGAGTCGACTCGGGTGCAGCCATTGTCCAGTGGCATTCCCTGCGACGTGCCCGCCCAGCCCAACAAGGCCCCGCCGCTCCGCCCCGCCCGGGTCCTCGATTGTTCAACGACTCGGCTCGGGTGGCAAGAAGCCTGACGCTCATTTCGAGAGTCGTTTTCGTCGCTCTGTCTCTCTCGCACTCGTGGGGCGTGCCGTACAGGCGCGAGCGAGACGCAGCGACGAAAACGACTCTCGGGAGCAGTCTTCTGGGGCCGCTGCCCCTCCGCGTCGCGGCTTCGCAGCTGCCGGCCCTAGCCACGGCGTGCAGCCCGCGGACCGCGCCGCGGGCGCGATGAAATGAAGTGATTGTCCGCTTGGTCACCATCGACGCAGCGCGCGAGCCGCCAGCCCGCCACGCGTACAAGCGTAATCCCGCCCGCCACGCGCACAAGCGTAACCCCGCCCGCGACTTTACATATCGCCTTGCCGATCCATGGCCAGAGCCGCTGGCCGGTGAAGGGGAAATTGCTGCAGGCCGGCTGAAGGCTGGCGAGGTGCCAGCAGCACCTAGGTCATAGGTGAGCGCGGCAGCCAGTCCCTCATTGCTGGAGGAATACCGGGCTTTGCGAAGACGCGGCAAAGGGAAGGCCGCTCTGAGTCGCGCTTGATTCGTTTACCCTCACGCCGCTCCCGTTTCGCGCTGTCATTTACCAATCGGTTAGTCAGGATGGCTCTGTTTCGACAGTGTTTCGTAGTTATCAGTTTCCCTCTTACGGCAGAGAAAGGGGTCGGGCGGGGGAGGGGAGGGGCTGCCATATGTGACCTTAGAAACGGCTCGGAGTGATCGAGCCACCTTGATACAAAGTGGGCCCAATCGCGTTCAAATTGCAGGCCGTTAGATAGCGTCTTGTTGGAAATCTGCACTGTACAAGCTGGTGACCTTGAGTGCCCGTTGCCAAATGCCCGCGTTTTCACTCGTGAAGGCGGCTGGCAAATGGACGCGCAGGTCCTCATCATCGTCAGTGCTGTCAGGCAGACAGGGACAAGGCGAGGCCTTGCGGATAGCGGGCCCGTGCGCGCCGTTGCGAAAAATGGGGCGGGACGACAGGTTGCCCGCTGCCGGGGGAATGCCTGGAATTGCCCCCCAAGAGCGAAGCAGGCGGGTTGCCTGTTCTGGGGGCCCCTTGGGTGAAGCACTGCCTCTCACTGTCTCTCTCGCACTCGCGGAGCGTGGCACAAGGGTGCGAGAGACACAGCGACGACGGCAAGGGCTCGGAATCAGCCCACAGGCGGCCGCTGGGTTGCCTGTTTCTGGGGGAATGCCCTGGACTGCCCCTCCAGCGCAGCAGGCGACCGGCGCGCGCTGTAGCAGTGTCAAAAAGACACGCGGTCCGAAACAATCATAGACCAGCAAACCTTGCAAGGCAGCACAACAATCCGACGCAACGCGACGCCCGCACCCGCCCGCCTGACCATGGCAGAAACCTCGTGGGATAACCTGAGGGAGCCTGCCTGTTGCCCCACGCGACAAAAAAGGCACGCAGCGTGAGCGTGTCAAGCGCGTCGGGGTCGGTCTTGGGCCAGGGGAACGCGGTACTTACTTTGTTCTATGGGTTCTGCCATGTTCGCCATTCAGCTGGCTGGCAACCGGTGGGGCACTGGCGCTGGGACTCAGGACTCGGGCTTCACTTAGCTCCGTATCGAGCACGACTGAGCTCTGAGGCGGCCGGCTTCAGACTGCACTTCGCGCGCCTCTCCCTATCCGAGGGGCGCGGGGCGGGGTGGGGCAGGATGGGGTTTCGGGGGTGGGGGATGACGCACTTGCAGTGCCGCGCCAACTTGAGGGGGAATACAACACGCCTGGAAACATAAATATCGTCACTGTTTAGGAATTCGGCGTGCACGTGGCCGGCACGGCACGGCACGGCACGGCACGGCGGGCCGCCTAATGGCTAGGCCATAACTTCTGACTAGGCGTCAAGCGGCACCGAGCCGGACCACAAGGGCCTCAAGGACCACACAGGCATCGCCAAGGAGTGTCGGGGCTTGAGGGAAAAGGGGCCAGGCGGGGGCGGCATAGAGCCTGTCAACACATTTGGGAGAGAGAGGGGGGGGGGGCAAGTGCGCTCTTCGTTTCTGCGATCGTGGAAAAGTACCGGAGCGGCGTGCGAATAACACGTCCCACCTGCAGGTTGTTTTTTTTTTTTTTTTGGGGGGGGGGGGGCAGTTTTGTCTGCCTCTGATGACGTTCCTATCTCAAATAGACGAGAGGGTTAGGTTAAACCGACGATGGACGGCGGCGGCCGGGGATCGAAAAGAGGCGTGAAAGAGGTGACGTCGTATTTGCACGCCGCCCAACCGCATCAAAGTTCGGCGTGGATGATGCCGGTGGGCGCTTGGGGGAAAAAAGGGGCCACGCTTTTGGATCGGATAGAGCCTGTCATCCATTTAGAGACAATTTTTGTCTTTTCCCCTGCGTTCTGGAAATTTCTCGTGCGAAAAAGTCCCATGAAAGGTTTTTTTTTTTTGGCGGGGGGGCAGTTTTTACTGCCTCTAAAAAATTGAGTTCCTATCTTCCACAAATTAACCGACATTGACCGGCCCGGGGATCAAAAGGCGTAAACAGAGGTGATCGTTTTCCCCTGAACATTAAAAATTTTTCGCGTGTTATGATGCGGTGGCACCCTTAGCGACACTTATCTGATTGTACTGCAGCCGGTGCGGATGCAACTGAACGCTCTTATGTGCCTGGCCTCGTGCAAGGGACTTAATTAAGCAGCAGACTGAATCCGAGCTCCACTGCTTTCGTCGCTGTGTCTCTCTCGCACTCATGGGGCCTGCCGGGAGGGTGCGAGAGAGACAAAGAAGCACTCTAGAAAAGCAGTGCTCGGGGTCAGCCTGCAGGGAGTGGTCCTCGGTAGCACTCGATGCGCGCCTCCTCGGTGGGACGCATATCATCCGTTTTTTCTGACTCGACGGGACCCGATGACGTCCTTGTGACTCGCCTACGTGACCTTCGAGTCAAATCTTGGTCACATTGACATCAGGGCGGAAACTAGTCAAAGAGCGTCAAGGCGCACGTCAAAGGCACTGCCTCTCGTAGAAGGAAAAAGGGGGAGGGGAGGTTAGTCATACGGCTTGCAGAAAGTTGTCCACTCAATAAGTCCGCGCCACCACTAGGTATCCCTGGTTCCGCAACAAAGGCCGCTTGGTTGCGCTTCGACGTGCTTCGGCTCTTCCCTACGCTGCATTGCCAGCCTAAATGGGTCACATTCCGCGAGCACCACCGTGGATGGGGGCCAAGTTGCCAAACCGAAAGCAAAACGAATGCAAACGAGTAAATGTCTTTTCGGGAAGGTGTGGCGCGAAGGCTGTTGGAGGCGCGCGAGTGTTTGTCCTTCGCGCCATCATGGCCGCGTCGAGGAACCACTTGGACGCGCGGTCGATACAGCGGGATGGAATTCCATGTTTACACGGCGCTACGGGGCTCCGCAGCGCGCCGCTAGGTTAGGCGGAGCAGTCCGCGTTGGGCTGATCTAGCAAAGTGCGGAACTGCGAGCAATGCCCTTGGCGTGAACTTTCGCGCAATTGCAGTTCAACGAAAGTCTATGTCATGGTTGCCGTCGGCAAAGTCGTCTACTTACCAAACAGGGGGGCGAGGTAACGGCAGCAGGAAGACTCTTAATGTAGGAAATTACGGGAGTAAGAGGTGCGGGCTGGCTAGACGGCCGATCCCATCACATGCAGACCATTGTCTTCGATGAGGAACGGCGTGACACGAACGAAAGGCTCAACAATACCGATGTAACCATGGCAACCACGACGGGGCATGCAGCAGTAGCTAGCAGACAGTGAGTGGAAGACAACAAAGCAGAAGAAATGAAACTATCGAAGTTGTTCGAGAGCAATCGAAGAATCGAATCGATATGTCTCGTCGGGAGCACCACGCTTGAAATATTTTCAGGGAGCCGACTTGGCACAATTTTTAAAAAGACTGGACCATTTATTAAGTGATAGCGATCACGTCAGTAAATTTATTTGGATGCGTCCCTTTATTTATTCAAACATCCAATTTCAAAAGAATGTAGATGCTTGATTGGGTCGTTTTTCTGTCGTCGTGTTGGTACTGCAAACGTAGGGTGGGGATGGGTGGGGGCGCCACTTGCGCCGGAAACGGAGGCTCCAGCAAGCCCGGCACCTCTCTCACTCTCTCCTCAGACAACAACAAAGCCGGACTGTTGGTAAGCAAAGAGCTGGAGCATGTGCAGTGGTGAGGTTAGCTAGCTTGGGCAGAGCTGGAGAGACTCGTTAGTGATTATGTAACAGGTCCGATCAGATTCCCGAAGAACGCCCTTTCACTCGGGATACGAAAAGGTTTCTTGTGAGGTGTAGGCGTGTACTTCAATCTTTGTTTTACTCTTCATGGTATTGTATTTATTGTACTCTTCATAAAGGATCGTACCGTGAACACGTTGTTTTGGTTTCCTCAATTTATGGTCCCTGTCAAAACACGGCTGTTGCTCCTCCAATAGACCTAGCTTACTGTCTGATACCCGAATCTTGCGCCTCCTCACTTCAAGCGGCGGTTTGTTTGCAGTGAAGTGGAATTGAACTCGGTGTTGTTGATACTCACACCGAGCCGCATGTAAGCACATGTAAGCCTATTTTTGAAGTGTGGCGGCTCAAAGACTCGGGCATCGTGGGACATTGTAGAAGCTTAAACTGGAGTTTATTCGCACCAACTCTGCAAACTCAAGTGTGTGCCAGGCACACACTTCCTGGTGCATGCCTGCAGGCACACACTTCCTGGTGCATGCCTCAGGCACACACTTGCTTGTATGCATGCATAAGCGACGGCAAGTGTGTGCCTGAGGCATGCACCAGGAAGTGTGTGCCTGCCAGGCATGCAGAAAAGAAGTGTGTGCCTGCCAGGCATGCTCCAGGAAGTGTGTGCCTGCCAGGCATGCTCCAGGAAGTGTGTGCCTGGCACACACTTGAGTTTGCAGAGAACTCTTTATTTCCTACCTCTTGAAGTCTTGATCATGATTTGTGGCCCTTTTGGTTGTCTCTGTACCATGGGTCCTCGCCAAATATATTCACTTCTGTTGCCTGTGGCAAATTTCACATGGCTGAGACCATTTTAGTTTTTGATTTATTACTCACCTGTATTCCTTTTATCTTTTCCAGATCGCCATGTCTCAGAATGTACTCGTAATTGGGAGTGGTGGACGTGAACATGCATTGAGCTGGAAGTTGGCACAGTCACCTGAGGTGAGATTGATTTTACCAGCTTGATTGCACAATTACATAACAAGGTTAATATCTCCCTCTTTCTCCCGCTTTGTGTTCAGGTGAAGCAAGTCTTTGTGGCACCAGGAAATGTGGGTATCGTCGGGGATAAAATAAAATTGGCCTCTGTGGATGTTAGCAATCATGAGGTAAGGGTTGTTGATTTTCACTAACAAAATCAGTTACATCAATTCTCTGTTGGATAATTTTTTGAAAATCTGTTCGGCAGGTTCTTGTTAAATGGTGTGTGTCAAATTCAATCTCAATGGTTGTAGTAGGTCCAGAGAATGTTCTGGCTACTGGAGTAGCAGATGCTCTTCAAGCATCAAAGATACATTGTTTTGGCCCAAGTAAAAATGCTACTCAAATCGAAAGTGATAAAAGTTGGGCCAAGGTTTTCATGGACAAATACAACATTCCTACTGCTCGATGGGGTTCTTTCACTCAGGCTGAACATGCCAAAAAGTTCATTAAGAAGTAAGGTGTTTTTGGATACAGTTGGCTTGTCATTACCTGTTCTCAATTTAGTTGTAATTTGTATTGTATTTTCTTTTAGCTCAGATTTCCCAGCTCTTGTGGTCAAGGCGAGTGGCCTGGCAGCAGGGAAGGGAGTTGTAGTTGCTGCAAGTGCTGATGAAGCTTGTGCTGCTGTAGATGAAATGCTCACTGACCAGAAGTTTGGCTCAGCTGGCAATGTAGTTGTTGTTGAAGAGCTTCTTGAGGGTGAAGAAGTCTCTGTAGGTCATCCAATGCTTAAGCTTCCAGTCTATTCAGTTTGGTATGCTGGAAAAAAGTTTATTTCATGTTTTCTTTTTTTTTTTCTTAGGTTCTTGGATTTTGTGATGGGAAAACTGTGAAAGCAATGTTACCAGCTCAAGATCATAAGCGCCTTTTGGATGGTGATCAGGGCCCAAATACTGGTGGTATGGGGGCATATTGCCCCTGTCCTCTTTTAAATGAAAAGGAGCTCAAAGAAGTTGAGGAAAGTATTCTGAAGAAAACCATTGACGGACTCAACAAGGAAGGGAAGGCTGGTATCCCATTTGTTGGTAAGTAGTAAGCGCTGTAAAATTCTCTGAAACATGGAAACTGAAAATATAGATTGACAAATCATGATTTTGCTTAGGTGTGCTTTATGCTGGTCTGATGGTGACTAAGGATGGACCCAAGGTGTTGGAATACAATGCCAGATTCGGTGATCCTGAAACCCAAGTTATTCTTCCCCTTCTTGACAGTGATCTCTACAAAATCATGATGGTATTTATCTTGTCACATCTTTTCTTTTGAAATTAATCTTATTGTTGCATAGTGGTTTTAAACTTATTCTCCCAGGCTTGCTGCAAAGGAGAACTTCTGAACCAATCCATTAACTGGAAGAAAAATACGTATGCAGTAGGTGTAGTGATGGCTAGTCGTGGTTATCCAGAGACCTCCACTAAAGGATGTGTGATCTCAGGTAAAATTCCAATGCATTCCCTGACTCACCCTCTCTTCAAAGTGTCATTGTGAAGTCTTATACAAGTGCTATCTGCTTGTAGGTATTGAAGATATTGCAAGAATTCCAGACCATATTGTCTTCCACAGTGGAACAGCTCCTTCAGCAAATGGTGATATTGTTACCAATGGTGGCAGGGTGCTGATGCCTGTTGCTCTTGCGCCAAGTTTGCCTCTTGCTGTTGCTCAAGCCACCAGTGCTTGTGACATTATTAAATTTGATGGTGCTCAATATCGCCGTGACATTGCTCACAAAGGAATTTCAAGGTTGGTCTCGTAATAATTCAAATTTTTATCATATTGGAATTACAAATGGACCTGCATTGCTTCAATAAAATTATCTTAAAAATTTCATATAAATCTTGTCTTAATTTACTTGAAATAAAAATTTATCTTTTATGAAATCATACAAACATATTGGAAAAGACAAAAGGGAAGTTAACAGTTCCTTAACAGTTCCTGAAAACAATTTTTAAGCAAAATCTAGTCACACATTTAAATAGTTGCTTTTTGGGGGATCATGCATTAAAGACAAGTGAATTAAGTAATAATTTGATGAAAGTTGAACCTGTTTTTCTTTGATCAAAAATGAGCTTTGAATTGAATTAATCAATGCATTTGCTTCATATTTCAGGTCAATTTTAGCTTATGGTCAAATGACCTACAAAGCAAGTGGTGTGGATATCACTGCTGGGGACAATCTTGTGTCTCGAATTAAACCCATGGTGGCCAAAACAAAACGAAGTGGCATGGTTGGCTCGATTGGAGGCTTCGGTGGTCTCTTTGATGTTGCAGCTGCTGGTTACAAGGATCCTTTACTTGTTTCTGGATCAGATGGTGTGGGCACCAAGCTCAAGGTTTGAAACTGTCTATGTGAACTTTTTACTCGTAGCTTTGTTTTTTCATGCTAATCCAGGACTTCTTTTTTTTTATGTCAGGTTGCTCAAGCATGTGGACTTCATTCATCAATCGGAATTGACCTTGTGGCAATGTGTGTGAATGATATTTTGGCCCATGGGGCTGAACCCCTCTTCTTCCTGGACTATTTCGCATGCAGCTCATTAGATGTGGAGGTGGCAGCTGAAGTGATATCTGGCATTAGTGAAGGGTGTCATGCTGCTGGCTGCGCTCTTATTGGTATGTCTTGTCTTATCTCTGTAGGGCTATAATTTTAAAATCATTAAGAAGCTGGAATTAACCATTAAAACTGGTTCTAGGTGGTGAAACTGCCGAGATGCCTGGTCTTTATGAACCTGGTGATTACGACTTGGCTGGATTTGCTGTTGGTGCTGTGGAAAAGACAAACCTCATGCCTCGAACAAAGGACATTTGTGCGGGTGATGTGATTATTGCACTTCCATCAAGTGGTGTTCATAGTAATGGTTACAGCTTAGTTCGTAAGATTGTTGAGAACTCAGGACTCAGATACTCGGATCCTTGTCCATTTTCTTCTTCTGGGAAGTCTTTAGGTACGACACTTAATTCAGTTGTATGAACTTCATACTGTTTTGTTCTGTCTTGATAATTGTGTTTTTGAATGATTTGAAATTTTTCAGGAGAGGAACTTCTAACTCCTACCAAGATTTATGTGAAGAATGTTCTCCCTGCTTTGAAAAGTGGTCGTGTGAAAGCCTTGGCACACATTACTGGTGGAGGCTTGACTGAAAACATCCCTAGGGTCTTACCCCCTGGTACAAGCGTCAACATTGATGCCAAAACTTGGAACATACTTCCAGTCTTTGCTTGGCTTGCTGCTGCAGGTTTGTTGATTTGATGTTGTTCAGTAATCCACGGGAACCTCTTGAGTCCTTGTATCATGCTGAACCTTATGTTACTCAGGTGGTGTAAATGAATATGAGATGCTCAGAACTTTCAACTGTGGTGTGGGCCTTATTCTGGTGGTCAGCCCCAGTGACGTCAAGGAAGTTATGGGTCTCATAGCTGGAGAGAAAGCATCTGTGATTGGTCACGTTGAGAATCTACCAGCTGGTGGTGAGTATTCATATATAATTACAGTTAAAAACCTTTCTCTTTTCCACTTTCTTTTCTTGCTATAAAGACGAAATTTTGATTTTCAGATGATCACAGAGTAAAGGTCAGGAATTTTGCCACTGCTATGGACAGTGTCATGAGACCCCTTCTCCCACCTGTCATTAGGAGGCTGTCAAAACCAAAAAAGCGAGTAGGAGTTTTAATTTCTGGCAGTGGAACCAACTTGCAGGCCCTTATTGACAAAACACAAGACCCTGCTTCCAATATGGGTTGTGAAATTGTAGTTGTCATCTCCAACAAGAAAGATGTTGAGGGCTTGAAAAGAGCAGAAAGGGCTGGTATTCCTACTAAGGTGATACTGATAATCTTGACACAGTGCTAATCTGAACTTCTCTCTGAGTGTTTCATTCTAACTTGATTTTAATTTGTTTCCTAGGTTGTGAGTCACACTGACTTCAAGTCACGTGAAGAATTTGATATGGCATGCCACTCAATACTTGAAACCGAGAGAGTGGACATTGTGTGCCTGGCAGGTTTCATGCGCATTCTATCTGGACCATTTGTCAGATTATGGAGAGGCCGAATGTTGAACATTCATCCTGCACTCCTTCCCTTGTTCAAGGGTACCCATGCCCAAAAGCAAGCTCTTGAGGCAGGAGTTAGAATCTCTGGATGCACCGTCCACTTTGTTGAGGTAAATACCGTGATCTCTTTTTCTTTCCTGTTTGGTGTGATTCTACCCTTACTTCTCTTCAATCTTAAGAACTTCTTTATTTTGATTCTTCAGGAGGATGTTGATGCTGGTGCAATACTTGTCCAAAAAATAGTACCAATTAAGCATGGAGACACTGAAGAAACTTTACAAGAAAGAATTAAGACTGTGGAGAGAGATGCATTCCCAGAGGGCCTGAAGATGGTTGCCAATGGTGTTGTCTACCTTGATCTTTCTACTAATCGTCTTGTGTGGCGTGATTGATCATAAGGATTCAGTAAGACTCTGTTATCTACTATTGTTGAGACCCATGTGATTCTGTTTTTATACTCCCTTATTTTGAATGAACTGTTTTTTAACATTTTATTTTAGAGCAAGATTGTGTGGCCTTATTGAAATGTGAATATTGTTAAATTATGGAAAGTCTATGTAAACTTAAGTATTTTTTTATGTTATTAAATGTGAACAATTTTTACAAAATACTGATTAATCATTTGCCAACAACCCCAGAACAATACAAACAATTTAAAGAAAAAAGTGTGATACATATGGGACAAATACATAATATTTTTGAGCAAAGTTGTTAGAGTGGGGCTTCCTACATCTTTATTTTCGAGGGGAGGAAAATAATACAATCAAAACGTGACTAGTGGCAAAGAAAGATCAAGTGGGGTTTGTTCTCATTTCTCGAGTTGTAAGGGAAGTCCACCTGCACCGTCAGAGACACCACAGGTTTTCTCATCCTTGGGCTTAGAGCATTCGAAGGTGACAGTCGAAGTTTACTGGATTTCAGTTGAGTTCAGAGGTGAAGTTTAGTTTGAAAGGACGCCTCTCTGACTCTGAGGCTCTCTAGTCCCAAGCGCCTGAAGGCTAGACATCCCTTCCGACTCCGGGTGAGGGGAAAGGGAGGAGGAGGGGGGAGAGAGAAGGATAACGTTATCCGCAGGCCGCTCCGCTCTGGTCGGCCCGCCCTGCGAGTAGTCGAATAACAAACGTTGTTTGGCCGGTCTGCTTTGTGCATTGCGTCGGGTTTCCAACATCAGTGCATTTCTTGCACTCGCCAGCAAAGGAAATAGTTGTGACTTGTTTTGGAACAACGGGCTTCAAATTTAAGATTAGAGGTAGGTCGCATCCTTACAAGAAGTGCAAACTCTTGACCAGAACACAAGACCATAACCTTACAACGTATTTGTTATCAAATCTAATTTAAGATTACTAATTGCTTTTCTATTGTTCTTTATTTCTTTATATAGAATGGGTGATCGATACAACATTCACAGTCAGTTGGAGCATCTTCAGTCGAAGTATATTGGAACTGGTCATGCAGACACAACCAAGTTCGAATGGCTTGTGAATCAGCAAAGAGATTCATGCTCATCCTACATGGGACACTTTGATCTCCTCAACTTCTTTGCCATTAGTGAAAATGAAGCCAAAGCAAGAGTTCGTTTCAACCTCATGGAAAGAATGTTACAGCCGTGTGGACCACCCCCAGAAAAACCTGAAGATTAACTCACTGGTCATCTTGCTTTCGTTTTAAACTAAGAAGCATGGTTTTGTTTCTTTTAAAGAGGTGTTTGTAAAAATATTCTCTTGGATGATTTCAATTGTATTTTGGGTTTGTAATTGTCACTGGTGCTATTTCCATCTCCATGATAGAACTTTTTGAATAAGTGTTGTTTCAAAATGATATTTGCTAAAAATTCTTTAATAAATGGTGAGTGAGCAGTGAAGGTCTCAACTTACGTTTGTATCGTCTATATTTCAAAACATACAACAGGACCAGCAATTTAATTAAGCACTTATCACTCATTTACAGAATATTAGACAATGTTAAACTGTAAACCATCACATTTGTTTCTGCGCAAATAAAACTGTAGACATCACTTGAAAAAGAATCAAAAGGTTATGACCAAACAGTCAAGACCTTAAGTACAATTATGGACACCGCAACTTTTAACAACTTGCCTAGTATTTTAGACTCTGGTTACTGTATTAAACAAAATAGCACTAACTGAAGAAGCAAATATTAATCATAAAGATGTCCACCATGGGAAGAAGATGAGCCAAATAAATCACCAGCCTCTTCCTGACTTGCACTAAAATATTTCTCAACACCATGTGCTCTGTGACCTGCCAATTGCTTGGTTAGGGCCAATATTGATGTACACAATTTTTCTAGCACAGAAACCTACATAATAAAGGACATTTCATGAAGTGGAAAAAAATAGTTTTGCATTGGGAAATGATGGAAAGCCCAGCTTCCCATCATATACCCAAGCAAACATCAAATCAAAATCAACTTGTGAAGCCAGGAAATAATACCCACATGCTATTTTAGAGGAGACGTAAAAGTGGCATTTAATTTATACACAACCATTATATTGGGAGGCTGGAAGGCTTTAACATTTGTGGGCATAAAACAACAGAAACAACAAAATAAATAGTTATTTGTACAAAAACAAACCATAACACCTATTCTCAAGAATAGTATAAATAAAATCAATAATAATGTTAGTACAACAGAAGGTCGACCAAGACCTCATGTAATTTTTACAATATGAATACAACAATTAAACTTCATCAAGGTATTTTCCCAATTATAAAATGCACCCATTGCCTTATCATAGAGAACCTTAAGTTAACTGTGTCTTTTGGTCATTAAAAACAGCCTTTTCATGTGTGAACCATGAGGATGGTCTCCTCCCACTGTCACTCTCCTCCTTGTCTTAAATGCAGGTGCATTCTACAATTGAGAAAACACAGCAAGATTAGAGTATTTTTCTTCTGACTTGAGCACAGAGCCCATCACACTGAGTGAATTATTAACCTTTATCCTGAATTTAGAAAACAATCTCTACAATGCAGATATCAAAAAGGACAAAGGTATACTTATTTGGTAAGAAATCTGGCAATGTATGCCAAAATGTTTTTACATCTACTTTAAAACAAACAAAAATTCTACATACATATTTATAGGATGACTTGTGAACAATGAACAAATTAAAAGAATATAGTATGAATCAATGCATGCCAAGTATGATGGAATGTGATCGCTTTTATACAGGTGGTATTTCTGGCAAAGGAGTAGGACTGAGATTGTTTGGAGTAACATGGAACAGAACTCGTTTGATGAGACTGTTCTGGAAACGCATGGATCTAAACAAGTAGTCTATTCGTGTGTTGCAGGGCGGCGCAGTTTGGAGGTGCTGCATTGAAATGCATGTGGGCTGGATGGGTTTACTGACTTATGGAATTTGGGGTAGTATGAAAATGAAACTCCTTCCTGAAAAATAGAAAAATATCAAATATTTCTTAAATTAAAACTTAATAATAAAAAAAAAAAACAAACAAACAAAAAACAGAATTTTTATGGAAGATAAGCCCTTTTAAGGTATTGTATTAAATGGGAATAATACCTTATGATTTCTGGTAATCCCGACGGGTCTATTCTATGTTCACAGATAGTCTTAAGGCATAATGTGTACAGTGATGGTACTGAAAAGAAAAGGAAGATCAAGAGAAAGATCATGAGAACTTTTTTTTTTTTTAAATGGAGTCTGAATTTTAGGGCATAACTCTTACTTACATAAGTCTAGAACATGTAGGTCATTAAGGTCCATAAGTTTAGCATCCATGCCCTCTGTAAATAACAAGAAGACCTCATTAAAAACCTTCTGTGACATTCACTGAAGAATTAAAGTATGAGAAATAGGATAAGGTGCTGGAGGAAATTCAGTTCACGTTTTTGAAATTATTTCCATACCATCAAATAAAGATTCATCATCACTCTCCATGTCATCTGGATTTTCTTCTTCCTCCTGATTTTGAACATCATGGCCTAAAGGGATAATGTCATGACCTAAAGGGATAAGGGCATGGCCATGAAATAGGCCCTCATCTATCAGGTTAATATTAATATCATCTTCATTTTCTTCTTCCAAATTTCCATTATGATTGACATTGTCTTGATTATCCTCGACATCAAAAGGGTTCTGCTCTACGAACTGAACCTCTTCAGCTTCATCACTATGGACTTCACCAAGAACCTCAAGCCAAGGGCTACAAACAGGTTTAAAAAAAGGGGAAATGATGAAAGTTATACAAACATTAACAACAGGGAGAATGAAGTAAAATATTTTACCTAGTGCCACCAAATATATACACTTTGTTCCCAATTGGGATACAGGACTGTCTCCGTCGGCGAACTGGTGGCTTCCCATGAGGTATGACTTGTTTCCATTCACAAGTATTTGGATTAAAGCAATGAAGATCATTGAAGTGTTCTTCTGTGAGTCCATTGAAGCCACCAAAAATGTACAGCATACCATTTACAATAACTGCGAAAATAAACAAAGAATAGCATAAAAACTTAGTTTTCTAATTATTATTAGTATTAGGCAGCCCCCTCTATGTCCACACTCTCCGAGATCAGAAAAAACTGAGTTTACTAAAACAGTAGAAAAAAATATATTTGAGGATAGGTTTCTACTAATAAATTGGAGGGTACAAGAATAACAAACAGAGCAAATAACAGTCGGTCAAACTCACAAGAAGAGTGGCTCCGTCTCCCTTTTGGTCTTTCACCAGTAGTTGCTGGCTTATACCACCGATTTGACTCAGCATCAAAATAGATTATATCAGAACAGTACTCTTCATTGTGAGATCCATAAGGACCATTTAAATCTCCTCTCCCTCCAAAGACATACATGCAAGATCCAATAGCTGAAGCTGAATGAAAATCTCGGAACTTAGCAACTTCTCCCTAAAAGAGATGAAAATATTTATGTGAAACCAACAGCAGAGCATAAGAAAGGCTAATGAGAAGAGAAAAAAGGAGAAGAAGATGTTAAACTTACAGAGGCCATCACATAGTGCCACTTCATTGTAGCTAAATCAAGATAATAAACATCATTTGAGAATCTTTCTATTCCCTCTTCGTAACCACCGAACACATACATGCGGTTATTAATTATACACGCTGTGTGGCCATCTCTAGCTGCTGGTACCATTCCAGTAGCTTTGGGGCGGCTCCATGTAAGAGTTTCTGATACAGACAATAATTAATTAATTAAAACTGTCTAGGGCACAACACAATGTACTAAAAATGACTTGATGCTTACCTGTGTCAAAAACAAATATTTGATTGCATGCAGCTTGCTCATTTCTTCCCCCCCACACATAGACATATTTCCCATGTGAGACAGCTGTGTGCCCATAACGTTGAAATGGTATGCATTTTTCGTGTTGAAAACCATGATAACTGGGGCTTGGAAGTTTATGCCATCGAAGGTTGCCTAAAATGGTAAAAAAGCAGGTACGAAATTGTAGCTATCAATTTATATAAACCTGGATCTCAGATGTAGAACATGTCTATGACAATAAATTAATGTAAATTGTTTAAAAGAAGAACTGTTTCCAAGATGTGCAGACAAAATAATCAAATACATAAATCACAAAAGAAAGAGCACACATGAATTATATCTAATCAAGGTACAAACCTGTACTTAACACATGGACATCCATTGCTCGATACTCATAGTAATTTTCAGCAGTGTTATATCCTCCAAATGAATAGATGAGGTCATCCACAGGAGCAGCTGCATGGTTGACACGTCGAGGTCCACCTTCCAGATGTACAGTCCAGTACATTTCTCTATAAACAGACAACATAACCATTTTTCTATTTTTTTTTTCTTCTACAAAATAAATAACATGGAACAATTAAAGATGAAGTTGAAGAAGAAAATGAGAGATTTATCCATAATAGAAATGTGACGTTGGGTAACCTGATCTGGTACAATGTTAGATTAAAGCATATGGTATATAAATATGATCATAGATCAAAATCACCACTTCGTGTGAGTGATTGTTATTTTTTGTTGCATCTGCCAGCAACGTATTAAAAACAGAGAAATCTTTAACTTCTCTACCCTATTGTAATGACCACATTTTTATAGACAACATATTAAATAGGGGGTCAGGAATTGGTGAAACCAGACATGACAACCATCCTTATACAAAACAGAGTAAATAAACTGGCTAGGTGTCCCAAAGTGCCTTCTTCCCTTTTCCCACGGACTTTGCATAAATTAACATCGCAGTCCCACTGGCAAAAGAACACAAATGGGCCACAACACAGCAGACATAGCAGGGAAAACCGGTCACGAACAAAAGAGGTTAGTTGTTCACTCTTGCACCAATTTAAGAAATTCTTTCGATTCCCGAAAGCTCAGTACATTAAATACGGCACAAGCGGTAGATAGGGAAATGGAATTTTAGATTTTTTACCAGAAGAGCAACACGATAGCTTAGGCTGGTAGATAACACGGAGAAAAACAAGTCTCGAAATCTGATCTGCACCGTACTGATTTCGGCTCGGGAATCTTAAGGCTAGCATTGAAATCTGGACAATGTACCTACAATGAAAATGCAAAATGAGGCAGTAAATGATTATTTTCCTAAATCTTTGCCCTTCTCTTGATGTCCACCATGGCTTTCATGATCAAAGCAAAAGCAAAATAATCATATCGAAAAGCAGTCAACATCGAACCAAAGACAACTATGCGCAGGACAGGACGCTGGAGGAAGGAAGTAAAAGATTATTCGCAGCCTAGGCCCAGAAGTGCAGGAAAACATGGCGTTGGTGGTAGGGTAGTTTCTTTGGGTGAAGATGTTTTTGACATATTGATGCGGCCTGCCCGTCTTCAATCGAAAGTTGCGGAAAAACTAGCGATGGTGCATTTTACAGATGAAGCCACATTAAGGTGAGGACTCACTTCACTGTGTCAAAACAACACACATTCAAGCTTTCTGCTACCTTCCAAGTGCCAGGCACATCAACTTTTCTGTTTTCTTTTTCTATTTGGAACCCCAGGCAATCCTATTTGTTTATGGAACAGTGTTCATTTGACATCCCTTGATATAATTTTTTTATTTTGTGTATTAACGGGACATTTTTATTTTCAAATTTTCTTTTTATTTGAAAAATAACCTTGTTTTTCAGTCAGGTCCTTGATTGATTCTATAAAGCACATTCAAATTATATTTTATTATATTTGAAACATAATTCTGCATACTTTTGTTAAATGCATTTGACGACACCATCTTAATTTTAAGTATAGTTTACCCACTTTGTAATCACTTGACAGCTCTAATTTGGATCTAGTTTTGATTTGAGGACACATCTATTAAATAAAGTTAGCAATACGAAAGTTTTCTTAACCTGCATTAATATGGCGCTCTATTTTTCTTTTACAGGACTGTTATCGCATAATGCATTTTGCCCTGAAGCAGCTGAAGAAGTGGAGCTCATGTGTATGAAATGACTACATGACATTCTTCAGCTTATCTTGCATCTCCTTGCAAGACACAGGTTTTAATGCACCAGTCAAGGTCCAAGATCTCTGAAAGCAGAGACCTTTGACGAAAATTTTCTCCTCAACATTTACAAAAATCCATTAAAGTGGAGGAAACTGGGGATAAGCAAGACAATCAGCCCAATGTGGCGGAAGCTGGCACTTCTTTCTCTGAGGAAGTGCCCAAAATATCTACAGAAGCCTCGGTCCAAAACCCAAAGCAGCTTTCACGTTCTTCTCGGGAACCATCAAGGCAGCTGAGGCGCCGACGTAGTAACCGGCTGACTCTACTGTCCATTGATGAGCAGCAAAATGATACCAATACACCTGAGAGACTCCATCTGGCTGTCCACTTACAGTGGGACATCCATGACCCTGTCAGCAGTCGAGACTGGATTGCACTCTACAATCTTGGTGAGTTTAACTGAAAAGATCTAAGATAATCCTTGTTTCGACACAGATATTTCTAATGCCCCTTGGAACGAAGTGAAGCAACCCAAAGATGCTGTGAGAAACGACTGAGGGTAGGCAATCCACTCCACCTGCTGACTACTTAGCGCCGGTTGGATAGGCAACCCATTCGACGCCCCCCTCCCTCCGGGGACATCTGCTTGTTTTGTTTCAAAGTGCACATCGCGGATTATTTGCCTTTTTCTGGTGCCAAGGCGTGCGTCTGGGTGCGTCGGGCGGGGGCGGGGGCGGACGGGTGGACCTTGCAAAGGTAGGGCAGGACTACAAGAGACTCGGGGACCGGTAGGCCGGGGTCAGTCTCATGGCTCATGGCATCGGGGGCTTAGATCCGCTCAGCCGGGCATGCCGGGCTGGGCCCGCGGCCAAATGTCAAGGTTTACGAGTGCTAGGTCCGGGGTCCGGTCCGGGAGTCCTCTGCTTGGAGCGTCTGTTCAGACTTGCTGCAGTGTAGTACATAGTGTTCGCGCGACAAGGCACTGGCACTGCTCCGGAACAGGGGACACTGCTTCCGCAAAAACAAAATAAGACAAATATTCCTCGTTGTCTTTTAGAGGCTCCAACCTTCCGGATGTCCGTCCGCTCGTTCCGTTTCCCACGCCTCGTCTCGCGGTGCTCGCGTTCCGCGTGTTGATGTTGACGGGGACGTGCTGGTCCCGGTGCCCACGGTGCCCACGTGGCGACGCGGCGACGCGGCGGCGACCGAATGACTGAATGACTGACTGCATGGCGCTGCGTCGCGCGCTGCGTCGCGCGCTGCGTGCAGTCGACTGATTTAGCCTCAGCCTTCGCAGAGGGTCGAACGGGTCGAACGGCGGGACTCTTTGGCCGGGGCCATTTGCGTTGCTGATACGGACCTCGCGGTACGCGAACACACACCGCTAGAGGACAAGGACGCGCTTCGTCCTCCGGGAGGGCCGTGGGGTGGGGCGGCCCATGTCTGGCCCATGTCCTGGACTTGGGCCTTTGGCGTTCTGGCAGCCTCCTTGCCCTGCTGGCGCCACCCCGCGGCCACCCCGGCGCCGCCGCGCCCCGCCCCGCCCCGTCGTGGCGGGCAGGGCAGGCGCCTCGGTGGGTCGCGGGTCCGCGTCGTGGCGTCGCGTCGTGGTGCCGTGGTGCCGTGGTGCGCGTGCTGGCCGTCTGGGCCGCTCGCCGCCTCGCCACCATAGGCGTGCCTACCCAACGCGTCCCCACCATCACGTCACCCTGCCCCGCCTCACACCCGCAGAGCTGCCGTAGCCTGCCGCAGGCCTGCGCCAGCCCCGCCTCACCCCGCGCTTGGGGGAGAGCGACATCCTCCACCTTGCGGGGACTGAGGGGGCTGGTGCGGGTGTAGTAGGATAGAGCGCTATAGCACCGCCTATGCTCGCCACGCCCCTTCTCCCACCCCCACTACTACTACGAGTCCATTCATTCCCTACTCATTGAGCCCCCTCGCCCCCACTCCGCCCCGCCCCGCCGGGCCCTGCCCCGGCGGCCGAGCCCCGCCAGCTGCTCACTCGCTCACGCTCACTTCGCTCACTCAGTCAGTCAGTGAGTCGGCGTGGTGCGCAGCGCACGGACGCGCACGGAGCGACGCAGCACGGTGCAGCACGGTGCACGACGAGCACCGCAAGTGCCCTGCAAGTGACAGTGTGACGACGGCTCTCCTCGTCGCGTGTGACGGTGTGACGTGGCGCGCGTGGTTGTGTGTGTGGCGACGGAGAGGTCTCGCGAGTCGTTCTCGCGGGCGATGGGACAGCGTTGTGAATGAGTGCCACACAGAGATCCACCTTCTGGAAGCCGGACTGGATTACCAACCTGTTCGCGTCATGCACTTCGGCGTCAGGTGAGTGTCACTGAGTGCGCGGCGCGCGGCGTGGGGCAACTGCAGTGTAGCTGTTTGGAACTGGACCGCCTCAGTCGCAGTGCGGTTCAGGGCCAGATTGACTGGCAGTACAACTAGTGGTCCCGTGTCGCATCCCCCCGGCGCCGTAGCTGTTATCCTCGAAGGCCCCGTGCCCGCGGCCCGCCGGACCAGCAGGCTCGCCGGCCGCCGCGAAGCCGCGAAGCCGCGAAGGTCGGGCTTCTAAAACGAGCCGGCCGCGGCGGTGCGGCGTGCGGGCCATCCCGGCGCCGGCCCGGCTCGGCCTGAAAATTAATGAAGTGAGTAAACGTCAGCCGGTGCCGGCGGTGCCGTGGTCAAGGCGCCCCTCTCGGGGCTCCGCGCGGTGCACCTGCCGCGCCTCCATCAAGGGGCCGCGGAGCCCCCGCTGCAGTTGCCGCCATCCGCCATCCACCCACTTGGAGGATGCTGACCGCACCGGAAGCGGCGAAGCGGGCGGTGCGATGACCACCGCCGGCCGCCGGCGCTATGTACGTGCATGCCGACCGCGGACCGCGAGCCGCACTCCGCGAGGCTGCCGGCGCCGCTCGGCTCGGCTCGCCGTGCCACTGCCAGACTGGCCAGACTCAGACGCCGGAAGTCGGTCGGCAGTGCAGCCAAGTGCTTTATCGGCGGCGCGAAGCGCGAAGCTGGCGGGGCACGTTTGCCGAGTGTAGTGGCGGTGTCGCCGGTCCTGCTCCCTGATTCCGAGAGTCGTTTACGTCGCTCCGTGTCTCTCGCGCTTTTGGGGCGTCCCGCACAGGTGTGAGAGAGGCAGAGCGACGAAAACGACTCCCGGAATCGGCCTGCAAGACGCTTGGAGTCCTGCCGGCGGAGTGGCAGTGCCGGACGGAAGCGAATGGTTGACGGCCGAGGCGGCTGGCGGCGCGTCCGGTAGCGTCGGCCGCGTCCTCGCGAGCACCCCGAGGACCCCGGAGTGAAGGGTGACGGCACGACGGTACGACGCGGGGGCGATAGCGTGGATAGGCCGTCTGCCCTTCGACCTCGCGCAGCCGGCGCAGCCTCGCACCACTTGGATTCCCTATTTCTGTCTCTGTCCGCCCATTCTTGTCGCTGATAACACGGAGCCGCCCTCATTCATCCCAGCGCAGAGTGTGTGCACGGTGTCCGTCGGCCTCGCCCCGCCTCGCCGCCCTAGACTGGAAGTTTCCCTTCGGCCGTTTGATTTCAGTGTCGGGGACGTCGCTCTTTTCCTCTATCTCGTTTTTCCTTGTCTGTTTTCCCGCCGTCCGTCCGGATGGCTGGGCGGCCACTGCCTTTTTGAGCGACTCGAGGCCTGCCTCCTCGTCGTGTGAGAACACCCCGCGGCGCACCGCGGCCCCGTCGCCCCGTGGCCCCGTGGCCGCGCAGTGAGTCGCGTGAGAATGGCGAGGTGAGGTGGCCCGTCCAGGCCCGTCCGCTGGCACCGCCGGGCTGTTTGGCGGAATCGGCCAGGTTTTTGCCTCCGCCTCCAATCAGATGTCGGGGCGGCTCTGCGCTCCGCGCTCCGCCCCGCGAGTTCGCCGAAGCCGCAAGAGGCTTACGCGGCCGACGCGAGCCCCCGGGCCCTGGTGCTGCCAGGCCCCCGCGTGTGACCCGCGCGCGCCGCCAACAGGTGCTCCGCGGAAAAGGGAGTGATAAAACGAGGCGTGCGTGAGAGTGTTTGAACCCGGCGTGGGCCCGCTTCTCACCGCGTCGGCTCGGTGTGGGATCGCCCCCGCGCCTCGCAACAAGAGCGCCGCGGCCGAGTCCCTCTACTCCCAAATTGTAGGATTTACGGCGCCGTCCGGCGTCGGGCGAGGACGCCGCGGAGGCCGCGGAGGCCGCGGACGTGGGGGGACGACGCCCGCTTTGTTTTCGTGGTGCACGACGGCCACCTCGGCCTCGGCTTTTGACCGTAGCAGTCGCGAGCCGCGCGGCGCCCCCTCACTCCCCGTTGGCGCCGCGCCGTCCGGCCTGGCCAGGGCCTGGCCAGGGCCTGGCCCCATCGGGTGCGGATGCGCCCATTCTGGTCATTCTAGGCCTGCGCGGGCTGGCGGGGCTGCCGGGCTCCGAATCCTGTTGCTGCTGGTGAGATATGGACCGTCCTCGTCGTCCTCCCCATACGCCCTCCGCCCGCACGACACACACACAGACGCAGTGGCGTGTCTCTCCGGATGTGCCTTCTGCCCCCTCCCTCCCCGGGCCCGGGCCGGCCGGACGCCCAACAGCAGCAGGCCCGCCTGGCTAACGCCTGGCCTGCCTGCGGCAAGGGGTGCGCGGTGCTGTGCAAGCTGCCGCTCTGCCGCTCTGCCGCTCGCTGCAGGAAGTCGACACGGCCTGGGACGGACGCGGCGGCGGCGCAAGGCGGCGCAGCGCCACTGCAAATTTGCGGGCCGGGCAGCCACCAGGCAGCCACCAGGCCGAACACGTGGGCGTGGGCGCGCCGGCCCGAATCCGAAGAGTCGTTTCGTCGCTGTCTCTCTCGCGCCCCGCGTGCCGCGTGTGCGGCTGAAGCTTCTCTTCCGAATCAGTCCCTGCGAAGTGCGGCGCGCCGCGCGGTGACAAATTGCACTGGATTCGCTGCTTGGCCGCGCCGCAACGGAGGGCGTGCGCACTGCCACTGCCGGCCGGCCGGCGTCGCCCCCTCCAACACACGCACACTCTCACGCACGCACACACACACACACACATACACACACACACACACACACACACACACACACACACACACACACACGTCGCTCACCGGACGCAGCGCGCCGCGCGGAGTGTGGGCGGGGCCCAGCGGGGCTCAGGGGGCCGGCTGCCTACTCGTGACGCGGCCGGTTTATCACGGCCGTGTGTGACGCGCGGCGTGCGGCGCGGAAGGATGCACGTGTGACGCGCGGCCGTGGCGTGACGGCGTGACGGCGTGACGGCCCGGCCGCGTGTGCTGTGTACCGCGGTCACGGGGCAGCATTACGCTGTGGGCTCGAATCCCACGCGCCTGCCGCGCCAGCCGCGCCGGCAGGACGTCCCGTCCGTCCTCGTTCTCGTCCTGGGTGGAGGGGCGCGGAGCGCGGCGCGGCGGCCACGCGGTGGCATGGCCAGGCATGGCGGAGCGCGGAGCCACGCCTAGGGAATGTGAAATTGCGTTGGAGGAGTGTCGAAGTGTAGAATGCGCGCTATGCCGGCTTGTGAGTGTGTTTACAACTGTGTGTTGAGCCGCCGTTGCGTCACGGCTGTGACACACACACACACACACACACACACACACACACACACACACACACTTACACACACACACACACACCTACACTCACACACCTACACTCACACTCACACACACACTCACACTCACTCAGGCGCACTGGTCGTCCTTGGCGCGCGTCCCTGCAGCGATTGGGTTACTTTGGCGAGTCCGATTTCCCCTAGGACCGCGGCCGCGCGGCGTGCCGTGACATTGGGCCGTCTGGGGGCGCCGCTCGGACACTCTTCGGACACTCCTCGGGCGGGGCGGGGCGGGCGGGGCGGGGCGGGGTGGGGCGAGACCCCGAAGGGCGTGGCGCGTCGCCTCGTCGCCCCGCTCGCGAGCGCAACGCCGCAACGCCCTGTACGGACGTGGGACGGACGGGCCTGCGTGTCGCGGTGCTCGCGGTGCTTCGCGCTTCGGATTCGATTGGCAGCGTGGGCCAATCAGGGCACCACTTCCCGGCCCTACCTGCCATCGGGACTGCGCAACGCGCAGTAACGTGTGTGTGTGTGTGGGGGGGGGGGGGGGGGTTGCAAGCGTGCGAGCGTGTGTGTGCGCCGATAAAAGCCGACACTTGAACGCCGGGGTTTGATTCACAGCAGAGTGACGAGTGATGCGGCTGCACC